CTTGGAACCTCTAACCCTGGCAATTTGACCGGTAAACTCATGGGTACACTCAGCAATGGCTGCCTGGTATTGCAATAATTTTCGTGGTAATGTAGAATGTTCATTCAAATGATGTTAACTGATGTGGCCCATGCAATGGAATGTATTTTTTGTAATGTCAGTTGAGTTGAATCAACAAATCATAGCACATATTGATGGGTACACTTCCTGCTTTGCTCCTATAGGTACACTCGCTATGGCCGCCAGTTCACCCATTATGCCATCATTGACTTGACTGGGGAAGCCTGTTCTAGTCATTCTATTTCTATGGCAGTACATGCAGTCAGGAGCGGAAGAAAGGAGAAAAGGTGTGTCTAAAATGCAAAATGCAAAATTGTTTTGCTATTCGAACGGTTATTACGGAGACCGCGGTCATTTGGCTGTCCAATTACCGTCATCCAAATTTCCATGATCATCACAGGCCTGAGTCCTCCTCATGAGATGCAGCAGATACTACTGTATCTGTACATAATAACACATCTTAAAGCTTAAATCTCTCTCTGCTTGTGATAAGAACAGTAATACTGTCTGTTTGTTGAGTGAACAGGGTTAAACAGGGTCTTTGCTGTCATCGTGGCCCATATGGTCAGGGATTGGGTTGGGTCAGGAGCATGGGTTTACCCTGAGTCCATTACTGGGTTACATGAAGCTCATATGACCAATAACACAGACAGACTGCTGACAGACACACACACACACACACACACACACACACACAAACACACACACACACACACACGTATCTGTAGTTGGGTACTGTCTGCCTGATATCTCAGTTTCATGTTCCATGAGACTGAGTGAGTGTTCATTTCTCTGTGTGCGTTACATTGGCAGTGCTAGAGTTCAGTTAACATTCCAGTACAGCAAGAATGGTCAGTCTACTGATCTACACACAATTGCATGACGAAGTGTATGATGTATGTAGATAGAGGAATACCAGAGCTGTATTTATATAGTCTTCATGTGCACTTCTCATCCTGTTTCTATCATACTAATCAAGCATCAACTAGTGAACCACCATAAAGATGAATGCTTCAGCCTCATATAGATATATTTATCTAGCTAATTGTCATTATGAACTTCAGACTACAGGAAGTGCATTCATTTACTAATGTATCTGAAGTTGACCTGATTGTATTTACTAATGTATCTTTCTCTGTCTCTGTCTGTTTGTTGACCTGATTGGCTAGCAGTGCAGAAAACAGTGCTACATGTAGACTAGCTATACTCTACTGTATATTTAGATACTCTGGCTGATTGGTTTGATGTAGGGAGACATACACTATATATACAAAAGTATGTGGACACCCCTTCAAATTAGTGGATTTGGCTATTTCAGCCACACCCGTTGCTGACATGTGTATCAAATCGAGCACACAGCCATGCAATCTCCATAGACAAACATTGGCAGTAGAATGGACTTACTGAAGAGTTCAGTGACTTTCAACATGGCACCGTCATAGGATGCCACCTTTCCAACCAGTCAGTTTGTCAAATTTCTGCCCTGCTATAGCTGCCCCGGTCAACTGTAAGTGCTGTTATTGTGAAGTGGAAATCTAGGAGAAACAACGGCTCAGCCGCAAAGTGCTAGGCCACACAAGCTCACAGAACGGGAGTGCTGAAGCTCGTAGTGCGTAAAAATCTTCTGTCCTCGGTTGCAACACTCACTACCGAGTTCCAAACTGCCTCTGGAAGCAACGTCAGCACACAAACTGTTTGTCGGGAGCTTCATGAAATGGGTTTCCATGGCCGAGCAGCCACATGCAAGCCTTCGATCACCATGCGCAATGCCAAGCGTCGGCTGGAGTGGTGGAAAGCTCGCCGCCATAGGACTCTGGAGCAGTGGAAACGCGTTCTCTGGAGTGATGAATCACGCTTCACCATCTGGCAGTCCGACGGACGAATCTAGGTTTGGCGGATGCCAGGAGAACGCTACCTGCCCCAATGCATAGTGCCAACTGTAAAGTTTGGTGGAGGAGGAATAATGGTCTGGGGCTGTTTTTCATGGTTCGGGCTAGGCCCCTTAGTTCCAGTGAAGGGAACTCTTAACGCTACAGCATACAATGACATTCTACACGATTATGTGCTTCCAACTTTGTGGCAACAGTTTGGGCAAGGCCCTTTCCTGTTTCACCATGACAATGCCCCCATGCACAAAACGAGGTCCATACAGAAATGGTTTGTCGAGATCGGTGTGGAAGAACTTGACTGGCCTGCACAGAGCCCTGACCTCAACCCCATCGAACACCTTTGGGATGAATTGGAACACTGACTGCGAGCCAGGCCTAATCGCCCAACATCATTGCCCAACCTCACTAATGCTCTTGTGGCTGAATGGAAGCAAGTCCCCTTAGCAATGTTCCTACATCTACTGGAACGCCTTCCCAGAAGAGTGGATGCTGTTATAGCAGCAACGGGGGGACCAACTCCATATTAATGCCCATGATTTTGGAATGAGATGTTCGACGAGCAGGTGTCCACATACTTTTGGTCATGTAGTGTACATGTCTTTCTCTGTCTATCTGTTTGTTGACCTGATTGGCTAGCAGTGCAGAAAACAGTGCTACATGTAGACTAGCTATACTCTACTGTATATTTAGATACTCTGGCTGATTGGTTTGATGTAGGGAGACATATAAACTTAGATCTGATTTTGCCAACTCCTTCTTCATTATTATCACTTGGTATATAATCAGGTCAAATCAATGTAACATGTCGCTTGAGTATGTGACATAGAAATATAATGAATAGAACGGCTTGGAAGCTCTAACCCTGGAAATTTGACTGGTAAACTCATGGGTACGTACATTCACAATGGCTGCCAGGTATTGTGAAGCAATAATCTCCATGGTATTTTGGAATTTTCTATAAACTGATGCTAGATTGCCACGGTAATGTAGAATGTTCATTCAAATTATGCTAGTTGCAATGGAATATATTTTTGTAATGTCAGTTGAGTTGACTCAACCAAACACAGCACAGATTGAAGGGTATACTTCCTGCCATGGGTACACTCAAAATGGCTGCCAGTCCACCCATTATGCAATCATTGACTTGAAGATTTGGAGACTTGAAGACTTGGAGATTCCCTTTTTATTCATTCTATTTCTATGGTATGTGATGTGTGCAAGAAGTTTGTTACTGAAATCTAAGATTGCTTATATTGATTACATTCAATCGTTTGAGCGTTGAGTGTTGTTGAATTGATACGGCTGCTGTTGATACTATTCTACAGTGAGGGAAAAAAGTATTTGATCCCCTGCTGATTTTGTACGTTTGCCCACTGACAAAGAAATGTTCAGTCTATCATTTTAATGGTAGGTTTATTTGAACAGTGAGAGACAGAATAACAAACAAAAAATCCATGACAAAAATGTTATAAATTGATTTGCATTTTAATGAGGGAAATAAGTATTTGACCCCCTCTCAATCAGAAAGATTTCTGGCTCCCAGGTGTCTTTTATACAGGTAATGAGCTGAGATTAGGAGCACACTCTTAAAGGGAATGCTCCTAATCTCAGCTTGTTACCTGTATAAAAGACACCTGTCCACAGAAGCAATCAATCAATCAGATTCCAAACTCTCCACCATGGCCAAGACCAAAGAGCTCTCCAAGGATGTCAGGGACAAGATTGTAGACCTACACAAGGCTGGAATGGGCTACAAGACCATCGCCAAGCAGCTTGGTGAGAAGGTGACAACAGTTGGTGTGATTATTCCCAAATGGAAGAAACACAAAATAACTGTCAATCTCCCTTGGCCTGGGACTCCATGCAAGATCTCACCTCGTGGAGTTACAATGATCATGAGAACGGTGAGGAATCAGCCCAGAACTACACGGGAGGATCTTGTCAATGATCTCAAGGCAGCTGGACCATAGTCACCAAGAAAACAATTGGTAACACACTACACCGTGAAGGACTGAAATCCTGCAGCACCCGCAAGGTCCCCCTGCTCAAGAAAGCACATATACAGGCCCGTCTGAAGTTTGCCAATGAACATCTGAATGATTCAGAGGAGAACTGGGTGAAAGTGTTGTGGTCAGATGAGACCAAAATGGAGCACTTTGGCATCAACTCAACTCGCCGTGTTTGGAGGAGGAGGAATGCTGCCTATGACCCCAAGAACACCATCCCAACCGTCAAACATGGAGGTGGAAACATTATGCTTTGGGGGTGTTTTTCTGCTAAGGGGACAGGACAATTTCACCGCATCAAAGGGACGATGGACGGGGCCATGTACCGTCAAATCTTGGGTGAACCTCCTTCCCTTAGCCAGGGCATTGAAAATGGGTCGTGGATGGGTATTCCAGCATGACAATGACCCAAAACACACGGCCAAGGCAACAAAGGAGTGGCTCAAGAAGAAGCACATTAAGGTCCTGGAGTGGCCTAGTCAGCCTCCAGACCTTAATCCCATAGAAAATCTGTGGAGGGAGCTGAAGGTTCGAGTTGCCAAACGTCAGCTTCGAAACCTTAATGACTTGGAGAAGATCTGCAAAGAGTAGTGGGACAAAATCCCTCCTGAGATGTGTGCAAACCTGGTGGCCAACTACAAGAAACGTCTGACCTCTGTGATTGCCAACAAGGGTTTTGCCACCAAGTGCTAAGTAATGTTTTGCAGAGGGGTCAAATACTTATTTCCCTCATTAAAATGCAAATCAATTTATAACATTTTTGACATGCGTTTTTCTGAATTTTGTTGTTGTTATTCTGTCTCTCACTGTTCAAATAAACCTACCATTAAAATTATAGACTGATCATGTCTTTGTCAGTGGGCAAACGTACAAAATCAGCAGGGGATCAAATACTTTTTTCCCTCACTGTATATGACTTGGAGGATAATCTAAAGCCATAACTAACTGTTTTGTAAACATATCACTAAACGCTAAATGTGTTCATTCTTCTCCACCCTTTACTTCTCCCTCCTCTCCTGTTATTCAAAATGGCCACCCCTCCCTGCAGGAATCCGATGGCGCTCCCAGGCCAGAGGCTTACCATCATCATCATGCTCCGGTGTTCTCAGCACTCCGCCAGGCCCGTGTGGTGTCGTCCACCTCCGAGGAGGAAGAGGCCCTGACAGAGAAGTTCCTCAAAATCAATTGCAAGTACATCACAGACGGCAAGGTATATATAATGTATATTCATATATATTACAGTACTATACAGTGTATATATAGTATATTCTATATATAATATAAGTACAGTATTATACGGTAAGCGCGTGGAGAAGTTCAGAGGATGTTCAGGAATGCTGGCCCTCTGCCAGCCAACATCCACCTCTAGCAGCTCAGATCCATGCTATTGAACAATGAAACCAATATTGATCCATTCAGTCTAAATCAAAGCTTCGCAGCTTTTCCCCCCACATGGAGGTCAGTATTGGAGCTTCCTGTTCATAGTCAATATCCTTCAGTTGCTTTAGGATACTTACAGTACAGCCATTTTGTTTATTTATGCTGGCAAGGTAATACATCTCTTCCACTAAATGGCTGACACATTTCTTTCACTGCAAGCTTTTTCATGCTCAATGTCTAGCTATATTACTCTGTCTAACCCTCTCTTTATCTCTGTCTCTCGGTCTCTCTCTCTGTCTGTCTCTCTCTCTCTCTCTGTCTCTGTCTCGCTCTCGCTCTCGCTCTCGCTCTCTCTCTCGCTCTCTCTCTCTCTCTGTCTCTCTCTCGCTCTCTCTCCCTCCCCCCTCCCTCTCTCTCCATCCCCCCTCCAGGGTGCGGTGAGCGGGGTGTTGCTGGTGACGCCCAACAACATAATGTTTGACCCCCACAGGATGGACCCTCTGGTGCAGGAGCACGGCTGTGAGGAGTACGGCTACATGTGTCCCCTGGAGGAGGTCATGTCTGCAGCCATCTACAAGGAGATCACTGACAGCAAGATCAGAGAGGCCGTGCCCGCGTAAGAGCCCTGTCGTCTGTCTGACAGTCACACACAGGGGTCGTGTTCATTAGCGCACACTGATTACATCAGCAACCATCCGTTTTGTGCCTACTGAATCACACTACCAGGGATGTATTGGAGAGGAGGAGCGTTTACGGACCTATTACACAAAATGAACGTTGTTTGCATTTGCGTTTACGTTACACATCACTCGTTTACCCACTTTTTTTCTACCACTCCCTCCCTGGTCACACTCAGCATCACAGCCCCTCCGTAATCACTTCATCAGCCCGGCACTGCAGGCGCACACTGATTACATCAGCAACCAACCAACAGATTAATTATATTCCTCCATGCCAACAATAAAAAGGAAATGGCAATTATAGCAAGGTTAATGAACTATGCATTCACCCACCTACGTCTGGATTGCTCACCCATTTGCTTGATGTAATAATATATCCACTTCAGCAGCCAGCTTAGTTTATCTCCATGGCATGCCACCCACATACAGATCTCCTACCGTCTCTGTTTTTATTAGCAATTTAACATGGATTGTTTGCTCAGATCAAGATAATTGTGTTATATTAATACTATGCTGAAATCTTACCAATATAGCGTTAGCTATTTGTAGCTGTGGTCTTCTGCGGCTCAGTTTTTAAGAGCGCGGCGCTAGCGATGCCAAGGTCGTAGGTTCACGTCCCGCTGAGATCACGTACACATGCTAATTATGTATGCACTTACTGAACTGTAAGTTGGATGAAAGTGTCTGCTAAGAGGCATATATTATTATTATTATTATTGTAACTATAGAGCTATGCTTAGCCCTTCCACTATAGTTCCTGTATGTCTGTGAATGTTCAGTGGTGGATTTGGACTGTGTTAAGTGTTCAGATCTCATGGAGCATCTATTGTGATGTCTAATGGTTATTGGCTGCAGTCCAAGCATGTTATTTTTAACCCCTCATCCCTTGCGCTAGCCACTTTCCCTCTGGGGAATCCCCGTCGATACCAGATGCAGTTTGATTGCCATCTTAAGTGGAGGTCCAATTCACTAACGTTGCCCCCTCGGCCCTCGATTTAGCTTGAGGGAGCGAGTGAACAACTTTGGTCACTTGCGGGGTTGATATGACCCACAATTCAATGCAAACTGTAGTCACATGTCAAACTGTGGTGGCCGAAGTGTCAAATGGAATCAACAAGCCTGAATTTTCGGCATTTCAGAAAGACTATAAAACTAGCTAGCCAGCTATGGGTAACTGTAGCTAGCTACCTGACAGGAGTGCTAGCTAGATACATTAGCATACTAGGTACATTAATAGCTTTAGGTTGGTTGTTTTTAAGCTCAAGATTTTCACCAAGGACATTGCCTCTCCGATCATCACTCTCCCTCGCTTGGGCAAGGGACATTTAAGATGTAAAACGCCATTCAAGGGCAGAGGGTTTAGGGCCGAGAGCTGTCTTCTTTGAGTTTGAAACGCAGCCATTGTCTCTGTGTATGAGGACAGCTGTTTTCTCAAATGTGATGCAAGCAGACTCTGTCTTAAAGAGCACACAATAACAAAGGCCTGCCTGTGTGCCAACCAGTGTTTTGTTATCATACACACAGCTGGAGCTAGGAGCAAACTATTTTAGTCCCACAACAGGTCTTTGGAGAACCTGTGGAGTCTAGTGTGCTGTTACAATATGTAGAGGAATCCTGTTAGTTGGCTGGCTGGCTGCACAGTGTTTCTGTTACACTGTGTCCCTGTTAATTTACTGTACAAAACCTCTTCATATTATTATGCAGAGCAGTTCACTTACAGATCTCATTCATAGATTCATATTGAGAGGATTACTTGTTTCACCTGGTCTCTCCACACTATACTGTAATAAACAAAAGAAAACTGTGCCATTCTGCTGCATTCAAATTCAGACCTCTCTAACTTGTATTTTCTTCTTTACTGATTTCTTCCCTATCCAGACACCTGGAGCCTTTGACATCAGAGCGCGGGCCCTCCACCTCCTCTCAGCCGGACCCGGAGCAGCGTCTGAGAGTCCCGGGCAACAACAGCGGCAGCGCGGCCCCCCGCAGCACAGAGGGCTCCTTCTCCGAGGATGTCTTCCCCGAGTCAGAGCTGTCCCCCATCCGGGAGGAGGCTGCGTCCTCCGAAGACCTCCAGCTGGACAAGTCCTCCTCAGCCACAGCCTCCACAGAATCCATCCAAACTGTCACCCAGGTGGAGGCCACCATCCCCCCAGGTGCCCCAAGCAGCGCCCGCAGGTCAGTTTGCCAGCCACCAACGGAGGGCCAGGAGAAACAACCCACCACAGCAGAGGACAATCCAGACAGCCACACGGCCCAGAGCCAGTCTCCCATGGGCTCCAAGCAGCACAGTGTGGATGTGGAGAAGGCAGCACCAAGCACACCCACCACCAGCCAGGGACCAGACCAGGGACCCTCCTCACGTCCTGCCTCCCAGAGCTCTACCACCGGGCCTGGGGAGCCCTCCGGCCAGGAGGGGGGTCCGGGAGACAGGCCCAAGCTGAGCAGAGAGGGGTCCCGGGACTCCGAGACGGACGTGGAGGAACTGAGGAAGATGTGGAAGAGTCACACTATGCAACAAGCCACAGAGCAAATGGAGAATGTAACACAAAATGAGGAGGGACAGGACTCTGCAGAAGGTAGTGAGACAACGTGTCTTTGTTGTATTATGAAAATATGAAATACATAGCCTTAGACTATGCACTTCCATTGTTTTTCAGTAGGTGCGAAAATATGTTCAGCTTCCATTTCGACCCTACTTGAGTTCTCAACATGAAGGCAAATCTATAGACAGTTATTGCAGATTATTACAAATCCTCACTGCCAGGTATGCCGTTGCCATTTGCCGTCTCTGCAACTATCATCATAATGCAACTATTCTAATGAAGCTCCCAGTGCTATCACAGTAAAGTTGGCTCTGGCTGCTTCCGTACACCTCGGCTGCTGGGTGCTCCTGATAACCTCCCTGTCACAGCTTTGTGCCTCCCCAGTTGTAATTGGAATAAGAAAGGGAGAGGGAACTGTGTGGTGTGCTGTTATCACCTAGAGGAATGAGCAGAGGCATTATACACCGCTTTGATCTAGCTCTGCTGTTAGCCGGTCTGCTGCCACATGCACTCAACTCCAAAAATCAAACACAAAGAGACACCACAAATACCCACACGTAACTGAGGGGAAACACAATATCGTTTAGACCGCCTGCATTAAAAACCCTCAGAGACACGTGCAGCATTTAAAGTGACTTAACTATTTACATTTTATAGCTGCCTTCTCTTTTTGGTTTGATGTCTTTTTCAGTAAACATAGCATATTTCTTACCCTAGAACATAGACTAACGTTACCATGGTAGTGTGCAGGCTCAAACTACTACTGTGTTCTGGTCCTCTGTAGCTCAATTGGTAGAGCATGGCGCTTGTAACGCCAGGGTAGTGGGTTCCATCCCCGGGACCACCCATACGTAAACATTTATGCACACATGACTGTAAGTCGCTTTGGATAAAAGCGTCTGCTAAATGGCATATTATATTATATTATATTATGCCTGCTATAGGTACAGTATGTTATTCTTCCACTGTTCTACAGTTCTATGTGAGCTCTAGTGCCTCACTTAGTTGTGTTCAGACCTGGGTTCTAATCATATTTGTTTTCTTTCAAACACTTTTGCTGCATCTGATTGTTTGCCTGGCGCATTGGAACCAATGGAATAGTCCCAAAAGTGCAAATCCCGCCCATCTGGCACTCCAGGCAGGCTCAATCAAACTCAAAGTATTTTTGAAAGAAAACGAATACTGGTTGAACCCAGTCTGGTTGTGTTCCCATCATTTATATCACTCTAATTCTCACCCCACAGAGAGTTCCTAGAATGTCTGCTCTAATTCGCTGGGATCACAGCTGTGTTCTGCTTTACTCCACACCACATTACCATGGCAGACGCTAGCCAAGGCCCCACTTCAAAACAAGCTGAATTACACACGCAATTACTGTTTTTTCAAATAGAATTTCTCCCACTGAGCTATAAAACATAGCTCAGTGGGAGAAATTCTATTTGAAAACGCAGTAATTGTGTGTGTATTTCAGCTTGTTTTGAAGTAGATTAACCATTTCTCTGCCTCTGTTTGTGACTATGGGTCCCAGTCTGTGTTGTCACAAAGTGTCTCTTTTCTTTGTAGAACTCCTACTGATTTGACCTTCTAATGGTCGTTAATAAAAGCAGGCATATGTTTTGGTGTCATGATCTGTTATGAGCTATGTTTATTTGGGTCATCTTCCTATTATTCTGGCACAAAATGACTGTCTGTTGAGATACCTGGTAAACAGGGGAGGAGATCTAGGTCACATAAAGACCCTGTTGTCAAATAGATCTGAAATGTTTTCTTATTTACAGATGGATTAGGTCCAGTTCTATATTGGTGGTGGTGAGGGACTACTAGATAATAAGAGTATATGTTTTAAACCAGGAGTAGGCCTACATTCGGTCAATCACTAAAGTGAAACATATTCTGGAAGATTGAAATCAGATTGGTATCAGCTTTGACCCTGTAACTATTAAGATGGATAAGATAATAATTAATCATCATGTGATTATTTCCTGTTTGTCGTGTGGCCCTACAGTGTCCACAGAGCGACGGAGGCACCGGTCCCACAAGTTCCTGTGTCTGCGGGTGGGCCAGCCCATGAAGAAGACTTTTGTGTCCAACGCCAGCGCCTCCATGCAGCAGTACGCCCAGAGGGACAGGAAACACGAGTACTGGTTCGCTGTGCCGCAGGAGAGGTGAGTGTGTGTGTGTGTGTGTGTGTGTGTGTGTGTGCACCACACTGCAGCGCCAAGGTTTGCAGAATCACTGTAGTGCAGCCCCAATGTCTGCCAAGCGCCAAGCCCATCTCACTATGCTGCCACCAGACCAGACCAGACAGCTAGATTATTTATTTATTCACCCACTCTGCAGACACACACACTCTCACACACACATACAGTGGGGAGAACAAGTATTTGATACACTGCCGATTTTTCAGGTTTTCCTACTTACAAAGCATGTAGAGGTCTGTAATTTTTGTCATAGGTACACTTCAACTGTGAGAGACGGAATCTAAAACAAAAATCCAGAAAATCACATTGTATGATTTTTAAGTAATTAATTTGCATTTTATTGCATGACATAAGTATTTGATACATCAGAAAAGCAGAACTTAATATTTGGTACAGAAACCTTTGTTTGCAATTACAGAGATCATACGTTTCCTGTAGGTCTTGACCAGGTTTGCACACACTGCAGCAGGGATTTTGGCCCACTCCTCCATACAGACCTTCTCCAGATCCTTCAGGTTACGGGGCTGTCGCTGGGCAATACGGACTTTCAGCTCCCTCCAAAGATTTTCTATTGGGTTCAGGTCTGGAGACTGGCTAGGCCACTCCAGGACCTTGAGAAATGCTTCTTACGGAGCCACTCCTTAGTTGCCCTGGCTGTGTGTTTCGGGTCATTGTCATGCTGAAAGACCCAGCCACGTTTCATCTTCAATGCTCTTACTGAGGGAAGGAGGTTGTTGGCCAAGATCTCGCGATACATGGCCCCATCCATCCTCCCCTCAATACGGTGCAGTCGTCCTGTCCCCTTTGCAGAAAAGCATCCCCAAAGAATGATGTTTCCACCTCCATGCTTCACGGTTGGGATGGTGTTCTTGGGGTTGTACTCATCCTTCTTCTTCCTCCAAACACGGCGAGTGGAGTTTAGACCAAAAAGCTCTATTTTTGTCTCATCAGACCACATGACCTTCTCCCATTCCTCCTCTGGATCATCCAGATGGTCATTGGCAAACTTCGGACGGGCCTGGACATGCGCTGGCTTGAGCAGGGGGACCTTGCGTGCGCTGCAGGATTTTAATCCATGATGGCATAGTGTGTTACTAATGGTTTTCTTTGAGACTGTGGTCCCAGCTCTCTTCAGGTCATTGACCAGGTCCTGCCATGTAGTTCTGGGCTGATCCCTCACCTTCCTCATGATCATTGATGCCCCACGAGGTGAGATCTTGCATGGAGCCCCAGACCAAGGGTGATTGACCGTCATCTTGAACTTCTTCAATTTTCTAATAATTGCGCCAACAGTTGTTGCCTTCTCACCAAGCTGCTTGCCTATTGTCCTGTAGCCCATCCCAGCCTTGTGCAGGTCTACAATTTTATCCCTGATGTCCTTACACAGCTCTCTGGTCTTGGCCATTGTGGAGAGGTTGGAGTCTGTTTGATTGAGTGTGTGGACAGGTGTCTTTTATACAGGTAACGAGTTCAAACAGGTGCAGTTAATACAGGTAATGAGTGGAGAACAGGAGGGCTTCTTAAAGAAAAACTAACAGGTCTGTGAGAGCCGGAATTCTTACTGGTTGGTAGGTGATCAAATACTTATGTCATGCAATAAAATGCAAATTAATTACTTAAAAATCATACAATGTGATTTTCTGGATTTTTGAAAACCTGCAAAATCGGCAGTGTATCAAATACTTGTTCTCCCCACTGTACATAAATTATTTTTCACAGAGGGAACTCAACTAACCACTTCTTTCCCTGTGTGAAAAGTGGACCAGGTTGTGAAAAGCAGTCCAGTTATATAGATTTTGTGCAGTATTTCAGTGTGCTTTGGATGACATTTCTGCCCACAATTTCGACTCCTCTGGGATGTTGGCCAGCAATGTCAGCAGTATTCATAATGAGTGTATCATTTACAGTGGGGGAAAAAAAGTATTTAGTCAGCCACCAATTGTGCAAGTTCTCCCACTTAAAAAGATGAGAGAGGCCTGTAATTTTTCATCATAGGTACATGTCAACTATGACAGACAAAATGAGAAAAAAAAATCCAGAAAATCACATTGTAGGATTTTTAATGAATTTATTTGCAAATTATGGTGGAAAATAAGTATTTGGTCAATAACAAAAGTTTCTCAATATTTTGTTATATACCCTTTGTTGGCAATGACACAGGTCAAACGTTTTGTGTAAGTCTTCACAAGGTTTTCACACACTGTTGCTGGTATTTTGGCCCATTCCTCCATGCAGATCTCCTCTAGAGCAGTGATGTTTTGGGGCTGTCGCTGGGCAACATGGACTTTCAACTCCCTCCAAATATTTTCTATGGGGTTGAGATCTGGAGACTGGCTAGACCACTCCAGGACCTTGAAATGCTTCTTACGAAGCCACTCCTTCGTTGCCCGGGCGGTGTGTTTGGGATCATTGTCATGCTGAAAGACCCAGCCACGTTTCATCTTCAATGCCCTTGCTGATGGAAGGAGGTTTTCACTCAAAATCTCACGATACATGGCCCCATTCATTCTTTCCTTTACGCGGATCAGTCGTCCTGGTCCCTTTGCAGAAAAACAGCCCCAAAGCATGATGTTTCCACCCCCATGCTTCACAGTAGGTATGGTGTTCTTTGGATGCAACTCAGCATTCTTTGTCCTCCAAACACGACGAGTTGAGTTTTTACCAAAAAGTTATATTTTAGTTTCATCTGACCATATGACATTCTCCCAATCCTCTTCTGGATCATCCAAATGCACTCTAGCAAACTTCAGACGGGCCAGGACATGTACTGGCTTAAGCAAGGGGACACGTCTGGCACTGCAGGATTTGAGTCCCTGGCGGCGTAGTGTGTTACTGATGGCAGGCTTTGTTACTTTGGTCCCAGCTCTCTGCAGGTCATTCACTAGGTCCCCCCGTGTGGTTCTGGGATTTTTGCTCACTGTTCTTGTGATCATTTTGACCCCACGGGGTGAGATCTTGCGTGGAGCCCCAGATCGAGGGAGATTATCAGTGGTCTTGTATGTCTTCCATTTCCTAATAATTGCTCCCACAGTTGATTTCTTCAAACCAAGCTGCTTACCTATTGCAGATTCAGTCTTCCCAGCCTGGTGCAGGTCTACAATTTTGTTTCTGGTGTCGTTTGACAGCTCTTTGGTCTTGGCCATAGTGGAGTTTGGAGTGTGACTGTTTGAGGTTGTGGACAGGTGTCTTTTATACTGATAACAAGTTCAAACAGGTGCCATTAATACAGGTAACGAGTGGAGGACAGAGGAGCCTCTTAAAGAAGAAGTTACAGGTCTGTGAGAGCCAGAAATCTTGCTTGTTTGTAGGTGACCAAATACTTATTTTCCACCATAATTTGCAAATAAATTCATTAAAAATCCTACAATGTGATTTTCTGGGGGAAAAATGCTCAATTTGTCTGTCATAGTTGACGTGTACCTATGATGAAAATTACAGGCCTCTCTCATCTTTTTAAGTGGGAGAACTTGCACAATTGGTGGCTGACTAAATACTTTTTTCCCCCACTGTAGGCCTTTCAAAGAACACCCAATACAAGGAAATATGTATCTTCATCAAAAGCTGTAAAATATGTTTTTCTAGTGAATTATTCCAAATTGCTTCAACAGTTTAATTCGATTAGTTAATGCTGAAAAGTCACTTAGTTGCAATGACCTCATTATCAGTGTTGGGTCCAAGCACAGTGCTGCCTTTGTCTCCAGTCCTGGACAGAGGGAGGACAGAAAGTTATGAATCTGATCAGATGTTTGACCAGCCATTCTTTGACTATGGAAACTCTGCCCTTCAGCAGTTTTCAGTCCCAGTAGCCAGTAGGCTTGTGTTGACCAGCACAGCACAGCACACAACACACTCCTCTCAGTCGCACATGTTAATCTCATTTGAAGCAGGCAGACAGGCGTGTGTCTTGTCTCTGGTCACAGACACAGTCACACCACCATCACCATGCCATTGTGGGGTGGTTGGAATGTGTTTATCTCAGAATGGCTCCTGTAATGCTGCCCCGTTCCTCTGCTGGCTCTGTTCCCATGGACAGCACAGTGAATTTACACACACACACCCGTGCACAGACGCGCACACTTACACATACTCACATACACGCACGCACACACACACGTGCACACACACACCCACACACACATATGTAAACACACACATACATTACTCACGTACACACTGGCAGACTGACTATGTCTGCTGACTGACCTAGTTGAGTGGCGACCCAGAAGATGTGTGTAAAGTATCCTGACAATGGTGGGAGAGTTCCAGGCAGTGGGGAAAAATACCATATACAGCCTGATACATACAGACACAAGACAGCAGTGGCATAACAGCCTCATGCCATTTAGAGACGGCCATTTTGAGACTAAAGTGTCCACTTTACATGTGAAATTAAAGTGTTGCGAGGGTTAGGATGTCGGTAGGCTATCAGAATATGGCTGAAAGTTGGCAGAAATATATTCATAACAGTATTCATAACCAATAAAACCGCAAGACGGTTGTTGACATAAATTGACATAAACATTCATGGAATTTTTACGTACCGATTATGAATACGGTATGTATGGGTTATGAATGTGTTATGAAGTCCTTATGTAGGTACTGTTCTCTTCAAGTAAAGTGTTACCATCATTTCTGTAATTCTGTGTCTGACTCTCTGTGTTTCTACCTCGCTCCCCTCCCCAGGTCCGAGCACCTGTATGTGTTCTTCGTCCAGTGGAGTCCAGACATGTATGGGGAGGGGGTGAAGGGCATCGGGCACGAGCCAGGGTTCATGGTGGTCAAGAAGCCTTCAGGGTCCGAGACTGGGGAAGACGAACCCCTCACGGATATCAACAACAAAGAGTGGGAGGTAAGGACTAGAGAACTGAGGTGTTCAACACTACATTCTACACTGTTGTTTCTTACATGGCTGGATTGTGCTGTACAGTAGTATGTGTAGTAGTTACATTACACGGAGTGTACAAAACATTAGGAACACCCTCCTAATAATGAGTTGCAGCCCCTTTTGCCCTCAGAACAGCTTCAATTCGTCAGGGCATGGACTTTACAAGGTGTTGAAAGCGTTGCACAGGGATGCTGGCCCATGTTGACTCCAATGCTTCCCACAGTTGTGCCAAATTGGCTAGATGTCCTTTGGGTGGTGGACCATTCTTGATACACAGGGGAAACTGTTCAGCGTGAAAAACCCAGCAACGTTGCAGTTCTTGACACACTCAAACTGGTGCGCCTGACACCTACTACCATACCCCGTTCAAAGGCGCTTAAATCTTTTGTCTTGCGCGTTCACCCTCTGAATGGCACACATGTACAATCCGTGTCTCAATTATCTCATGGCTTTAAAATCCTTCTTTAACCTGTCTCCTCTCATTCGTCTACACTGATTGAAGTGACATCAGTAAGGGATCATAGCTTTCACCTGGATTCACCCGGTCAGTCTATGTCATGAAAAGACCAGGTGTTCCTAATGTTTTGTACACTCAGTGTATATTTACTTACTCATCCAGCCTGTGTTGTAGTCCATATGCGTTCTATTTGTTATATGCTTTCATTCAGTCAAGTGATTTATTTTGTAGTGATATGACTGTGTGTAGTGTTAAATGGAATGCATTTGCATTGTTATTCAGCCGTCATTATTGTTCTGTGCTTCTTAAGGATATTTGTGTGTTCAAATTATTGCACAGTCACTTATGATTACATTGTTTTGATAAATCTGTCCAAGTGTTTGCTTGATGTGTTACAGTTATGGTTATTGTGTAATTTGTGTGAATAATATTTCCTTTGGTCGGAAATGCGCAATTTTCACTCAGATTACAACAACCACAATGTTTTGCATGATCGTGTAATCATTTTGTTACAAGTCAGTTGTCCACGTTATTAATGCAGTGTATATTGCATGCATCAATATCTCTGTTGTCGTCGGTCATCACAAACTGTAGTTTTGCTGGATGACCGGACTGACTGACAGACTGACTGTGGTGTTCCGCAGTTGTAGACAGATGGATGAAAAGCTGGTTTGTTTAAGGCCGGGAAGGCACATAGTGAATTCTTTCAAATATCTGGGCATTCTTGTGACCATAATATACATAGTTGTGTTCAGTTCTCTCATTCTCTGCTCTATCCTTAATAGTGGCTTTATGGGATTTTAATTTACCCTCAAATGTGGAAGTAGGGTTTTGGGATTTAAGAAGCAAGATTTTGAAAGAACAAATTAAGGACTGTTAATGCATTAATCTGGTGTGAATGTAGAGGAATGGGAAAACGCCCAGTGTGTGGACATGGCTGCACATGCTTGAGGCATAATGGAGAGAGGATACATTCTTTGCATACAGAAATGGATATGCAAGCTGTGGCTGGGATTAACATGTTAATGTAAATGAATGATGTAGGAAACAAAGTGGGATTTGTTTGGGCCTGGTCCTGAAGAGGCTACATGATCGAGTGATTTGAATAAGTAATTAGTTGCCTCACTTTTACGTTGACCCTTTCAGAGGTAAACATGAATTTTAAACAACACTTCGATTATTTGTCTGTAATGACTGTAATGCTGTTAGCCTTTTCTCGTACTTTATTTGGTCATTGATCATTAGGTCTACTGTGCTTTATGTGTTGTATGTCATGCAATATGGCAAATATGACAAGTCAAGCTACTTCAAGGATTAACGTTTGATGTGTGCCCAAACTACTCAAAGGTGATCCACAAAGCGTTTTATTGTTACAGTGACGTTAGTCGAGAAGTGCATTTGATCTCCCTACAGTACCTCATGAAACATTACAAAAAGTGTACTGGTATTATATCTTTAAATTGCTCTAGTGAAGAATGCAAGTAGGAAGTGCCTTCTGCCTTTGAGCAAATAAGGAGCTGGCTTTGCTCATGTCCTGCATTCCCATTGGCTCTTGAGAGTGTCAAACAAACATCAGAAGACCCATATGAAATGTTTCTATTTTAGTTAGCTAGATTCCCAGCCTGTCCGGTGTTTGGTTCAACCTCGACTTGTGGAGATTGGAATTACTTCAAGAATCTGGAATGTGACTGTCGAGCTCAACCTCACCCCGAAAGAAAGAAATGTTCTCTAGAAGGGTGAAGGAAGAAACGCCGCTGACCCCTAAGTACACTTATGTATGTATCCATAACAGTCCGTGTTTTAGCTACGCGTGTTTTGTTGTTGTTAGCCTGTGAGCTACATAGCTGGATGGTTAGCTTGCTAGCTAAATAGAAATGGCTTGCCCAGTGACTGACTGAAATCAAAATAGCCACTGACATATTTGATGAGTCTAAAAAGACAGCGCTTGATGTTGTTGTCGCTACTTCCTTCTTTTTATCACTCATTTCTTTGGGTTCTCGTTTTGGAAAGTTTTGAGGTTCGAACTTCAGTTTTTTTTTTTGTATCTAACGTTAGTAACTAATAACATCGTAGCTAACCTTGCAACATTGTATCAATGCACTGTATATAGCTTACAGTTCTACAATTTCCATTGCATTGACAGTGATTGGCTTCTCTGTAATGGTGAGAAATTATATCCATAACGTTAGTTGGATAGGCTAATGTTTTGGAAAGAATGACCTTCATGTAAGTTGTTATTTGGGAGGAAGGGAAGTAGAGAATCGCGTGCTTGTTGGAGTCTGGTCCCAGATCTTTGTGCTCTTGCAAAATCCATTGCTCATTGTCAAAAACAAACAGACGGGCACTCAGCGATGGTCGTTTGGCCAGCCTTAAACCTTCCTCCTAAACACTGAAGGTGGGGACTGCAGCAAACTGGCCCTGACTTGGCTTTTCTCAATAGACTGCACTTTAGTGCCAGCTAAAGTTAGGCTCCAAATAAATATTTTATGAACGCTGTAGTTTACCCTTTTCTTTGCATTATTGAGAACTGTAATGTGACAACTTGTTTGGGAGAAGGTTATTTACTCCACCAGTAGTAAGGTAACTAAAGAGGTGTTTCAAGGTAACTTATTTCTGCTTGACCCAAGTTTGCTCAATCCAACTTGACTCAATTAGCTTTTACCTAGTTTATGGCAGCAATTAATTTAGAGCCTAATTCTATAGTACAGTGGTTCCCAACCTGGGGTCCTGCGCCCCCCTCGCCAGAGTTCACAGGGGGGGGTGGGATCTCATTTGCTTTGAGGTCAAACATGCATAAAATGTTCCACTATAATTTAATTGTCAAATTAATACATTTTAAAATGTTATTAAAAATAATATGCTTGCAATGCCAAGGCCAATCTAAAAAATAATAATAATGACAGAGAAACGTAAAAGCGGTAATTCCCCGAAAGAATGTGTGCACGTCAATGACCTGCGCTCAATCAGTTTCAGCTAGCAGCGAGTTTTTCCTGCAGTCAGAGCATCACTATTTTATGAATAAAGAAATGTAAAAGTGCTGATGACTCATCATCAAAAAATAAAGTAAGGCTATATCTTGAGAGTTATCTTAACTTCGGATTTATTGAAGGACAGGACAGGACTCAGTGTCATTTGTGGCAAGAAGCTAGCTAATGACAGCATGAAGCCAAGCAAAATGCAACGACACAAGGAAACAAAACACCAGGAGACTATTGGTGAAGGTCAGGATTTTTTTGAGAGGAAGAAGCAGTTGGCACTATCAAAAAGATCCACAGACATCAGAAAAGCATTTGAAAGAGCAGGCAGTGATTTACACAGAGCCACAGAGGCATCATTTCAGTGTTGGCTATTAATTGCCAAGGCTAAAAAGCCGGACAATATTGGAGAGCAGCTAATCAAACCCGCCTGCCTGAAAATTGTAGAGAGGCTGCGGCCCACAAGTGGTAGAGAAAGTGAGAACCGTCCCACTCTCTGACAACACTGTCAAAGACAGAATTGATCAAATGGCTGAAGATTGTCAAAACCAGCTGAACGAGAAGCTTCAGGTTCCCTTTGCCATTCAGTTGGATGAAGCAACAACAGTGTCAGACGAATCCGTGCTCATCGTTTATGTGCAATATATTGACAGTGATGACTTGAAACAAGACATATGTCTACCAATCTAGCCACAACAACAACAGGCCAAGATATTTTTTATAGCTATGGACTCATATCTCTCGTCCAACAATCTGCCCTACGAGAATATTGTTGCATGCTGCACTGATGGGGCTGCAGCGTTGATGGGCAAAAACAAGGGATTTAACAGCCGATTGAAGGAAAAAGCCCCAGGGTGCGCAATTTTCCACTGCATGCTACATCGCCAAGCATTGGGCAGTAAAAAACGTACGGAAGACCTTAGTAACACCCTGGCAACTGTTGTAATTTTCATTAAGGCTCGCCCTACTAACGAGACAGTTTGCCCAGTTGTGTGAGGATGAAGCGCATCAAACACTGCTGTTACACACAGAGGTACGCTGGTGGTCACGTGGACAAGTGCTTGTGCATTTTATGGAACTGCAGGAAAAATTAAGGAATTCTTGCAAGATCACAATCGACCACTGCGAACAGCTGACTGAAGCGTTTTGGATCAAAACGGCAAACCTAGCAGATACATTCACTCTTTACAATGAGACAAACAAGCGGATGCAGGGTCCTGAATGAAACGTCATGCAGTGCAAAGACGCTCTCAACGCTTTTGTGCGGAAACTGGAGTACAGAGTTGGAAAAATGTCAAAAGGGGAGCTACAACAATTTCCACTGCTGATGAAACAGTCTGGTGGCACTGTGTCTGTGTCTTTACGCACTGAGTTTACCCGGCACATGAACATGCTTCGGGAGGAAATTAAATCCTGTTTTGCCGATGTTGACGAATACTTATCAAAGGAATCGTGGGTGATGGACCCTTACATTTGCAGTCTCGAGGACGTGTAATACCTCGGCTGTGAAGATGAGCCTGCTGACCTTCAAGCCGATTCTGTGTCAAATAAATATTTCCACGAGAGCGGATACAAAAAGTTTTGGATTGTCAAAGGATACGCCGTTGCACCCAGACTGGCCAAACACGCAGCTACAAGGGTTATTCTACCATTCAGCACTACGTACCTGTACCTGTCTGAAACGGCCTTCAGCGCGCTTGTAACAATAAATTCAAAAGCCTGTAACAGGCTCGATGTCCACCAGGACTTCAGGCTGGCTGTCACTAGCATCACACCTGACATCCCATCCCTGGTCAGCGGTATGCAGGCCCAAGGTGGCCATTGATTGTAACTTGCTGTTTGTTATTGTTACTTATTGTTATTTTTATAACACATACATTATAGCTGTGTCAAAACCAGTGTTCACATGATGTACATGTGTGTATGCAACAAACTGCCCGGTTTCAGTTAATTGGTCTGAGGGAGATCTAAGACAGAGCTATATAGGTGCTGTTAATCACTTATTACGCTGATAATGAATCATTATTATTATTTTGGTAACAATGTGTGTGTATAGGCCTACAGTTAATTATACACAAAGATAACCAGGGCAAACCAAAGAGAAAAGGAAAGGGGGGGGGGGGCTCAGCTTGTCTTAGATACAAGTAGGGGGGGCTCCAAGGAAAAAGGTTGGGAAACCACTGCTATAGTAGATTCAGACAATTTCATAATTGTTCTAGTTTTAGACATGCAGTATCGTAACATATTTATGGATAGGCTACATTTGCAGGTGTACACAGCTCCGGTCCTTGAGGGCCACCCAACCACAGCACTGCTCATGTCCATCCTTATAGAGACAGATTAAGTAGGCCTACTGTACTGTATCTGGAGTTGTGCACCCCTTGGATGGCTTTGTTATGCTATTTCATATGATCCCACTTTGTACTGATTCATGGTCACATCCCCTTGAAGAGCTGGGCCTCAAGGGGCTTAGCTACCTTCTGAAGTAGAAGCCAGGCTTTAAGGTGTTATTGTGGAGGTAGAACTATTGTAAGACTCAGCCCGAACTGCTGATGGGCTATTTTGAAGGGGGGATTCCCGTGTGCTAGCTTGCATGAACTCTGTCTGGCGCAGATGTTTGCTTCAGCGCATTATTATTAATGATGATGATCAAAAGCAGCATTAGGGCTGGGAATTGCCAGGGACGTCACCATACCATATTATCACGAGACTTAGGTGCCGATAGGATATGTATTGCAATTCTCAACGATTCTGCTTATTGCTCACTATATGTCAGCTGCAGAGAGACAAGAGCATTAGAAAATGAGTTTTGATCAGTCATGGAAGTACAAGTGCTGAAACTGTCGTATCACCTACGGTCCAACGGATCCTCTCAATTGAATAAGATTATCAGAAGAATGTCCTTGTATGGCTTCTCTGGTTTTAATTAGTTTTGGTTCTGGCTGTGTCAGAATGGCTTGTCTGTCTCTCCTCCCTCTGGCTGGTCCTAACATCCTGTAGTGGTGTTGATTTAGATTACACAACCATGCAAAACACTCTATTCTCTTGGTTCATATCAACCACCTCTTGTTCAAATGTTAGACTTCAAACCAAATCTGTCTGTGGGCTAGGCTATGTAAAAGATGGCCTGAGTCCATGTGACTAGTCTATTTAATGGAGACCTGAATATCACATACTGGTAGATCTATAAATATAGATGGTGATGTCAGGTCTCCACCTTCAAATGTACTGTGTCTCTCCTCCCTCTGCTGTGCTTATCCTTTTCCCTCCATCGCCAGCAGCTGAGTTACACTTCCTGTTCCTGTCTCCGCCCCCCCAGGTAGTGTCACTGACTGAGTACCACCGCCGGATCGATGCGCTAAACAGCGAAGATCTGAAATCTCTCTGCAAGCGGCTTCAGGTGCCCAACCCAGCAAAGTTCCAGCTCTCCATTCCCTTTTTCTAGACTACGTCCCAAATGGCACCCTATTCCTTATGTAGTGCACTATGTTTGGCCACTATTATGTAGGGAATAAGATGCCATTTTAGATTTGCCCCTACCAGGCTCTGTTAGAGCTCCTCAGTGGGTTTCTGACCTCTTGCCTCTCACCCAGTTGGCCTACTTTGGCCTACCTGGGCTGACCTGGGCTAACCTGGGCCTGGGCTAACCTTGACCTGAGCTTACCTGGGCTTACCTTTACCAGGGGCTTGGGATGGGCCGGCACTATGATGCTGCAGCCTCGTGTAGCAACTGTCCTATGAGGATAATTTGAAGAGTTTTCTGCAACCAGCAACTAATACCTGGTAGAGAAAGGGAGGAGGGTAATTGATGCCTTCATGAAGGGCCCATAATGCCCTGCATATCTACTTCTCACAGCTCCTCACTGACCACTGCTGTGGTTAGTTTCAAGAAGGCCTCATTACTGTTATTAATAGCCATAGCTAATTAGATAGCCTAGGCCCAAGGTTGTCATAGAGAGACAAATAATGTGAATCATAATACAATACGTTGTAGCCTATATCTGTTGAGGGAGGTGGATTTTCCTGAGGTTTCTCGACTCTGTCAATCACATGTGGAATTTGTGTTCCTCCACTTCTGAGTGACGCCTCACAAACTGTGTTCATCCATCCACATCTGGGTAGTGATGAACTGCTGCTTCCCCATCCGCCTCTGCTTTCTATTGGAGGGAGAGGGGAAGGGAGGGAGGTAGACGGGGATGGTGGGTGGAAGTGGGATTCCTTTCAATCCATTAAGTGGGTGCAGGATTGTTTGCAGAGGACAATGCAGGTAATTCAACAGGACTGTAACGTGATCACGGTCAGGCCACCAGTGGCTAGGCTCTCTACAATCAGGTCTGTTATGGAGAAAGATAAACAACCCCGCTGGAACTCACAGTCCAGCGCTGTGTGTCCAGCTCAATCACAAATAGGTCTTCTGGACCACTCATTATTTACTGGATGTTTTGCATTCTCCAGCCAACATTCCAAATGTGCTAACTATAGAAATATCCAGTGTCAGACGTTGTACAATGTAGCCTCCTGATTTGCCGACTGTATATGGATATAATGCACATTTCCAAGTGTTATTGCAATTTTGAAGAAGCCTACATGTTTGTATGAGCCATTTATGCTCCCATAAGCCAAGGCTGGCTCCTTACCTTTACTATGTGTTATAGACATAAAGGAGTCTGGTCTATGTTCTCCCTAAACCCGTTGCTGCTTGATTTATGATTTTCAAAACGGAGTTCATTTTTTATATTAAGTAGGCCTATCTTGTATATTTGCGTTTCCTGGGGCTCATATTACACTGCAAATAATCCTGCCTCTGCTGATATGAGACTTTATTCATATCTTTTAAACCACCTGCTTAGAAGTCAAATGACACACCCCCACTCCTAGTAAGTTATGTGGTATCGGTTTATTAGCCTATAGAAAACATCTAGCACAGTGTTCATCCCAGAGTCTGGCTGTGTCCCAAATGGCACCCTATTCACTATAAAGAGCATTACTTTTGACCAGGGCCAAGTAGTGCACTATGTAGGGGATAGGATTCCATTTGGGACATAGCCAGACTCTGGGATGAACACTGTGCTAGATGTTTGATAGACACCCCATTACCCTCACTAGTTGACCCCCCACCCCTCCCACCCCTCCTGAACGCCTGTCTGACTGTTGTCTGTGTGTTTTTAGATCACCACCAAGGAGGAGGTGAACTCTAAGCATGCCACCTCTATCAAGACGGAGCTGGAGCCTGAGACCTTCAGACCCAACCTCAGTGAACCTAGCGAGCTGCTGGAGGCACACCAGATAGAGAAGGTAATAACTCACACTGTTGACGGGCACAATGACTTGATCCATACCCATTGGCATATTGATGCACTGAAACTGATTGTCAATAATCTGCTTCCTAAAGCATCCTCATGATTGACTTTCAACCACAGGCCTTCAGCCAGAGATGTGCTGCCCCACCCTGGGGAGCAATCTGCATAGTGACAGCAGGTTCTTTAGCCTCATCATTACAAGGCTGATGGCGTAGTAGCTGAATCAGAGAATCTCTATAAATTACAATACTGGGATGGTTGGGGTTTTCAGATAAGGTCTGTTAGGGTTTTAACATGGGTGAGGTGGGGTTTCTTCAGGAAAAAGGCATATTTGCATGTATAGCTGTTGGGGAAAATGGATTCTTGTTAGGACATGCGTCGAAGGAAGGAGCCTTAGGAATGTGTGTGACTAGCCTGCTGCACTCTCATTGTAGGTCTCTCTGTGGTCTACACTTAAAGCCTGTTCTCCTGAGACTGTGGTTCTGGGTGTGTGGAGCCCAGTTACTCTCTAACAACCAGCTGTGTGAAAAGGTCACTGCAGCTGTAATGGACCATTGATGGCCTTTCTCTCTTTCATTTCCATGTATTTCTTCCCCCTCCAGCTGGCCAAGAACCTCCCTCCCCGTACCATTGGGTACCCCTGGACCCTGGCCTATGGCACCACCAAGCATGGCATGAGTATCAAGAGCCTGTACCGGGCCATGCAGGGGCAGGACACCCCCGTGCTGTTGGTCATCAGGGACAGTGATGGTGGGGTGAGTGGGACAACAACACTTCTCTATTAGGCCTGAATCCTAAATCCAGATCTGTGCACGTAATTCAAATTTGCGTGAAAATCCTCCATTAACATCAATGCATAGTTTATGCGAAAGTGTGTTAGGATTGGGCGCTTGAGCTGTAATAGATTACCATGGTCCCGTACTGTCTGTTTCCTGATCTGATGTGTTCTGGTTGGTTGTGTTGCTGCAGGTGTTTGGTGCATTGGCATCGGAACCTTTCAAAATCAGCGAGGGATTCTACGGCACGGGAGAGACCTTCCTCTTCACCTTCTGTCCAGAGTTTGAGGTAGGCTGACCTCTGACCTCTCTGATTGGTGACCCTTATTCTGAACTGACCAGTGTGGTCCAGTCACTTTTACTCCTAACATCCATTGTAAACTCATCCACCCCTGCTCAGAACTCAGCAATTAACATGTGCATCGATAAGCTCAGTTGTTTGCCTTATTAAATGAATGAGTCATCATATTGTTATTAGTATGTCTCATATTCTCTTGACAATGGGGAGCTTATGTAAGATGGCATGAGACTTTGTAATGATATATTTACACAGATGGTGCTCTGTTCTGTGTTGACAGGTGTACAAATGGACAGGTGACAACATGTTCTTCATGAAAGGAGATATGGACTCCTTAGCTTTTGGTGGTGGAAGGTACGTGCCTGCTATTTTTTTTCAATGTTAAAGTTTTATTTAGCAATCAACTTTGTTAAGATGTTATGGTTAGTCTACATTGCACAGTCACTGCTAGGTGTCTTCAGAAGAGTAAAATGGTGCCTATAGTCTAAGATGATCAGAATCAGAACTTGCTGTCTGGATTGAGTCTCTGAAGATGCCGTGATGTGTTTGTCTTGATGTGTTTCAGTGGTGAGTTTGGCCTGTGGTTGGATGGAGACCTGTACCACGGCAGGAGTCACTCCTGTAAAACCTTCGGCAACCCCATGCTCTCCAAGAAGGAGGATTTCTATATACAGGACATTGAGATCTGGGCTTTTGAATAACAAAACCCACCACGGGAAAAAGAGAAGGACTAAACATCCCTACAATGGCAATGTTGTCTCAAACCTAACTGCACATCACCACCCTGCTCCAACCCACTGTCTGGGGCTCCCAGGACAGAGCCAGCTAAAGGATGCGTGTTGTGCGTTCATACGTTACTACTGCAGTTATAACAGAGCTTTTCTTTGTGAATTACCTTGTGTGTATCTTGTTACAACTGTGTGCAGCGTCATTGAGGAGGTGTACTGTCCTGTGCTTGACTTTACTGTGAGGCATCAGGGGATGTGTGGGTTTGTTTGAGACCGTAGGGAGGCCTTGTTGCAGAACCAAGGAGGAGCAATCGGCTCGCTATCTCTGGCCTCAGCAGGAGATGATGTCGGCTCAGGTTTAGGATTGAGCGAGAGAGAGAGAGAGAGAAACTGCCGTAGTCCAGATTATCTGAATTTGAGACACTCAAGGAACCCCGCCCCTCAGAACTTTGTTGAAGTCAGTCTGTAGGATGTTACTATAAGTGGTGTTACAAGCCTTTAATGAAGAGATCCAGTAATAAAATAAACAACAACATGCATTCCTTTGTTCTCAGAGGAGAAGTTTGAACCTGAAGGCAGATTCTCAGCAGGATGCGAGGATGGGGATGGTGACACTATTATGAGGGGGAAAAGTATTTTACATATTTGGTTTACTTCTGAGGCAGAAACTACGTATAGAGTATTGTGTTTTGTAGTCCTCCTGTTGTTCACCATCATAGCACACACCATCTCATAGCACATAGCTAGAATCAGAATATTACCCATTGTCGTAATAATAACGTTCTGTTCAGTGGGTGTACTACATGTGAGTTCAGCTATCACCGGCGCCCCTCAGGTGTCGTGTGTACTGTTCGTAGACAGTAATGTGTTGCAATAGATTTGTGGAATATGCAAATTACTGTCATGTGACCTCAAATAATCCAGGTTGGCACTTTTCCTCGCCTGTCTGTGGTTCTTTCTCAGAGAGGACTTGTAAAGCTTTTATGTCTTGATCCACAATTGCTTTTTTTCGGTATAATTTGAAAAGTCTGAGACGTGGTTAACTGTTTTACATGCATATGACAATTGTATATTATTTATATATATTTGATTATATATAAATATATTATATATATGTTGCTGTTGTGTGACAGTGATCTTTTTGTGCTGATATTTCAGCTGTTACAAATATAATGTATATTACCCTGTAAATTCATGTTAAAATAGTAGATTTGTTCCTATATAGAAATACATATATGATTGGTGGGTTGCTTCTAGCACTTTAATCCGGTCTAAAAGCGTTATAAACCAGGTTCTTAGACTTCTAGTAGCTGTACAGTACTTTTTGTTTAGAATCATAAACATGTTAACTGTTAGTAGAAAGCTTGCTGCTATAATATTAATAAGGGTAAAGCTAAACTAATGCTCTGTGTAACTAAAGGAGAGTGGTGTGGAGGCTGAATGTCGAAGAAGAATTTAACTCACAAGTTATTTTGAGTGGTGAGTCTTTGTTAGTAGGTAGACTGTTAACAGACTGTGGACTAAGAGAAAATATGTACATTTAAACTTCACAGCAGCTTTCCTCCTCCTTTCTGGTTTTCCACACCAGTATCTGTGTCTGTGGAGTCACAAAGAATAACATGGATAAGTCCTCTAATTATTTTACAGGAATACAATGTATTAGTGATGTATAAATGAATAAATAACAATAAAATTGTTGTAACCTGGGACATGTCTGTCTGGGTTTGTATTGCTTTCGATCCCCTCATTCTTCTTCCAGCATTTGCACTAACTTTTTGATTGTATATTGAGCGCCACCTAGTGGACATTTGTATTAGTGCTTTTCAGGACTATTGGTCATCACCTCAGTAACATTAATCTAGCAAAAAGTTTTATTGAATAAAAACAAATCAGTGGGTCGATGGTAAAGATAAAACATCAGTCTCCAAATGATGATATTTAACTCCATTATTGCTCATTTATTAAACAAGAAATTAAACAAGATGTAATTACAAGTAAATATTCTTAACACAGTGCAAAATTCTGTCATGAATTCCTCTCTAAACTCTGAAGAGATTGATGGAGCAGTGGACCATCGGTCAGGGACTTGTTTTGGGGCTGGGCTCCATCCAACTATCTCAGGTCCTGAATCAGCTCCCATCTCATTGTGCTATTTGTTTCTGTTGCAACCCTCCTCTCTTCTTCCTCCAGGCACACTGGAGGGTCCACTAGGTGGCGCTCAACACTGCAATCCTCAGACAGTCACGCTTTAATTCCAGCAGGTGATCACAACTGAAGAATGACTTTTAAAGAAGTGAACGTACCAGAGGTGTCATGGAAAAAAAATGTGTAAAGAAGAAAAACTTTTAAGGCAGGAAAACCATAACTTGGCAAAAGTTAAGGACAGGCGATCTGACTTGAACCAATAAACAGTTCAATACATTATCATTTGTTTGTACATGTACAGTTAAAATAATTGCAAATGCACAAGGAACATACTTTTTCAGAACAAAATAAGGATACCGTTTGGAGGAAGGGTAGACAAACAGCCAACTGTGTTTTGAGCCGTCATTTACACTCAGCTTCATGTGGGGGAACCAACATGTGGGGGAACCAACAGTGTAAGTGCTTCGGGTTGAAAGAAGTCATTGGCATGGAGAGAAGATAGAAGACAACCACAGTCGTTTACAAGCAGGGCGGACATTTTTTGTCCTCATGCTCAATTTCCACAAGAAATTAGCATCAAAGTGGTTTGACAGACACCTGTAGTCAGTTCTACTGTATATTCAGCTGGTTATTTGGTCAAATTTGCAATTAAGAGTTGCTAATGCAAACCTCTTATTACGCATTGTCTGTTACACTATGTAATTACATGGTTGTAATGTACATTCTGAATATGCAAGGCATTACTAAATAATAATTGTCACTGTCAATTTAGACCTCGTCCTCAGAAGACATCTTCACATTGAGCAGACCTTTAGGCAGGGATAAAGAAAGGCATTTGACCAAGATAAAAGCCTTCAGCACTGAATAATAGTCCCTTTAGAGACCTGTACCAGATCCCTGTTGATAGTCATGATAGGATGGTGTAATATTAAAGAGGCTACACAGAATTGTTGCCTCTAGGTGTGCTCTTGAGCCAAAAAGGGATCCCTGGCCTAAATGGACAGAAACATTGACCAAAAATTACTTAATTAGACAGAAAGTGGCATGCCTCCCCACACCCAACGAGTAAAAGCATAAATTGTTGGCCTAAAACTAAGTGGTTTCATATAGATCATACATACAGCCAAAATGTGACTTGACAGTTGACAACTACACTTCCATAGTGTATCTTTAGGTCACTGTACTGTTTGTATGTCATGTCACCATAAGGCTGGTGGTGTGTGTATTCTCCACCGGGGGTCAGTGATGGCACTGCTCAGTAAACCAGAGTCGTATTCACTAGAAACTAAATGGAAGACACCAGGCAGAAACAGGGTAGGGGACAACCTGAACTTGTCTTCGTATTCCATTGCAAAATGTTTTCCTACGTTTGTGCACTAATGAATACGACCCTGTTGTCTAAGGCTGGTGTGCGTTCCACCGGATTAGGGCTCAGATTAGAGCACTGCTCAGTACACCAGGTACTTCAACTCAGAGTAGATGAGGGGAAACATGACGGTACAGGCGCGGTACAGGATAGCTCCACTCGTGAATAAGGCTCGGGGTTTGGTGAGCCACGACTCAGACTTGAAGCTGTAGTAGATGGCGTACAAGGCGACGGCAAAGAAGTGTCCTATCAGAGTCATCGGATGGGGCGTCAACCTGGGTATAGAATGGATTGAGAGTTAATTAGAACCATAGACTATTGATTGATGGAATTTGATCATTAATAGTAGTAGGCTGCCCAAGCTGGAGACAACATTACATACATAACAAATTATCGAGGATAAAAACACAATAAGGGCCAAAGGCTTATTTCCATTGTGGTCCTCTAATGTCAATACAGGTGCATGTACAGTATACATTTCTATACACTGAGTATACAAAACATTAGAAACACCTGCTCTTTCCATGACATAGACTGACCATGTGAATCCAGATGAAAGCTATGATACCTTATTAATGTCACCTGTTAAATCCACTCCATCAGTGTAGACGAAGGCGAGGAGACAGGTTAAAGAAGGATTTTAAAGCCTTGAGACAATTGAGACATGGATTGTGCATGTGTGCCATTCAGAGGGTGAATGGGCAAAACAAAATATTTAAGTGCCAATGAAATGGTATTAGGTGCCAGGCGCATCGGTTTGAGTGTGTCAAGTACTGCAACGCTGCTAGGTTTTTCACGCTCAACAGTTTCCCGTGTTTATCAAGAACGGTCCACCACCCAAAGGACATCCAGCCAACTTGACACAACTGTGGGAAGCATTGGAGTCAACATGGGCCAGCATCCCTGTGGAACACTTTCAACACATTGTAGGGTCAATGCCCCAACAAATTGAGGCTGTTCTGAGGGCAGGGGGGGGGGAGCAACTCAATAATAGGAATGTGTTCCTAATGTTCTGTACACTCAGTGTAATGTATATACGTGAATATTTTACAGACATATTTTTTGAATGGGGAATATTGCATTGACATGACATACACAGTAAAGGATCAACTGTAACAGTTTTGGAAGTGTGTCGAGCACATTAGTGAGACTCACACTGAGAGAAGACCAATGGGACCATTGATGCACTCCCCACCCAGCTTGAAGTAAAGGAAGCACGCCTTTCTCAGCTGGTGGAGAGAATCTGAAAGACACAAACACCAAACAGCTCATATGAATATACATGTCAGTCAGGAAGGACATTATGCTAAATGGTACAGTATATCTCAGTGTAGCACCACGCTAGTAAAATCCACAGCTTAACGCTAAATATAATTTCAGCAGAAATCATTTATACTGAATATGTCCTAAATTTCCCTCTCTGTTTGCTATAATCGCCCCTAGCTAAGTGTTTAGTGTCAGTTATTTGAGGTATATGGACATAAATTATACTGAGTAGAAGTACTGGACCATTAGAAAACAAATGATTGAAGTAGAGACATTGGTAACAGTTTAATTAAAGCCTACAGGTATAATGCATTATGATGTCATTATAATGCACCGAAAGACTTGTCATAAGCATGTATGACCTTATTCTATCTATCCTGTGTTGGCAGAGGACAGAAAAAAGAACAGAGAAGGAGACTCACTGTCTGTTGCAGCAAACAACTCATACAGGGCTTGAGCCAACACATTCACCACAAAGGAATGTGATGACTTGCGTTCCCAGTGGAATTTTTTCTTTGCCTATTATTTTAAAAAACACACAAAAAACATTCAGCATTATACAGTATATCCTAACATTGCTCTGTAACTATTCCTTTGACTAGTACAACACTGTGGATTACAGAAACAATATGCCCTGTGCCGCACATAAAACTCCCTAACGGTCTGTGGTAGCAGGTGATTACAATGCAATATGGACCCACATTCCACAAAACAACAATACACATTCCAACCAAGGCCATTCAGACAGTGAAAATGTGTGTGGTGGAGTCTGGTCTGGTGGAAGCGCTGCTGACTCCGGACCACATATCCCCCTGGTTGGCCATTCTGTCTGAACCACTCTACTGCCTATCCCTTCTCTGTAATACCCACTGTCCAATCATTAACATAATACTGACTGTAAGTCACTCTGGATAAGATGACCAAAATGTAATGTAAATGTAATAATCATAAGAAAGGGGGATGAGATTAGGGATGTGAGTTTACCTGGAGCATGGCTGTGTTGTCGTACAGGTCAGGGATGTTCTTCATCAGGCTCCTCCAGATCAGGACGTCGTTGAGGGCCACACTCATCCCTCCTCCGGTCAGAGGGTGTCTCATGTTGTAGGCATCACCCAGTAGGAGCACACCTGGAAGAGGACAAAGGCCCATGTTAGCCCCAGTCCTCACCTCACTAACATCACACATTTACACTGCTAGAGGGACCATCTTTTTCAGCAAAATATCTGATCTGGTCAATCTACTTAGCTAAAGATAAAATAATATACAGTTAATGAACATAACAAATGGAGCAATGCAGTTGGTCTAGTATTTATTTTGAGGCTTTCAAGGTTTATTGCTGTTTTAAGAGAGAAAGTTTCTCTGTCATGCTATAATGGTGGTAGAGACTCCACACAGCCAACATTAAACTCTCCAAGGATGCGTTCCAAATGGGACCCTATTCCATTTGCCCTTTGGGACACAGCCCAACACTGTGGTCAGTACTAGTGTCCTACCTGGCTTGTTGACTGGGGACGGAGGCAGGAAGCTTGCTGGCATAGACCTCAGCCGGTCATTCTGCAGAGCCACCATGAACGGCTCTTTTAGGTGTTCTAGAGAAGAGACAACAGAGCCAGGTCAGAGGTCACACATTCATCACCACAAAGATGGGTGGATAAAGAATTTTAATCAACATAGAGTGAACGTCAACCCATAATGCCGTCATTTACTTTTCATGTGTTGAAGCTCTCAAGCACATAGTCATGTGGGTGCTATACATTGGTGGTGGATATGGTTAGTTTGCCCTAAAGTCTCACAAGACCCAAGGCCATCCTTCCATCCCTCCATACAATGTAAAGGATGTTGAACACATGGGAAAGCTATACTGTTTAAATCTCTATAGTGTATACCCTAAATCCCTTACCTGGTAGTTGTGGGTGTATTTTCTCAGCCATGTACTCGGTGAGGTTCCTGGGCATCTCTCCCCTGATGTCCACCAGTACCCTGGTGTCTGAGGAGGAGATCTGGTAGATAAGGACAGGGCTGGGGTTGGCCAGGACCAGCTCAGCATGGTGGGGCTTGAACTGGGGAGAGTTCTGACCACGACAGGAGAGGACAGAAAGGAAATACATTAGTCTGACTGCATTTTACTAATTGTTTGGTTGGTTGGTTGGTTGGTTGGTTGGTAAAAAGTGTCTGCTAAATGGCATATGTTAGTTGGTTGGTCGGTCGGTCGGTCGACTCATTGATTTGCTCGTTCATTCATTCATTCATTCAACATAATACTTGAACAAACCTTCATGATGCATCCAACAAAGTGAGAGGAGGTCTGGGCCTTCCCAGCTACCAGGCTCTTCCTGAACTTTGAGAAACAGCCGTCAGCTACTACAGTTACTGCTGCATGGACCTCCTATGGGACAGGTTAACACAATTACATCAGTTAAAAACACATCTGTTACACTGCTTGTCTTATCAATGGATCCTGGTGAATTGCTAATCAATAGGTGTAAATACTGTCAAGTGTAATTGTGAGTATCAGCATGGGGCTATTTTACACAGCAACGGCTATCTGTAGAGTACCAAAGTATAAGCTGCATCACAAGCTTAGAGTTTACCTTTGTGTCTCCTGTCTCCTTGTCCCTGTACTGCACTCCTGTCACACAGTCATCCTCTTCCTCCAGGCTGGACACAGTGCCTTCTATGAACGTAACACTAGGGGAGAGCAAAGTACCAGCTATTAAGAAACAGTAGTTCTAGTGATGGTATTAATAGAGCCGGGTTCTTCTGAACATATGACCTGACCAGGAAAAACATAATCAGGCTATAACAACTAAACCCTGGAGTTGGTCCTGGTCAAGTCATGTGGTCAGGAAAAAACGTGTGGCCATAGTGATAGTAATGATATGTCCAACAGGTATAGTGCAGGTTCCCTCCCAGGCTTACTTTGGCTCAGCGAGCGCGACTCTGCGCAGGCCCATGATAAAGCGTCCGTGGTGGAAGGCCCTGCCACACTGGATACTGCTGTCTGCCTGGGGATATGGGATCTCCACCTCTGTGCTGCTCTCAATGTCATGAATCACATAGCCGTTCACCACGTGGGCATCCAGCCCCTCCACCGAACCTGAGAGGAGAGCCCAGGGTTAGGCAACAGTTTGTTCAGTCTCACTTTAAACAAACAACAACTTATAAAGCCTTTATTAAGTTGTCATAAGCCCTATATAGGTCCTGCAGTGAGCCTTGCTCGTTGAGCACAGCCCCCATTTAATGCAAGGGCTTGTTGCGAGTCAGCCCATTGGTCGTTTGCCCCACGCTATCACCTTTTTACACGTAGACCCCACGCTAAAAGATCTCTAGTCCATGCTCCAGAGACCACTCACCCTCCATTCCCAGTTCTCTCAGGGCCCTGTATCCACCAGGCTGCAGCAGCTCTCCCACTATCCTGTCAGGCTCCTTCAGGTCCCTCTCTATCACAGTGACCCTCCGGCCGTCCCGGGCCAGCACTGCAGCCATGGCCGACCCCAGGACTCCCGCCCCTACGATGATCACATCTGGCTCCTGAGATGCAGGAGAGTCACCTGCTGCTGGGGGGCTCTCCATGCCTGAGGAAGCCACTCGTTTCCTCCTGCCACCTCCCTGTTTGGAGAGAAAGCGAGGAGGGTGGGGAGAGACAGAAACGAATTTAAATCATTAAATGGGCATGTTCATGGTACTTTGCAATGGTGATTGAAAAGGTGTATGGTTTGCTATAACAAAAAGGCTTCATTAGAGGTGTTCTGTTAAATCTCAAACAATGATGAACATTCAAAGAATTGTTTGAGATTTAAATAAACACATAGATCTGCAGGTCTCAATGGTACTTACCCATAGAAGATTAAAACATATATAATTGCACTATAATTGGACACTATTTTATTGTATATAGTGTATACTGAAGTAGGCCAACGGGTGAGAATAATAATAATTGGGTTTTTGGTCTTCAACAGATTGTAGTTATTATTACTCACCTTCTTTGAAGCGCTCTCTCCACTCCTGTGCCTGACAGCTGAGGGTTTCGGTATAAATGTATTGATGACCGGTAGGGTTAATAAAAGTTCCAGCGGTAATTGTAGAATTTGGGGTACCTTGAATGTATGTCCGTGGTACCTGACATAGGATAGCAGCATCCCCACTGCCAAGAACACTACAGCCGCCAGGATTATCTCTTTGTGAGCATACTCCAAAACTGCGTCGCATTTCTTATAAATGTAGGTGAAACTTGCAATTCCAAGAAAAGTCCACATCTTTATTATATTATTATACTAGGCTACTTGAAATGAATAGGCTAACTCATTCAATAAATTATCACTGCTCAGAGTGTTTCCTAACCTACAACCTGAAACTAAATTCCCAAAACAAAAAGTAGCCTAGATCATGGAATAGAATAAAGTGCGCAATAAAATCTCAGCACAGTTCAGCAATTACTATTTCAGAAATAACAAATATTATATCTATAGGCATAGACTATTGAGCATCCTATTTTAGATGCTTTAGCAGATCGTAGGCCTAGTAATATTTAAAATATATATATATATATCCGTTAATCCAAAAGAAAAGTATCCAAACCCATGACAATTATTCCACCAGATATTTCAGATGGTTTCAGAGGTTGCTAAATATGTTTTGATAATGAGATAGGTAGGAACTTCGGGTTCGCAGGTTTGGTGTCCCGCCCTCTCTGTATCTGAACCGTCCAATCAGGAACAGCACATCCGTGAGCAGAGCTCACGCTATCTGGCCATTGGCCAATCCTCGGCTGCTGGTTGGAGCGCTGGCTGAGCGAGGATAGTATGATATGATGTCACTGGAAAGGTGTCATAGACCGGTTTCTGTGCTTGCAAACATTGCCGCACGAGGGCGATGCGCGCAAGTTGGTGGCAGAACAATGGGACGTTCTTATAGAACACAGGGGAAAGCCTCTATTTACATGTTGCTTATGAGTGCATTTCATACTGTTTGGATTATGATTTGATTTTAAGCCTTGTATGAATGTCCCGCTTAATATTATATTTGTGACATCATCGCAAATCAACTGCATTATACTAAAAAACACTTCAAACAGTAAAATGGCTCTTTGGCTAGCTTTTGCTACAGCCTATATCAATGAGCGTTAGCATTCTAGCTAACAACTGCTACATCCAAAATAGTTCATTTGCAAAGATCACAACCAAATATAATCTTAGAGACTGTTCAAGCAAGAATCAAAACATAATTGTAAGCGTATGAGAACCCCAAAAGTGTATTTTGTTTAGAAGTAAAACAAACGTAAATGTAGGCTATGGTGAATGCGCGCAGATGGCGATGGCTTTCCTACTGCCGCTTTTTTACTGTCAGTGTGTCGTATACTGGAAAGGGGTCTATCGGTCTACAATTTTACACACTACCGAGGAAGTTACCAATCCGGTTCACAGTCAGTACTCTTTGCCAGACATAGGAAATAACACTGTTAAGGATTGTGTTACATACCGGTATTTTGCCTTGGGGTGATTATGTAGATAAGTAGGATTGTGCGGATATCAATACAAACATTTTATTTGATTTCTGAGGGCATCCTAGTTTATGTTGGGCAGCCTTATTAAATATTGTATAACGTTTTTTTGAAAGTATTTTTGCTTTTTTGCCAAGACTTACACAGACATCAACTCTTTTAGTGTTACTCTAACATTAGAAGCTAAGTAGCAACACTATATATATTTATTTTCATAAATATCATAATAATGCAAAGCACTGACACAATAGGGTTTGCTTATTTTTATTCAACTCCAGTATGAAAAGTTATACCAATCGATCAGTGATCTATTAATTAATTCCTTCATTAATTCAGTATTTGAAATGCCATGTAATTTTAACTCCATTTAATGCATATTTTTGGTATTTACCATTGATGGCCTAACAATCTAATCATATGTCAACATTACAGGAGTGTGCATTAAAATAGTCCACATTCACTGATTAATTATGTATACTATAACTGTAATAATAGTTAGTCACGTGAAACTATAACACTGTGTAAGCATAAGATTATGAAAGGTCTGGATGGACACTATACCACTCAGGACAAGGGGTTTCATGGTCAAACAAGTCTTCACAGGTAGTGGTTAAAGACTGTTTCATATTTCTCCTGTTTGCCTGATGTGACTTTGGGCTCCCCATTTTGCTTGACAAAGTCCTGTGAATAAACAACAAAAACTCCCATTAAAACATATACTGATTTGGTAGACATTGAAACAACAGCGTTGTTACAAACACATGAGTGCTATAGAGATGGTACTACATTGTTATTCCACTAGTGACCTCACCTCCAGCTCCTCCAATGAGGCGCTGCCATCCTCTACTTTCTGACCAATCCCATGGCTGAAGCTCATGTAGCGCTCCTGTCAGAAGACAGCGATGTTGTGTTATATAGCTAGCTAATACATAAGCATTCTTTAGCACAGATAGTACATTTTGTCTCCTTGCAATGCCAACATACCTGGTAAAATAAGGTTAAGTGCATGAATTAATGAATTAATGAATATTAGAATGTATATATTGTCTTAGTACCTTGACCATGCTGGTGATAACTCCTTCCTCTATGATCCTGACGGCGTTCCTCAGGCCGCGTGCGAAGGCGTCCATAGCTCCGATGTGGGCTATGAACAGGTCCTCCAGGTCCGTGGACTCTCTACGCACCTTAGCATCGAAGTTCAGACCCCCCGGCTGCAGACCACCCTGCTCTATCACAGTCTGGGGAGGATAGAACAATTCATTTTCTTATGTTCTTTCTGCTGACGTTCTGATATCTGATAGGTATCGTCATAAAATAACTGATGTTTATTAGTAATTGTGTGTGTGTGTGTGTGTGTGCGTACATTATCTTCTACGGCACCTTCATGATCATGGTGGTGTTCCTGATGTCCATTGGGAACTGGTCTGTGTCCCAGCCCAGGTCAGGAGAACCCGTGTTGGAGTCCACAGAGCCCAGCATGCCAAACCTACACACCAGAACAACAGGTTTATTAGGTTAACTGGACTGGAACATCCAGATTACCAGGAATGACGTCAACCACCCAATCCAAAAAAGACCACTAGCCCCTACGCACTTCTGAAAGGTGTAAGAAATATGGTGAAAATTATACCTCCCCTATCATTACATCTACCCTATCAGAGGGAAAGGTGGAGCATTAACATCTTGATTCAACCTATCCAATCTCTTCAGACCTACACAAGTCCATCGAGGTAGAGAGCAGGGGATAGGGGGTCGGTTTGGGATTGGGATTGGGCAACATGTGAAAGTCAACATGGCGATTTACACAGAGGCCATGACGACGTCGTGTTCATAGGAATGCCCAGCCAGAGTGGTGTGGTTGGGTTCGATGTTCAGCTTGAAGTAGCTGTCCAATTCATAGTGCTTCAGGAAGCCTATGACACTCATGGCATCTATATAAAGGTGAAACAGCAACATGTACAAAGAGATGTAACATGGAAATTAAAGGCATCAGAGATTTTATAGCATCTAATTGTTAGATGTGGTTCGTAAGGCAGATAAACTGACTATTGAGGGCCTCCATAGTTCAACAGTAACCACATAGTATATCCTTACAATGTGTACATTATGTTAATGTTGTGTTATACACCTAAAAGCCTTACCATAGTCATACTGATGTTTGCATGGCTCTTTGGGCTTGGGTTCAATAAGGAACTGGCACTTCAACCCTATCTTCTCCTTGTACTCTGATATACAATAACACAATCAGGTTATCATCTGCAAATGGTTGGTACAGTATTATGGTAACAATGTATTACACACACAGCAGTGCTAGCTACTTACTGACAACCATTTTGAAAAAGTTTGCCATGTGTTTCAGTTCAGTGCCAACATCAGTGTTGTGTATCGAGTAAAAACCCTCCCTGCCGCCCCAGAAGACTGCACAAGGAGACAAAAATACATGAACCAGATTAGGTGCTGGCAACGACAGGATCAGTGAAATAATGGTGGTTCATTATGAGACATCATTTAGTCTCTCATCTCACCAAAGTTCTCTGCTCCCAGCTTCTTGGCTACATCCAGTCCTTTCTTCACCTGGGCCCCAGCATAGGCCAAAACATGGCAGTCAGGGTTGGTCGCTGCTCCATTCATGTACCTATGTTATAAATAAAAAAAATCATTAAAAAAAGGAAATGTAGGCTACAAGTCGGATGGCAAAGAGATGGCTTCATCGTGAAATACGGACAATTAGATATAAATATTGTGAAAAACAATGCATATAGCTAGCAATATACAATATATCCTGTATTATACAGCCTACAACAAATTATCATCTCTTCCACTTTGAGGTGTGAAAACAACTGACAAAACTTTGGAGTGTAAAGATGACTAAGGTTGATGAGGAAAGCTGACCTTGAGTGAGCGAACAGGTTGCAGGTGACCCACAGCACCTTGACCCCAGTCCTAATCTGCAGCTGCAGGGCCAGGTCTGTCATCTCATCCAGGTTCCTGTTGGACTCCTCCAGAGTGCTGCCCTCAGGGGCATGTCCCTATACAACAGGATGGATAGGAGGGTAACATAGATCAGTTAGTGTACAATGACCATGGGTGAGAGAACAAGCATCTCGGACGGGTGCAACTTCTTTAAGGCATAAACGGCCACTATATCCATGTCTCTCTACCGAAGATCAATTGATTTGATACTGTAGGAACAATGAGACAATACCTGTCATGAAAGGTGTAGTACTTCACCTGAAACGAACATACACATGAATCAATATGGTTTATATAAAAAAAGCAGTACATTCTAAAAGACATCATAAAGTATTAAAGGTACAGTATTTGAGTGGAAGTTCACTCACACCAAGTTTGGTGAAGAACTCAAAGGCTGCATGGAGTCTCTTCTTGGCACATTCCATGGGGGTAGCACCCTCATTCCAGGGTCTGTGTAGGGTCTGGAACCCAAAAGGGTCAGCACCTGGTGGTGGGTGGAATGGAGGAAAACAGAATACACATGAAGTCATCATGACAGACCCATGATGAGAGATCGGGGTTGTTTTCTATTGAAAGAGACAGTGCTTTATTGGATTAAATGTACAAATGTTTCTGTAGTCTATGTACAGTATAAATGAGAGTGACCTGAAGCAATCAATGTGTGTTAGTGAACATTCATTACCAGTCCCACAGAAGGAGTGCCAGTAACAGACTGAGAATCTCAGCCAGTCCTCCATCTTTCTGCCCAGCAGCACCTGCACAGGTAAACAGTTACATGAAGTCTGCTGGGAAAACCTCAGGTGGGATCATTCAGGTGTGTAAAGGAGGTAGAGTCTCACTGTGCAACAGGAAGACAACAGACACTTCCATGACACCTGACACACACACAGCTCAAGTTTGCAACACCTACTTCTTCTGCATTGTAGTGTTTGAAACACAAGACGTCTCGAGCTCCAGCGTTGGGTACAAATGGAATCTTCGGAATACCTGTGTGATACATTGATCTCGGTTAACCCAGAACTAAAATCTCGCACAGTGATTGATTTGGACAGGAGCTGAGTACCGCACCTCAAATGTTCTACTGCTTGAACTCCTGTTCCTCTTGTAGAATATTAGCTCAAAAGTATTGTGGAGCTCCTGCACCTAAATATAAACACTACCGGCACCCAAAATGAGTACCGGCACCTATTTCAGTCCAAGTCAAGCACTGATCTCACATAATTTGGTCAAATGCTGATGCTCGTAGTCTGTCGTCCACCAGAGATTACATTGAAGCGTTCATGGAACGTCCCAAAGTTCCAGTTTAGACTATTCCATTAATAGATTGACGTGTCGTTCTAACAGAACGTGTGCTGTGATGAAAAATAAAACGTTGCCTTGAAAAATGGGGTTTCCCTGTGAATATTGCAGCAACTTTACATTTATAAATAATTTAACTGCAATGCACGACGAAAAACAATTTTAGATATTATTTTGTGAATGCATGAAATGTACAATCTCAGCTCTTGTTTGCAGAGTTAGCGGTCAATTGCCACTTACTTAAAGCCTATATAAAACTGACATTGAGGAAGAAGTGTGCTATAATTGAAGCAAAGAATGATTACCAGCAAACAATTCTGTTTCCGTAGCCATGTCAAACACTTTTATGAACTTCAGATCATCTGTGAGTTTTCCCCTTGAAGTTCCACTTCCACTTCGTCTTGATCGAAAATAAGAAACGCAATCTTCACATCTACCACAAGGTGTCTCTGGTATCCAGCAGAACACCAACCGCTTTAGATTTTTGTCAAAATAGTATATTTTGGTCCCGTTTGACTGCACCAAGCCGCCTTTCAAACCATACAAACTAGTCAGCTCTATCACGGCCTTCTTTGGTAAAAGCTAACTGTCATTCCCAAATTCCGTAGTAGATTTAGGGTCTGATAGCCTTATCTATACATTGGAACATTATTGCCGTCATTCACATTGTCCGCCCTCTTTAGGGCCCCATTTACTATAATTCTAGTCTTCAGAAGCAATATTATGAAGACAACCAGGCCTATGACTAGGTGAATGTAGAAAGGTCAAGTTAAAAATCAGGGTAAAACTAGATTATATAACAATGTGCAAACAAACATTTAAAAAAGTAGGCCTACAAAGAAACATAATATTATGCAGCCAGGGCATGTTCAATATCTGATGTTTATTTCAATTACAATGGATCTTTTACAAAATATCTGATGCAGAAACATCAACGAAAAAAGTAGAAACAAGACGACACCATAAACACACTTCCATAAATACATATTTACATACATTATAGTAGTAGTAGTACACAGTCCATCAGAAATTTGGTCTGGAATACCTGGTGGAAACACTAACATCTGTCAGCAGCAGAAAATATTTAGATGTGCACCTTTGAAGCCCTATATCATTGGTTACTTCCAAAATGGCACCATATTCCCATTATAGTGCACAACTTTTGACCAGGGTGTCACGACTTCCTCCGAAGCTGCCTCCCCTCCTTGTTCGGGCAGGCTCCGGCGTTCGTCGTCACCGGCCTACTAGCCACTGCCGCTCCATATATCATCATTCCATTTGTCTTGTCTTGTCAATTACACACACCTGGTTCATATCCCCTCATTAGTACATGTATAAGTGTTCCCTCTGCCCCCCTTGTCCTTGTGGGTGATTGTTATTTGGGAGTTGAGTGTAGCTCGGTTGAGCTACCTGTACCTTGTATTTCCGGGGATATTGTTCCCTGTGTGCCTGTATTTTGTTGACGCTATCCAGCGTAACTGTGTCCTACGGAATAAACTCTGTATTCGGTGATTTACCCTCCTGCGCCTGACTCCTTCAAATCACACTCTCACACAGGGCCTGGTCAAAGGTAGTGCACTGTGTAGGGAATAGGGTGCCATTTGGGACGTCCACATTTTTCTCCCAGTAACCAATACAGTTTCCATAGCACATAATGAAACAATGTTTTTCATTGGTTAAGAATTTTTTCCTATGTTACTTACAGTTGTTCATTTCATAAACAACACACATTTTTGCATAATATAATGGAAGGCAAAACAAATATCACCAAATACCAGGCACTGTAGGATGGAGGCACTTGTGCACCTAACAAGACTGGTTTGGCATCGTGACGTTTGGCACATGAGGGTGGTAGACAGTGGTCATGTACTGTATGTGTGTGTGAGACGGTGGGAATCGGGGTACTAGCCAGTTTTCAATTCTGTCAGTTCAATACATTCTTTCAAATTCAATGAATTAGTTGAACATTAAGCCATTCTTTTCAATGAAGATTTTTCCATTCATTAATTAAAATCAGTTCCTGAATTGACTGAATGGATCCATTCCCAGACCGTGGTGAGACTAAGTAGAAGCAGTCTGTCTTTATGACTTGGTGGGGCTGGGTTCTGGCTGTATGTCTGTCTGTGTAACCTCTTTCTTCCTCCTCCTCTTCTTGTTGCCTCGGCAGGGCTTGCACAGGCAGCACAGGATGCAGGGCGAAGCCAGCAGGAGGAGAGGCGAGGCCACCAGCACGATGACACTGACGCCAACCAGGATGCCCACCACCTGCCAAGAGGAAAGGGTTCACACGCACACGCACGCGCACACACACACACACACACACACACACACACACACACACACACACACACACACACACACACACACACACACACACACACACACACACACACACACACACACACACAGGGTGTTTAGCAGGGGGCCAATAAATGTGAATGTCACGTACAAAATGTCAGGCCAATGACTGTTGATTCAGGCATACAAGAAAAGTTGATAGAGCAAAACACAGGTTTCCTGGGTTACTAGGGTGTATAATAAGAAGAGTCACCTCACCTGTGTTCTGTTCCACATGACGGAGGCTCGGGAGTGGCCCAGCTTGTTCCTGCATGGCCCCTTATCATAGTGCCTCAGAAATATATCACCCTAAACATATAACAACAGTTATCATAGTGCCTCAGAAATATATCACCCTAAACATATAACAACAGTTATCATAGTGCCTCAGAAATATATCACTATAAACATATAACAACAGTTATCATAGTGCCTCAGAAATATATCACCCTAAACATATTACAACAGTTATCATAGTGCCTCAAAAATATATCACCCTAAACATATAACAACAGTTATCATAGTGCCTCATGAATATATCACCCTAAACATATAACAACAGTTATTATGGTGCCTCAGAAATATATCATCCTAAACATATAACAACAGTTATCATAGTGCCTCAGAAATATATCACCTTAACAGAGGGATACAGTATCACCATAAACATACAACACTCAGGTTCAGACTTATTGAAGCATTTATAACTGCATATGGACTTACATCCAGGTTCTGCAGACAGTACCAGCAGAAAGTGTGTTTGCAGCTCTTACACAGCATCTGGGCACAGCCCTGGTTCCTCTCGATGTACACGCCACACATGGGGCACGGCTTGATGGGTAGATCAGAGTCACTGCATGACCGGCCCCTGAGGACAGGTGGGTGAGGGGTGCAGAGGTGGGGGAGAGGTGGGGAAAGAAAGGGGGAGAGGGGAGGGGAGAGGTGGAGAGGGATGTGAGGGAGAAGTGTGGGAGAGGTGGTGGGGGAGAGAGGGTTCAGACAGAGAATTAGAATAATAATGTTAATAATGTCTATACATTATAGTGTATATATAATTCTATGGTGTTGGCAGGGTTAAAGCATGGGAGCTGAGGCACAGACTGTCATCTTTATTTAACACTCATGTTAATTGGCTGCTTAACTGAATTTATTTGGGGAGAAGAAACTACGAGGGAACCAGTTGACTGAATACCATGATCAGGAGGGATTGAATGAACTGCATTGTATTACTAAATGGACAAATATTGTTAATCCCCCAAAACAATATCAAACTGGCATTCTGTCTCTCATACTGTGGGGCTCAACTCTAAGATTTTAAAAGACTTTCTAGTCTCGTCTGATGTTGTTATACTTTAGTAGAATAAACCCATCGATTCAAGGACATTTCCTCCAGTACATGAGGCACTTCGCGTTGTCAAAGCAACAGAAATGGATTTACTGACTGACTCCCCTACTCCTCCCCTTTGGCAGGGACACAATGGTATTCCATTATGCTTTCCTCCACACCTTCCAATAACACACACACACATGCACACATACACACACACACACACACACACACACACTGACAACAGTGAAGGGTGGAAGGGGTGGAATACTGTATGCAGCAGATATAGCGGGACACTGGGAGCACACTGTCTGTGGCACACAAAAAATGGCACAGGTTGTAGTTAACTTGTCTAAAAGGCAAGAAACTCTTACCAAATTGTTGATTTTACTTATTTCCAAAATGACTAACAACTCTACTGCCAACACATAAGCGGCTTCAATCTGCCTTCATTCGTTTTTTTTTGTTACAATATTTTTTACACTGACTGTGACTGACTGACCTGCTCTCTGAGTCAGGTGATGATGATGTCATAGGCTGGTGCTCGGGGCAGGCGTGCCCGTCCTGCCAGGGCCCTCTACAGCCAGAGCAGAAGACAGTGTGGCAGGCTGGACAGGGCACGGACGTAGGCTGGCCCTCTGAGCTGGGCCCGACGCTGCAGACAGCCTGGCACTCCAGCACCGGGCACCATGCTCTACTAGGGTCCAGCTGCACCCCTGAAACATAACAAACCAATGATGTATATAAACACATGTATATACATATACAGGTAACTGCCAAAATAAAGGAAACACTTGAGTAAATGAGGGATATATAGTATATTGAAAGCAGGTGCTTCCACACAGGTGTGGTTCCTGAGTTAATTAAGCACTTAACATTCCATCATGCCCAGTTGCCCATTATTTTGGCTACCATGGCTAGAGGAAATCTCAATGACTTTGAAAGAGGGGTCTCAAAAGAGCATAGGGGATTTGTGTGTGTGTGTGTGTGTGTCTGTGTGTGTGTGTCTGTGTGTGGCGTGTGTGTCTCAGTTAGCAGATCTCAACCTAATTGAACACTCATGAGAGATTCTGGAGTGGCGTCTGAGACAGAGCTTTCCACCACCATCAACAAAACACCAAATTATTGAATTTCTCATTGAAGAATGGTGTCGCATCCCTCCAATAGTTCCAGACACTTGTAGAATCTATGCCATGTTCTGGCAGCTCGTGGTGGCCCAACGTCCTATTAAGAAGCTTTATTTTATTTTGGCAGTTACCTGTATGTATGTCTATAGAATGACACCCAAAGCAAGGTATTAGATATAGAGGGTAGAGGATCCTAGATACAGTGCCTTCAGAAAGAATTCACAACCTTGACTTTTTCTACATTTTGTTGTGTTACTGCCTGCATTTAAAATTGGTTGAATTGAGATTTTGTGTCGCTGGCCTCCACACCCCCAAAGTAGAATATTGTTTTTAGAAATGTGTACAAATTAATTTAAAAATGAAAAGCTGAAACATCTTGCGTCAATAAGTATTCAACCTATTTGTTATGGTAAACCTAAACAAGTTCAGGAGTAAACATTTGCTTAACAAGTCACATAAGTTGCATGGACTCACTGTGTGCAATAATAGTGTTTAACATGATTTTTGAATGACTACCTCATCTCTGTACCTTACACATACAATTATCTGTAAGGTCCCTCAGTCGAGCAGTGAATAGGTAAAAAAAAATATGTACAGTCGTGGTCAAAAGTTTTGAGAATGACACAAGTATTGGTCTTCACAAAGTTCGCTGCTTCAGTGTTATGAGATATTTTTGTCAGATGTTACTATGGTATACTGAAGTATAATTACAAGCATTCCATAAGTGTCAAAGGCTTTTATTGACAATTACATTAAGTTTATGAAAATAGTCAATATTTGCAGTGTTGACCCTTCTTTTTCAAGACCTCTGCAATCCGCCCTGGCATGCTGTCAATTAACTTCTGGGCCACATCCTGACTGATGGCAGCCCATTCTTGCATAATCAATGCTTGGAGTATGTCAGAATTTGTGGGTTTTTGTTTGTCCACCCGCCTCTTGAGGATCGACCACAAGTTCTCAATGGGATTAAGGTCTGGGGAGTTTCCTGGCCATGGACCCAAAATATTGATGTTTTGTTCCCCGAGCCACTTAGTTATCACTTTTGCCTTATGGCAAGGTGCTCCATCATGCTGGAAAAGGCATTGGTCGTCACCAAACTGTTCTTGGATGGTTGGGAGAAGTTGCTCTTGGAGGATGTGTTGGTACCATTCTTTATTCATGGCTGTGTTCTTAGGCAAAATTGTGAGTGAGCCCACTCCCTTGGCTGAGAAGCAACCCCACACATGAATGGTCTCAGGATGCTTTACTGTTGGCATGACACAGGACTGATGGTAGCGCTCACCTTGTCTTCTCCGGACAAGGTGTTTTCCGGATGCCCCAAACAATCGGAAAGGGGATTAATCAGAGAAAATGACTTTACCCCAGTCCTCAGCAGTCCAATCCCTGTACCTTTTGAAGAATATCAGTCTGTCCCTGATGTTTTTCCTGGAGAGAAGTGGCTTCTTTGCTGCCCTTCTTGACACCAGGCCATCCTCCAAAAGTATTTGCCTCACTGTGCGTGCAGATGCACTCACACCTGCCTACTGCCATTCCTGAGCAAGCTCTGCACTTGTGGTGCCCCGATCCCGCAGTTGAATCAACTTTAGGAGACGGTCCTGGCGCTTGCTGGACTTTCTTGGGCGCCCTGACGCCTTCTTCACAACAATTGAAGTTCTTGATGATCCGATAAATGGTTGATTTACAGTTGAAGTCGGAAGTTTACATACACCTTAGCCAAATACATTTAAACTCAGTTTTTCACAATTCCTGACATTTAATCCTAGTAAACATTCCCTGTTTTAGGTCAGTTAGGATAACCACTTTATTTTAAGAATGTGAAATGTCAAAATAATAGTAGAGAGAATTATTTATTTCAGCTTTTATTTCTTTCATCACATTCCCAGTGGGTCAGAAGTTTACATACACTCAATTAGTATTTGGTAGCATTGCCTTTAAATTGTTTAACTTGGGTCAAACGTTTCGGGTAGCCTTCCACAAGCTTTCCACAATAATTTGGGTGAATTTTGGCCCATTCCTCCTGACAGAACTGGTGTAACTGAGTCAGGTTTGTAGGCCTCCTTGCTCACACACGCTTTTTCAGTTCTGCCCATACATTTTCTATAGGATTGAGGTCAGGGCTTTGTGATGGCCACTCCAATACCTTGACTTTGTTGTCCTTAAGCCATTTTGCCACAACTTTGGAAGTATGCTTGGGGTCATTGTCCATTTGGAAGACCCATTTGCGACCAAGCTTTAACTTCCTGACTGATGTCTTGATATGTTGCTTCAATATATCCACATAATTTTCCTTCCTCATGATGCCATCTATTTTGTGAAGTGCACCAGTCCCTCCTGCATCAAAGCACACCCACAACATGATGCTGCCACCCCCGTTCTTCACGGTTGGGATGGTGTTCTTCGCCTTGCAAGCTACCCCCTTCTTCCTCCAAACATAACGATGGTCATTATGGGCAAACAATTCTATTTTTGTTTCATCAGACCAGAGGATATTTCTCCAAAAAGTACTATCTTTGTCCCCATGTGCAGTTGCAAACCGTAGTCTGGCTTTTTTATGGCGGTCTTGGTCAGTGGCTTCTTCCTTGCTGAGCGGCCTTTCAGGTTATGTCGATATAGGACTCGTTTTACTGTGGATATAGATACTTTTGTACCTGTTTCCTCCAGAATCTTCACAAGGTCCTTTGCTGTTGTTCTGGGATTTATTTGCACTTTTCACACCAGAGTACGTTCATCTCTAGGAGACAGAACGCATCACCTTCCTGAGCGGTATGACGGCTGAGTGGTCCCATGGTGTTTATACTTGCGTACTATTGTTTGTACAGATGAACGTGGTACCTTCAGGCATTTGGAAATTGCTCCCAAGGATGAATCAGACTTGTGGAGGTCTACCATTTTTTTTCGGAGGTCTTGGCTGATTTCTTTTGATTTTCCCATGATGTCAAGCAAAGAGGCACTGAGTTTGAAGGTAGGCCTTGAAATACATCCACAGGTACACCTCCAATTGACTCAAATGATGTCAATTAGCCTATCAGAAGCTTCTAAAGCCATGTCATCATTTTCGGCATTGTGTTTCCTTGCAGGTAACCATGGTTAACAGAGGAAGAACAATGATTTCAAGTACCACCCTCCTTTTAAAGCTTCCAGTCTGTTATTCTAACTCAATCAGCATGGCAGAGTGATCTCCAGCCTTGTCCTCGTCAACACTCTCACCTGTGTTAACGAGAGAATCACTGACATGATGGCAGCTGGTCCTTTTGTGGCAGGGCTGAAATGCAGTGGAAATGTTTTTTGGGGATTAAGTTCATTTTCATGGCAAAGAGGGACTTTGCAATTAATTGCAATTCATCTGATCACTCTTCATAACATTCTGGAGTATATGCAAATTGCCATCATCAAAACTGAGGCAGTAGACTTTGTGAAAATTAGTATTTGTGTCATTCTCAAAACTTTTGACCACGACTATACAAAAACAATCAGACATTGAATATCCCTTTGAGCATGGTGAAGTTATTAATTACACTTTGGATGGTGTATCAGTACACCCAGATCTACAAAGATACAGTGGGGGAAAAAAGTATTTAGTCAGCCACCAATTGTGCAAGTTCTCCCACTTAAAAAGATGAGAGAGGCCTGTAATTTTCATCATAGGTACACGTCAACTATGACAGACAAATTGAGGAGAAAACATCCAGAAAATCACATTGTAGGATTTTTTATTAATTTATTTGCAAATTATGGTGGAAAATAAGTATTTGGTCACCTACAAACAAGCAAGATTTCTGGCTCTCACAGACCTGTAACTTCTTGTTTAAGAGGCTCCTCTGTCCTCCACTCGTTACCTGTATTAATGGCACCTGTTTGAACTTGTTATCAGTATAAAAGACACCTGTCCACAACCTCAAACAGTCACACTCCAAACTCCACTATGGCCAAGACCAAAGAGCTGTCAAAGGACACCAGAAACAAAATTGTAGACCTGCACCAGGCTGGGAAGACTGAATCTGCAATAGGTAAGCAGCTTGGTTTGAAGAAATCAACTGTGGGAGCAATTATTAGGAAATGGAAGACATACAAGACCACTGATAATCTCCCTCGATCTGGGGCAGCACGCAAGATCTCACCCCGTGGGGTCAAAATGATCACAAGAACGGTGAGCAAAAATCCCAGAACCACACGGGGGGACCTAGTGAATGACCTGCGGAGAACTGGGACCAAAGTAACAAAGCCTACCATCAGTAACACACTACGCCGCCAGGGACTCAAATCCTGCAGTGCAAGACGTGTCCCCCTGCTTAAGCCAGTACATGTCCAGGCCCGTCTGAAGTTTGCTAGAGTGCATTTGGATGATCCAGAAGAGGATTGGGAGAATGTCATATGGTCAGATGAAACCAAAATAGAACTTTTTGGTAAAAACTCAACTCGTCGTGTTTGGAGGACAAAGAATGCTGAGTTGCATCAAAAGAACACCATACCTACTGTGAAGCATGGGGGTGGAAACATCATGCTTTGGGGCTGTTTTTCTGCAAAGGGACCAGGATGACTGATCCGTGTAAAGGAAAGAATGAATGGGGCCATGTATCGTGAGATTTTGAGTGAAAACCTCCTTCCATCAGCAAGGGCATTGAAGATGAAACGTGGCTGGGTCTTTCAGCATAACAATGATCCCAAACACACCGCCCGGGCAACGAAGGAGTGGCTTCGTAAGAAGCATTTCAAGGTCCTGGAGTGGCCTAGCCAGTCTCCAGATCTCAACCCCATAAAAAATATTTGGAGAGAGTTGAAAGTCCGTGTTGCCCAGCGACAGCACCAAAACATCACTGCTCTAGAGGAGATCTGCATGGAGGAATGGGCCAAAATACCAGCAACAGTGTGTGAAAACCTTGTGAAGACTTACAGAAAACGTTTGACCTGTGTCATTGCCAACAAAGGGTATATAACAAAGTATTGAGAAACGTTTGTTATTGACCAAATACTTATTTTCCACCATAATTTGCAAATAAATTCATTAAAAACCTACAATGTGATTTTCTGGATTTTTTTTCTCATTTTGTCTGTCATAGTTGACGTGTACCTATGATGAAAATTACAGGCCTCTCTCATCTTTTTAAGTGGGAGAACTTGCACAATTGGTGGCTGACTAAATACTTTTTTCCCCCACTGTACAGGCACCTTCCTAACTCAGTTGCCGGAGAGGAAGGAAACCGCTCAGGGATTTCACCATGAGGCCAATGGTGACTTTAAAACAGTTACAGTTTAATGGCTGTGATAGGAGAAAACTGAAGATGGATCAACAACAGTGTAGTTACTCTACAATACTAACTTAAATGACAGAGTGAAAGAAGGAAGCCTGTACAGAATACAAATATTCCAAAACATGCATCCTGTTTGCAATAAGGCACTAAATATGGCAAAGAAATGAACTTTATGTCCTGTATAGGAAGCATTATGTTTAGGGCAAATTCAACACAACACATCACTGAGTACCACTCTTCATATTTTCAAGCATGGTGGTGGCTGCATCATGTTATGGGTATGCTTGTCATCGGCAAGGACTAGGGATTTTTTTAGGATAAAAATAAACGGAATAGAGCTAAGCACAGGCAAAATCTTAGAGGAAAACCTGGTTCAGTCTGCTTTCCAACAGACACTGGGAGACAAATTCACCTTTCAGCAGGACAATAACCTAAAACACAAGGCCAAATATACAAAATACACGACACTGAATGTTCCTGAATGGCCTAGTTACAGTTTTGACTTAAATTGGCTTGAAAATCTATGGCAAGACTTGAAAATGGCTGCCTAGCAATGATAAACAACCAACTTGACAGAGCTTGAAGAATTTTTAAAATAATAATGTGCAAATATTGTACAATCCAGGTGTGCAAAGCTTTTAGAGACTTACCCAGAAAGTCTCACAGCTGTAATCGACACCAAAGGTGATTCTAACATGTATTGACTAAGGGGGTTGAATACTTATATATATATATATATATATATATATATATATATATATATACAGTGGGGAAAAAAAGTATTTAGTCAGCCACCAATTGTGCAAGTTCTCCCACTTAAAAAGATGAGGGAGGCCTGTAATTTTCATCATAGGTACACATCAACTATGACAGACAAATTAAGAAAAAAAAATCCAGAAAATCACATTGTAGGATTTTTGATGAATTTATTTGCAAATTATGGTGGAAAATAAGTATTTGGTCACCTACAAACAAGCAAGATTTCTGGCTCTCACAGACCTGTAACTTCTTATTTATGAGGCTCCTCTGTCCTCCACTCGTTACCTGTATTAATGGCACCTGTTTGAACTTGTTATCAGTATAAAAGACACCTGTCCACAACCTCAAACAGTCACACTTCAAACTCCACTTTGGCAAAGACCAAAGAGCTGTCAAAGGACACCAGAAACAAAATTGTAAACCTGCACCAGGCTGGGAAGGCTGAATCTGCAATAGGTAAGCAAATTGGTTTGAAGAAATCAACTGTGGGAGCAATTATTAGGAAATGGAAGACATACAAGACCACTGATAATCGCCCTCGATCTGGGGCTCCACGCAAGATCTCACACCGTGAGGTCAAAATGATCACAAGAACGGTGAGCAAAAATCACAGAACCACACGGGGGGACCTAGTGAATGACCTGCAGAGAGCTGGGACCAAAGTAACAAAGCCTACCATCAGTAACACACTACGCCGCCAGGGACTCAAATCCTGCAGTGCAAGACGTGTCCCCCTGCTTAAGCCAGTACATGTCCAGGCCCGTCTGAAGTTTGCTAGAGTGCATTTGGATGATCCAGAAGAGGATTGGGAGAATGTCATATGGTCAGATGAAACCAAAATAGAACTTTTTGGTAAAAACTCAACTCGTCGTGTTTGGAGGACAAAGAATGCTGAGTTGCATCAAAAGAACACCATACCTACTGTGAAGCATGGGGGTGGAAACATCATGCTTTGGGGCTGTTTTTCTGCAAAGGGACCAGGATGACTGATCCGTGTAAAGGAAAGAATGAATGGGGCCATGTATCGTGAGATTTTGAGTGAAAACCTCCTTCCATCAGCAAGGGCATTGAAGATGAAACGTGGCTGGGTCTTTCAGCATAACAATGATCCCAAACACACCGCCCGGGCAACGAAGGAGTGGCTTCGTAAGAAGCATTTCAAGGTCCTGGAGTGGCCTAGCCAGTCTCCAGATCTCAACCCCATAGAAAATCTTTGGATGGAGTTGAAAGTCTGTGTTGCCCAGTGACAGCCCCAAAACATCACTGCTCTAGAGGAGATCTGCATGGAGGAATGGGCCAAAATACCAGCAACAGTGTGTGAAAACCTTGTGAAGACTTACAGAAAACGTTTGACCTGTGTCATTGCCGACAAAGGGTATATAACAAAGTATTGAGAAACTTTTGTTATTGACCAAATACTTATTTTCCACCATAATTTGCAAATAAATTCATAAAAAATCCTACAATGTGATTTTCTGGATTTTTTTTGCTCATTTTGTCTGTCATAGTTGACGTGTACCTATGATAAAAATTACAGGCCTCTCTCATCTTTTTAAGTGGAAGAACTTGCACAATTGGTGGCTGACTAAATACTTTTTTTCCCCACTGTATATATATATTAGTTTATTTTATTTTTAATATATATATATTAATTTTTTTACAAATGTTTGAATTTTTCTTCCACTTTGACATTACAGAGTATTTTGTGTAGATCGTTGACAAAAAATGACAATTAAATCCATATTAATCCCACCTTGTAAAAAGTCAAGAGGTGTGAATACTTTCTGAAAGCACTGTAGGCCTGCCTTTCCTAGATGTGCCAGGGCAGGGTTTTCAGTGGGGTTTCTAACTGCTTTCGTAACAAAGGCACATTCCATGTTGTCCTTTATAAGGGGAGCACCATAATAAAATATTTGGTGCACTTTGTTAGACTTTTCCTAGATCCAATTTTTTATGGTATTTGATTTATGACTGAACGGTGACTAATATTGGTTTTAGTGTGTTGTTGCCTCAAGGCAAACCAACCAACCTCAGATTCCAATTTGTAAATGTCAAACCAGCTGAGACCTTTTCTACACTGTTTTCTTCTCTTCACATTCTCAGAAATTACTTTGCCTCTAAACAAAAGCCAACAACGAACCATATGTGTTCACCAACAGAAACTGTGGACAGACAGAACAATAACAACTTCATAATTTCCAGTAATTCTTAGACTGCTATTTATAAATCGCCTTATGCTAATCTGGTAGCTCGACCGACCGTCTAGTAGCTACTAAAGTTACAATAACCTTTCAGCTGGACTGGGACGGGGTGGGAGGGAGGGAGTCAAGATAAGGACTAGAGGGAGTCTCTCTCGGTACAATAATCCCACAATATGTCAGGCATGTCGATGCTAGAGGCGGGCTCAGGACAGCTCAGCTCACTGTTACCAGATGGCCCAGACCTGAAATAGCCTGGTTGCCATGAGCGCCGTCACCAGTCAACTCACCAGCATGCTAATGCTAATGAACGGTACCGTACCTTGTTCAAACTCCAGCCGCTGGTACAGCTCCACCTGATCCGCAGGGGCAAAACAGGCTATCTGCAAAACAACACACAAAAAAAAACAGAATGGCTCACGTCTGTGATATTGCCTTAAAATCACAGGAGGACCAGCCTGGTCCCAGATCAGTTTGTGCTATATAGCCAACTTCTATGGTCATTGTCACAAACAGATCTGAGACCAGGCTTCAATGTAATGCATTCCACAGAAATTAAATGTATTGCATTCTATAGCAATGCAGAATTTAACGCAGGGATAATCATTTCAAGAGAAGAGGTGTTGATTACCAAACTCCCTGACCTGATTGCAACACTACATTGGCCTGTGCTGTAGGCTATTTACCATTTACACTTGACAATGACATTTGCAAGTTCAAGGTGTGGTGGCATGATGTAAGATGTAGAAAGGGTTGGCAAATTCATCTTACCCAACGGTACCCAACCCTACTAGTGTTAACAGGCAAATACATATGAGTGTAATAGCAATGTAGCAGTGTAATAGTCAAATGGTCTAAACATTGATGTGTACCAGTGGTTCTTTGAACAGACAATGAATGTGTCCCAAATGGCACCTTATTCCCTATATAATTCCCTATGGGCCCTGGTCAAAGGTAGTGCACTACAAAGGGAATAGGGTGCCATTTGGGACGTAGCCACAGCATAACATCCAGTATAAGCCTAGTACCTCTGAGTGGAGCAGGACTCCCGTCCTCTGACAGGCCATGTCTGGACATGTGACTGGGCTGCCCCCACCCTCCCGGATGGCCAGCTGAACATACTGCTGCAGACACTGAGGGGACAGACAACCAATGACATAAACACAGATGTGAATACATTTATATTTACATTTACATCATTTAGCAGACGCTCTTATCCAGAGCGACTTACAAATACATGTACAGTGGGGGAAAAAAGTATTTAGTCAGCCACCAATTGTGCAAGTTCTCCCACTTAAAAAGATGAGAGAGGCCTGTAATTTTCATCATAGGTACACGTCAACTATGACAGACAAAATGAGAAGAAAAAAATCCAGAAAATCACATTGTAGGATTTTTAATGAATTTATTTGCAAATTATGGTGGAAAATAAGTATTTGGTCAATAACAAAAGTTTCTCAATACTTTGTTATCTACCCTTTGTTGGCAATGACACTGTCACGATCGTCATTCATAGAGGAGGACCAAGGCGCAGCGTTGAATGCGAACATTTTATTTATTAGAATGATCACACGATCAAAACAACAAAACGAAACGTGACGTCCCTGGTTACATAAACAAACCAACACGGAACAAGAAACCACAAATAATGAATGCCTAACGGCTACCTAAGTATGACTCCCAATCAGAGACAACGAGCTACAGCCGTCTCTGATTGGGAGCCACCCTGGCCAACATAGAATTACAACAACTAGAACATAAACAAATGAAAACTCACACCCTGGCTCAACATACTAGAGTCCCCAGAGCCAGGGCGTGACAGACACAGGTCAAACGTTTTCTGTAAGTCTTCACAAGGTTTTCACACACTGTTGCTGGTATTTTGGCCCATTCCTCCATGCAGATCTCCTCTAGAGCAGTGATGTTTTGGGGCTGTCGCTGGGCAACACGGACTTTCAACTCCCTCCAAAGAATTTCTATGGGGTTGAGATCTGGAGACTGGCTAGGCCACTCCAGGACCTTGAAATGCTTCTTACGAAGCCACTCCTTCGTTGCCCGGGCGGTGTGTTTGGGATCATTGTCATGCTGAAAGACCCACGATACATGGCCCCATTCATTCTTTCCTTTACACGGATCAGTCATCCTGGTCCCTTTGCAGAAAAACAGCCCCAAAGCATGATGTTTCCACCCCCATGCTTCACAGTAGGTATGGTGTTCTTTGGATGCAACTCAGCATTCTTTGTCCTCCAAACACGACGAGTTGAGTTTTTACCAAAAAGTTCTATTATGGTTTCATCTGACCATATGACATTCTCCCAATCCTCTTCTGGATCATCCAAATGCACTCTAGCAAACTTCAGACGGGCCTGGACATGTACTGGCTTAAGCAGGGGGACACGTCTTGCACTGCAGGATTTGAGTCCCTGGCGGCGTAGTGTGTTACTGATGGTAGGCTTTGTTACTTTGGTCCCAGCTCTCTGCAGGTCATTCACTAGGTCCCCCCGTGTGGTTCTGGGATTTTTGCTCACCGTTCTTGTGATCATTTTGACCCCACGGGGTGAGATCTTGTGTGGAGCCCCAGATCGAGGGAGATTATCAGTGGTCTTGTATGTCTTCCATTTCCTAATAATTGCTCCCACAGTTGATTTCTTCAAACCAAGCTGCTTACCTATTGCAGATTCAGTCTTCCCAGCCTGGTGCAGGTCTACAATTTTGTTTCTGGTGTCCTTTGACAGCTCTTTGGTCTTGGCCATAGTGGAGTTTGGAGTGTGACTGTTTGAGGTTGTGGACAGGTGTCTTTTATACTGATAACAAGTTCAAACAGGTGCCATTAATACAGGTAACGAGTGGAGGACAGAGGAGCATCTTAAAGAAGAAGTTACAGGTCTGTGAGGGCCAGAAATCATGCTTGTTTGTAGGTGACCAAATACTTATTTTCCACCATAATTTGCAAATAAATTCATTAAAAAATGTGATTTTCTGGATTTTTTTTCTCATTTTGTCTGTCATAGTTGACGTGTACCTATGATGAAAATTACAGGCCTCTCTCATCTTTTTAAGTGGGAGAACATGCACAATTGGTGGCTGACTAAATACTTTTTTTCCCCACTGTATGTCTATGGACAGAACCAGAGAGCAGGGCCATGTTCAGCAGGGCACAACGTTGTGAAATGTTCAGAACAAACATGCCTCTCTGTAGACATGTAGAGTAAGGACTCACGTCAGCTCTGACCATTACATTTTTATCTGCAACGTTCTACAACGTTCACCTACTAAAAGTGGCCCTGGATTGATGTTGATGTTGACAGTATCTGAGATATACAGTAACTAGCACTTGAACTAGACTCGTCTCTTAGAAATGATTTGATGCTAAAGACAAAGCAGCCAAAAAAATGCAGTCCTGCGAGCCTGTTCATGCAAAAACCTGCTGTTTTGTTTGTCAGAAGAGTCACGCCAAGCCTCACTCAGCTACCATAGCAACAGCAGAATGCAGAAAGCATGCGGTGTATTGTCAATCGGTGCATAGTACTGGTAAGTGGTAACCAGTGTTGTGTTGACAGTATCTCTCTATGGCTGTGTTCCAAATGGCACCGTATTCCCTATATAGTGCACTACTGTCCAGGCCCCATAGAGATGCACCCTATGTTTGACCTTGGCCTACCAACTCAGACTGGTGCTCCGAGCGACACCAGCAGCCAGGCAGAGATTAGCACCTGCCAGCCAACCAACCCCACGCCAGGATATCTCTCTATCCGTGTCAAGGCACATCACCTCCACCTCAGTGCGGATGGATACAGACTGACTGAACACAAATCAATAGGAAGTCAGCTGGAGTACTGCATGCCAGAGATAAAAGTGAAAGAGAAACTAAATTATTTCAGGAAAGCAGTGATTAAATATATATTTTTGATTCGGCAGATAGATACTGTATGTCCTGCTTGAACGCTGAGTCTTGTTAAGTGAAAATAGAGAGAGAATAGAAAATACAGGCATTTCCTTGCCCAGCATCAGATATGAGAAGAGAAGTTGTGGCAGGATTGTGTTGTCTACCTACCCGGGTGCAGAAGACACAGTCACAGGTGTGCAGTGTGCTGGTTGCTACTGAGGGGTGCTCACTAAGGCACAGCTTGCAGTAGACCACCACATCAGGCTGGGAGGAGAAGGACTCCACTACAGCCCCGGCCTGGCCCTGAGGCTGGGATGGACTGCTGTTGGCCACGGGGCCCTGAACCTGGCCCCGGGCTGGACTGCTGTTGTTGGCCATGGGGGGAGCAGAGCGGTCAGTCAGTCAGTCAGCGCTGCCTGGAAGCTTCTCTTAGCCCTTCTGCTGGAGGAAGTGTGGAGGGCTGTCCTCCATGATCTGGAGGATGGTGGAGAACAGAAGACAAGCAGTCAGCCAATAGCCTCGCCAGTCCCCACATCATCTAGTGGTGTTTAAAACAGCTGATAGCCTCGCCAGTCCCCACATCATCTAGTGGTGTTTAAAACAGCTGATAGCTTCGCCAGTCCCCACATCATCTAGTGGTGTTTAAAACAGCTGATAGCCTCGCCAGTCCCCACATCATCTAGTGGTGTTTAAAACAGCTGATAGCTTCGCCAGTCCCCACATCATCTAGTGGTGTTTAAAACAGCTGATAGCCTCGCCAGTCACCACATAATTTAGTCATGTTTAAAACAGACGAGAGGAGACTACTTCCAGGTTGCTTCCCAAATAGTGCACTACTTTTGACCAGAGCTCTATTTTGGATGTGGCCCCAGATATATGATTATCACTTCCTGTTAATGAACAGAGGAGCCATTATTTCCCCCTTCCTCCAGCAGTATTACTGTGTGTAGCCGTTGGCAACATGGCTGTTTTAGATTGGTATCTACGGTGCAACACTTCTACGGCGCAACACAAAATCATGGGTGATATCTTTGCAGTCTTTGCAATAGACGAACAAGAGAAGAGGTGTTATCCCTTTTACCAATAAAATGTATCTTTCAGGTTTCGCAAGAAGGAAAATATTAATTTCAGAATTCATAGAAGAGCAGGAAACTCATGGTGCTGCTGCCGATTGACCCATTTCATATGTTCTGGGCTAATCCAGACTAGAGAAGACGACAAGGTCTAACTGTAGCTCAGGTCAACTGGCGTTGGGCCCTGTGAAAGAGGACAAACCCAGAGCCAATATCTCTGCCCTCAAATTCTATAAGGAAAAATAAAGAATTATGTAGTAAAATAGATTTAGCACTACAGAATGAGTGGCTAAAAAGCTGTTGATCATGCATTGGTCTATCTACAGTATCTCATTCTCCACACAAAGTGCAGTTGCTGTTTAAATTGGCAGGCAAATTTATACCAGCCAAATCAATAGAGCCAACATCACTGTTCTAAATTTACTGTGCTCCTCTATCTAAAATTGATTTATGGCACACGTGCAAAACACTGATACTTGCACTTGAATGTGCACATTTTATTTCTGCACTGTCATTATTTCTCTCTGTCCCATAGGAGTGAAGCCCTTCTGCATTGCATTGTGGTGGAGACTGGCGAGCAGGGCGAAGACATCTGACAATGCTGCCTACTTCTGTCTGTCTGTTCGTCAGTCTGTCTGTCTGCCCGTCTGTCTGTCAGTCTATTAGTATGTCAGTCAGTCTGTCTGCCTGTCCGTCTGTCTGCCCATCTGTCTGTCAGTCTGTTAGTCTATCAGTCTGTCAGTCTGTTAGTCTGTCTGTCCTGCACAACCATAACAGGAAGGTAGCAGTAACAAACAGACCTAATATTACCGGTAATAAAAACTCAAGTTATTTTGCATTGCGACACAATGTTGCTTTATCCGTTTCCTCCATCTCTCTGCCTGAAAAGTACCTCACCTTTTAATTATCTTGATGAAACATTGTAACCTGCAAAGTGATACAAATGGAGGAAAAGATTGCCAATGTCACCGGAGTGTTTGGATCCAGCCATTGACACAGCAATCAGGAGGACGAGGGTCAGCTAGAGTAAAACGCTAACTTGTAGCCTACAACAACAACAAATGTGTTTACATCGTCATTATGATGTAGACAAGCTTTTCTTAACTAACCAAATGGCCTTTGCTTTGACTAATAGCAGATGTCACATTACAGTGAGTTCTGTTTCTAACCATACTGTAGGCATTCTCCATGGATCAAGGTCTAGGTTGAATCCCAGCCAGGGATCAAAGCCTCATTGTCCAGCACACAAGCAGAAACGGAAAACCAGCTCAGCTTGGTGAATAGTTGCCATACATACAGAGTGGCTGGCTGTGTTCTGTTAGAAGGCGGAAGCTGGGCCTGGGTCTGGGCCTATGCCGCCGGACTTACAATCCTGTGTGTGTGTGTGTGTGTATAAGAGAGCAAAAGAGAGAGAGAGAGAGAGAGAGAGAGAGAGAGAGAGAGAGAGAGAGAGAGAGAGAGAGAGAGAGAGAGAGAGAGCGAGAGAGAGAGAGAGAGAGAGACATTCATCTTGCTGCCCTTAATGTGGGACTAAATGTCAAATTGTTTCTACTCCAATTCCTATGAAAATGCTGTTTTAATTCATCAAAGAAACAAACAAAAACATAAGTTATTACTGTGTTATTACCATTGTTAGAATTTCTTAGTAAATACCAGTAACTTTATGTATTTATGTTGTAGTACATGTTAACCTACAGTAAGTGGGAGTATCCCCCTAATAAAGTATATTCTACATCCAGAATTCATAGAGGAATCATCTGAAATATACTCATTATTCGCATGTAGTAGACAGCAGAAGAATACAAGATGAGTCTGACACAATTTCACCTTCCAAGGTTGTAGCTATACTGACATAGGTCCACATTGAAATTCTGCAACATACGCACATTAAACCATTCCTTACACAGAAAATGACATTTAAATGCCACACAGATGTCACAATAAATACGGAAACACTAGAAAAAGAGAGAGAGAGAGAGAGAGAGAGAGAGAGAGAGAGAGAGACCTACCTCCCCGGTCAGGTCGCCTACTGCGTGTAGCCTACGACCGAGCTGCTTCTGTCCATATTAACAGCCGCAGTGCTTTTATTATGACACAGACACATCTGTTGATACACAGTCACCTACAAAACACCTCCACTCGGTCGCCACGATATTCACACAAGCACCACCCATTTACCTCTTCCTTCCAACTGCACTAGACGCACCTCCCTGCCTGGCCTACAGTCACCAACGCAATCAGTGTTGGCATGCACAGTCAGTCCCGTGTTTCCAGATGGACGGGTGTGTGTGTAGGTATGTGTGTAGTATTGTTCAGCCAACGATGTTCTTGATGCTTTGCTGCCTTGCTGCCCTTCCTGCTGCTTGCTTGACCAGGAAGCGGTAGGCTATTGGTGGAATGTCCTCTAGCCTGCCCCTGGCGGCTTCCATAGAATAAAATCAAAAGCAAAAATCTACAAGCGCCTTTCCTCACCTCAGGAGTTCGTCCTTTTCCCCCACATAATAATGAATCTTATTGTTACAAATCCACAGAAGCATCTCTTGTGTTATCTCCTAATTGGGTAGAATGTCGCAGTAAATGTGTTTTTACTTTCGGAATTCGGAGTTCGCTCGTCAATAGCTATCCGACAGAAGGTGCTAGGATGATGAGAGTGATATATATAGAATCGGATGACGGTAGAGAGCAAGGTACACACTATGTTTTTACCGATAGTCAAACTTTTCCCTTCACAGAGCCAAGAAATATGCAATATTCTGTTTTTTGGCGCTCAGGTGGTTTAGGGACCATCGTAAAAGTGCAATACCGGTGATTGCATGTGAGCAAAAAAATAAATGTTTTTGCATTCCAATTAAGGAGGGTTAGCCCTATATGAAGATTACACACACTGCATAGGGCCTCCAGTCACTGAAGGACCCAGCATTTTTATTAGTTACCTCTAACTACTAAGGGTACTATATTTGACCCATTTACAAGGATACTTTTAGAAAGCTTCCTATCTAGGTGAAATGGAGATGTAAAACCACATAATGTGAAGTAACTGACCCCACTCATCCATGCTACATTCATTAGAATTCCAGTTCACTACTTCCCTGATTTTATAGGCATATTTCTTGTGATAGGTCGGACTTTCAATACCTTCCTATCCATATGAGCTACAGATCTACAGACAAGGGTGGTGGGTTCCTTCACCTCTCTTATCAAAGCTACACCTTTTATACCGTTTTTAATTCCTCCCCTTTGATTCTATAGATTTTTTTTTCCTATTACAGCTTTAGATATTAATTCAGGTACATATCTAATTTTCAATAGCTTCCTATCTACATTACATATACATCTAAAACCACTTGAGTTTATGTCTCTGACCTCCCTCGTCCATAGTAGTCTACACCCATTAGAATTGCAATTTTTATTTACTGAATTTACATAAATATGTCCTGTGTTAGGTCTTATTTTTAATAGCTCCCGACCATATGAGTTACAGATCAACAGACAAGTGAAAAATGTGTCATACCCATGGTATCCGGTCTGATATACCACAGCTGTCAGCCAATCAGCATTCAGGGCTCGAACCACCCAGTTTATAATTTCCAATAGCTTCCAGTCCAAATTACATATACATCTAAAATAACTTGATGTTAGGTCACTGTTGTCCGTCCTCCATAATACAACAATTAAAACTGCAATTTTTCTATTCACTGATTTGACATGAATATGTCCTGTGATAGGTCTAATTTCAATAGTTCACTGTCCATATGAGCCACAGGTCAACAGACAAGTGATGTGGGTTCCTTGACCTCTCTTATCAAATGTACACCTTTTATTTGTTCATAATTCCTCACCTTTGATTTTCTATAAATATTTATCCTATTAAATTCAAGAGGACTCCAGTGGCAACGTCTGGTGAACTCCATGCCCAAGAGGGTTAAGGCAGTGCTGGAAAATGATGGTGGCCACACAAAATATATACACTTTCACTTAGGGGTGTACTCACTTTTGTTGCCAGCGGTTAGACATTAATGGCTGTGTGTTGAGTTATTTTGAGGGGACAGCAAATTTACACTGTTATACAAGCTGTACACTCACTACTTTACATTGTAGCAAAGTGTCATTTCTTCAGTGTTGTCACATGAAAAGATATACTCAAATATGTAAAAAAAATGTGAGGGGTGTACTCACTTTTGTGATATACTGTATATGTCATTTGGACTGGAAGCTATTGCAAATTAGATCTGTACATGAATTAATAACAACTATTTGTTGAAACATTTTAAAGAAGTCATTCGCTTTGATAATAGAGGTCAGGGAACACTTGGCTGTAGATCTCTATCACATGTGGAGTGGAAGCAATTAAAAAGGATATTAATTTATAAATCAGGGAACTTCATTTATAAATCAGGGAACTTTAAAATGGGAATTCTAATGGGTGTATCATGGATTAGAGGCATTAGTGACTTTGCCACAAGTGATTTTAGCTCTCTAGGTCATGCAAGTAGGCTACAGTAGGTTGCATACGAGTGAGAAAGATCATAGGCCTATTTCTGTTTTTTGAGCTCATATTTTTACATAAAAATCCATTTAAAATAAACTAAATCAAATTTTAAAATGTTTGTGGGAAAAACAACTGGTTTAAGATCTATACATTATTTAATTTTTAAACGTTTCTGTAAACACCAGGTTCGGCTGATTGCACTTTTAAGACGGTCCCTTAGCCGCGATTTCATAATATTCATCCATCGAAACCAACGTAAAGTAACTTTTTTTCAAACAGAAATGAATGGGGCCGAAAAAAGCTGTACCTTGCTGTGTTGTTATGTGTTAATAACATGAAGACTACGTTACCCAGTAGGCTATGCGAGGGGGGAAGTGGAAGTATGCCTTGCATGGCTACACAAGGAGATTGCTAGCTAAAGTATCAGTTTATTAAAAGTAGTTCAACCTACGACCCGGTTTGTCATTATTTAAAGGAACAAACATAACACTTGCTCTCTATCCTCATCTGATTCTAGATATATCACCCGAATCATCCTAGGACCTTCTGTCGAAGAGGTATTGACGAGAAAACGGAATTTTTTTTTTTCCTGCGGAGAGAAACCTTCAGTGCTGCACAAATGGCCTTTGCAATTATTGGTTTAAGCATAGACTACTCCAGTTATCCTATAAGATTTGAATAATTTAAATGCATTTATACCATCAACAATACTTTATATCTTGCTGCAACTCTTGCAATTTGTTACTCTGTTGTTCTTCTTTACAATACAAGCGCAGTTGGGGAATTTATTATGAGGGGGAAGCAAGTGGAAACTCCCAAAACAGTATGCGCATGCCCCCAGCATTAGGGACTTTTATTTCAGAAGTTTGGCTACCGCAGCCTATAAAACTAACCGACAACCGATTATAGCCCATTTCTCAGTCGAAACACACAAATTGATGTACTGTTGTATTGTAGCCTATATCGTTCTGTTAGATTAACAGTTATGTTACAATGTAACGAAAAAGGCGAGATTTTACCTGGTAAGAAATCACTTTCCTCATCACCTATCTATTCTCAAGGGACGCAACGGGTCTAATCTCTCGTGGATTGACAGTTTACAATTTTAGTTTTGGGTTTACCGAGATTGCAACGGGTCTAATCTAAACAAAAAGTGAAAGGCCTATGATATGTATGGAAGCAATGGGGAATAACCAATGAGAATAACAAGGCCGGTGTGAAAGTGATATTTTTGCGTTAGCCTACACTACACTTCTTTCATCATTTTCATCACATTGTCTTTTGCATTAATTATGCAAATGCCATATTATTATCATGTTATAACAACACTGAAATGTATATATTTTTTTACTAAGCATTTTTTTCTTATTTTTTTCTGTAATTTATGCATTCTCTCTCATCCAAGAAAGGAGCTTGCAACTTCAGTTACACGCTCTCAGCAAATCTATGTCATGCTGTGTGGTGGAAAGGCTGTGCGTGTACTTGTTGAGCTCCAAGACCATCACAGAGTACGAGAGCCAGGTGATCTGGTCACAGGGAACAGACATGCAGAAGGCTGCCAAACTGCTGCAGGTGGTGTTGAAGAAGGGTCGCAACGCCTGTCAGCTCTTTTTCGACTCACTAGAAAGGTGCTGCCAGTGCCCACCACTGTTCGAAAGAGTCACCGGCCTCCCAGGTAAGTCTCTTCAAAAGTGTTAATTTTTTCATTTTATTAATTGCAAGTAAATTACTTTGGCCTACAAGCCTGTAGTTTTCATGTAGTTTTAATCAACATTTAAATAGGTTATGAATAGTCTAGGCCTACAGTTTATTTATTTATTCAATTATGTGGTATTTAGAGAGGTAGGCTAACTTGGCCTAGATGGCAGCACATTTTCTTTGTAGTAAATAGTATATGTTATATGAATTCTACCCAACGTTCCCTTTTAAAGCACTGGAAACCCAGCTCCATTTGGTGTCTGAGGCAGGTGAGGGCAAATAATATTCCAGAGGCCCAAGAATGTTCCATTCCTCATGTGAAATCCAGTTTTTAAAGATAAAGTGTAGGCTTAAATCCAAATGTTTTCTCCACGTGTCCAATACTAAAGCTCATAGAAGGTTTTTACAGTATGTCATCATCATGACGTAGTGGGAATCGCTGGGATACTATTGTCAACAACAGACTATTTCCCTTTTTTTTTGGCTCTTCCCTTTTTACTCACACCCTAAACAACAGAGAGGAGGAGGAGCAACACTGCCCCAACTTACGTCATCAACATCAGCCATTCCAATTTGAGTAACTGCATCATTGGAGACTGCAACTTTCAAGGTGTGGCAACATGTATACAACAACTTCAAAGCATTGGTTCAGAGCATGCTAGGCATGGTAAGTTACAGTGTGTCAGAGTTACAGTTACATTTTCTCATAATTTCATATATTTTTAATGATGTGTTACAAGATTCAAGCACATTCACAGATACAAGCACATATGTATATATTATAATAATTATTTTGTATTATTGTTTCCTTCACTTCTCTTTTTGACCTGCACTGTTGGAGTTTAAGAATGTCACTGTACCCTGCAATTACATCTGTGACCCTGTGCAAGTGACTAATAAACTAATCTAATCATTGACAAGACAATTATTTATCAGATGTGTTGCACCAGTGTGTGTAGTTTACGCTAATTCTCAACACCTATCCCCTTTCTTTAATAGGTTCAAAGAAGCCATTAGATTAATAACTTTCATATATGGTACTGCATTCCATTCATGTATGAAAATGTATGCACTCACTAACTGTAAATCGCTCTGGATAAGAGCGTCTGCTAAATGACGTAAATGTAAATGTAAATGTAATGTCTCTATTACAGAGACGATGGGAAGCAACACCACCAGTGACCACCAGAGAGCAGTACAGGCCTGTCCAGAGCCAGAGCGCCAGCGGAGTGTCCAGGTCTACGGGTCCCAGCTGCAGTATGTCATCATCGGGGACAACAACAGCCTGCAGGCTGGAGACACACAGGAAGAGGAAGAAGAAGACATGGAACTCATTAATGAAAGTAACTGATTGGATTTGTGTAGGGCTTTTCCAGATGCTCAAAGCGGTTACATTGTATTGGGGAAACTCACCTCATACACCACCAACTAGTTTCCATTTAAGTCATTGAGCAAACGCTCTTATCAAATCAAATCAAATCAAATGTTATTGGTCACATACACGTGTTTAGCAGATGTTATTGCAGGTGTAGTGAAATGCTTGTGCTTCTAGCTCCGACAGTGCAGTAATATCTAACAAGTAATATCTAACAATTTCACAACATATACCCAATACACACAGATCTAAGTAAGGAATTAATTAAGAATATATACATATATGGACAAGCGATGTTAGAGCGGCAAGATACAGTAGAATAGTATAGAATACAGCATATACATATGAGATGAGTAATGCAAGATATGTAAACATTATTAAAGTAGCTAGTGTTCCATTTCTTAAAGTGGCCAGGGATTTCTAGTCTATGTCTATAGGCAGCAGCCTCTAATGTGCTAGTGAATGCTGTTTAACAGTCTGATGCCTTGAGATAGAAGCTGTTTTTCAGTCTCGGTCCCAGCTTTGATGCACCTGTACTGACCTCGCCTTCTGGATGATAGCGAGGTGAACAGGCAGTGGCTGTGGTGGTTGATGTCCTTGATGATATTTTTGGCCTTCCTGTGACATCGGGTGCTGTAGGTGTCCTGGAGGGCGGGTAGTTTGCCCCCGGTAATGCATTATGCAGACCGCACCACCCTCTGGAGAGCCTTGTGACTTACAGGAGCAATTAGGGTTAAGTGCCTTGCTCAAGGGCACATTGACAGATGTTTCACCTAGTCGTCTCAGAGATTCAAACCAGTGACCTTTCAGTTACTGGCCCAACGCTCTTAACCGCTAGGCTACCTGCCTCTGGTGCCAAAGGTTGCATGTTCGAATCCAATGATAGAAAGTTGTTTTTGAGATTTTTGTTTTAAGCCTATCCCAAACCTTAACCCTTACCTTAATCATTCAGAGTTAATGCCTAACCTTAAGATTTCGGAGTTAATGCCTAAACTTAACTCTTACCTTAAAAATGTGGAGTTAATGTCTAAGCTTTAATGCCTAAAGCATTAAAGCGTTGTGTGGCACGGCATCAGTGTCCTATAGAGCCATACATGTATCGCCATCTCCTGCTGTTGTGCCCTTGAGCAAGCTACTGCGCCACGGTCGACCCTAGCTCTCAATCCCCATAAGTGATATGGAGACAAAATGTATGGCCATTGGCTACATTGTAATGTTCCTTGCTGTGTCAACTTGATTTCTGGGGAATGTATATTTATTGTAAATTGCAATGTATTGTTTGGATAGTATAACTTAACCCTACATAATCAAAGAATGAACCATATTTTTGGTCCGTAGACTTATGGAATAAGTATTGAACCATACATTACGTTCTGTGAACCCAATGTATAATGACCACACTGATCACTGCTATTGATAAAGTGCATTTTATTTATTTTAAGTATTTACTTGCTGTAAAAAATACTTGCTGTTTTACTTTGAATGTATTATTAATGTATTAATTTGAATGCATGTGTTCACTGAAAATTGTACTGTACATATTCACTGTTCTACTAAGTTATCAATATTGAAATAGGTTATTTAAAAAAAAAAGTTTACTATACGGTACAGAAATTGTTATTGTTCTGAATTATTTGACTTTATCCGGCAATAAACAATATATTTTCTCAATAATTGTGTTTCTCAATATTATTTTTGCTTGAAAAGCTGGCATGTCACCTAATGAAATATCCATACAACATTATAAAGGTATTGCAATACATTTTTATTGTTTTTTTGTCATTTCTTGAAATCTCTGGGAGGGATACATCTGGATGGTTTCAACAGATTAAAGATACAACCTACACAGCAGTACATGTATTTTGCTGTCACATTTTGGGCTTTCTGTTATGTACCATACAGTAGATCACCTCTACTTATTATAGTCCATATTTTGTCCCGCAATTACTTGTATTGTGAGAAACAATCTCTAAGCTAGTTAATAGTAGCCTGGATCCTAACTGAATAGTTCTGTTTCACTTCACCAAACAGAGCAATTTAGTTTGGATCTAGGCTAAGTTAATAGCCCCAAGTCTAAATGATTTTAGTCGGGATGTAAGTGGTCAAGGAAACACAGACCTGCTCTATGGACGGACATTACTATAGATCATATTTATATACAGTATGCTGAGTCACTGTGGATTCAATCTGTCACAAAAATAATATATTAATGCTAAGAGAAGAAGGCAGTGTATTTAAGGCAGAAATATAAGGAACTGGGAGGAAGAAGACTGGATTTGTAATAGACACTTTAATATACATAAATCCTGATTCCTGGCCCCCGAAATATGCTTCAGCTTCTGGTTTAGAGACAAACGGTATGGTTAAGACACACCACAGTCACACACAACTGATATACAAATTCATGAAGGCATCATTTCGAGGCTTTGAGTTGAACAGAAGAGTAGCGTGTAATACCATACTTTGCTGCCTATACAATAAAACAGAGGGTGGTTTTAAGCATGTTAAATCATACCATAACTATTGTAAAGCAAAGAAAGACAATTTGAGATAATTTCATGTACTGTTATTGAATATGGGTGTTTATATGAAATATTCCATTCAAAACCAAAGAAAAAGCCATGTCAAACTTACATCAATAACTGAAATCAACATAAGAGTAGGTATAGATTTCTTTCACAAAATATGCATATATTTCTGGTGGTGCATGCTTGTTACTGGGACAGACCAGATTATTTTGGGGGCACAGGCTATATAAAATATTGACAAAAAGTGATTCCTACTGTACTGTTGGTGTCTGCTTTTGTTATGATTATCTAGCGCAATTACTGTACCTGCTCAGTGTTCAACTACCAGTGACAAATACTGTGTCAATATTGTTCCTTCATCATGTCATAGAGTTAGTATCATAGAAATAGAATGAATAGAACATGCTTGAAAGCTCTAACCCTGGCAATTTACATTTACGTCATTTAGCAGACGCTCTTATCCAGAACGACTTACAGTTAGTGAGTGCATACATTTTTTCATACTGGCCCCCATGGGAATCGAACCCACAACCCTGGCGTTGCAAGCGCCATGCTCTACCAATTGAGCTACAGGAGGCCTAATTTGACTGGTAAACTCATCGGTACACTCGCAATGGCTGCCTGGTACTGTACCTGCTCAATGATATCACACATTTTCAACTACCAGTGACAAATACTGTGTCAATATTGTTCCTTCATCATGTCATATACAGTGGGGAAAAAAAGTATTTAGTCAGCCACCAATTGTGCAAGTTCTCCCACTTAAAAAGATGAGAGAGGCCTGTAATTTCCATCATAGGTACACGTCAACTATGACAGACAAATTGAGAAAAAAATTTCCAGAAAATCACATTGTAGGATTTTTAATGAATTTATTTGCAAATTATGGTGGAAAATAAGTATTTGGTCACCTACAAACAAGCAAGATTTCTGGCTCTCACAGACCTGTAACTTCTTCTTTAAGAGGCTCCTCTGTCCTCCACTCGTTACCTGTATTAATGGCACCTGTTTGAACTTGTTATCAGTATAAAAGACACCTGTCCACAACCTCAAACAGTCACACTCCAAACTCCACTATGGCCAAGACCAAAGAGCTGTGAAAGGACACCAGAAACAAAATTGTAGACCTGCACCAGGCTGGGAAGACTGAATCTGCAATAGGTAAGCAGCTTGGTTTGAAGAAATCAACTGTGGGAGCAATTATTAGGAAATGGAAGACATACAAGACCACTGATAATCTCCCTCGATCTGGGGCTCCACGCAAGATCTCACCCCGTGGGGTCAAAATGATCACAAGAACGGTGAGCAAAAATCCCAGAACCACACGGGGGGACCTAGTGAATGACCTGCAGAGAGCTGGGACCAAAGTAACAAAGCCTACCATCAGTAACACACTACGCCGCCAGGGAATCAAATCCTGCAGTGCCAGACGTGTCCCCCTGCTTAAGACAGTACATGTCCAGGCCCGTCTGAAGTTTGCTAGAGTGCATTTAGATGATCCAGAAGAGGATTGGGAGAATGTCATATGGTCAGATGAAACCAAAATAGAACTTTTTGGTAAAAACTCAACTCGTCGTGTTTGGAGGACAAAGAATGCTGAGTTGCAGCCAAAGAACACCATACCTACTGTGAAGCATGGGGGTGGAAACATCATGCTTTGGGGCTGTTTTTCTGCAAAGGGACCAGGACGACTGATCCGTGTAAAGGAAAGAATGAATGGGGCCATGTATCGTGAGATTTTGAGTGAAAACTTCCTTCCATCAGCAAGGGCATTGAAGATGAAACGTGGCTGGGTCTTTCAGCATGACAATGATCCCAAACACACCGCCTGGGCAACGAAGGAGTGGCTTCGTAAGAAGCATTTCAAGGTCCTGGAGTGGCCTAGCCAGTCTCCAGATCTCAACCCCATAGAAAATCTTTGGAGGGAGTTGAAAGTCTGTGTTGCCCAGCGACAGCCCCAAAACATCACTGCTCTAGAGGAGATCTGCATGGAGGAATGGGCCAAAATACCAGCAACAGTGTGTGAAAACCTTGTGAAGACTTACAGAAAACGTTTGACCTGTGTCATTGCCAACAAAGGGTATATAACAAAGTATTGAGAAACTTTTGTTATTGACCAAATCCTTATTTTCCACCATCAGTTGCAAATAAATTCATTAAAAATCCTACAATGTGATTTTCTGGATTTTTTTTCCTCATTTTGTCTGTCATAATTGACGTGTACCTATGATGAAAATTACAGGCCTCTCTCATCTTTTTAAGTGGGAGAACTTGCACAATTGGTGGCTGACTAAATACTTTTTTTCCCCACTGTAGTTAGTATCATAGAAATAGAATGAATAGAACAGGCGTGGCAGCTCTAAACCTGGCAATTTGACTGGTAAATTCATCGGTACACTCACAAGGGCTACCTGGTCTTGCGATGCAATAATTTCCATGGTTATTTGGAATGGTCTATCAACTGATGCTGGATTGCCATGGTAATGAAGACTGTTCATTCAAATTATGCTAACTGATGTGGCTCATGCAAAGGAATATATTTTTTGTAATGTCAGTTGAGTTGACTCAACAAAACATCACAGCACAGAATGAAGGGTACACTTCCTGCTTTTACTTCCTGGCATGGGTCTAGGTTGAAGATGACAAAGGTTAAGACAACGGGATTCTAATATCCCATAATAATATGCAACAATGGTAGTTGGCAACAGCGCTGGTAGTTAGCAACGGCACTGGTCCCAGATTTATGACGACGTTGTCTTAACCTGTATATTTTAAACCTAGCTATGGGTACACTCAAAATGGCTGCCAGTCCACCCATTATGCCATCATTGACTTGAATGGGGACGCCCATTCTATTAATTATATTTCTATGGTTAGTATATTCATCAGTATGACGTCTTTTGGAGAAACATGCTCTAATCGGGGGATGCGATGGCTATCTATAGCAAGGTCAATGAGTATTTACAGCAGAAAAAAATACTTCTTTGGGTTTTATATTATGGTTTAGACAGAAGGGAATCCTTTTGGCACTAAAGCTGACATTAGCAGCAAGTACTGTATTGTCAATGTAATACACCTGACATTCCCGTAGACCCTACGCCTAGGGCAAGACAGGTGAGAGGTTTGGGCTACCTTCATGGGTATGATCCAACTTTGAGCAAAGTGATACGCTGTTTGTTTACCTGTTATTCTTTATGGTAAAATGATGCTTCATCAAGACCGCTCAGAACCCCAGAGAACATCAATGAGCATAATTCATTATTGTACCGTCAGCTAAAAATAACCTGAACATGTCAAGAAGAGTAAAAAGGGGGAGACAACTTTTCATCACAAAACACCTGACTCTAAGCCGAACCATATGTACACACGTATACCATACCATACAAAATGATAACTTGTAAAAAAACATCTACAATTTCATAGTTCCATATCCTTTCAAGTCATCATCCAATCATTTGTTGCTTTTGTCTCATGTCTCCACTTTAAGATGTTCACAGCTCTCAGTATGGGACTTGTGTTGTCAGCATCACACCTACTCTCTTACAGTAGAACACCATAGCCTGAGGAATTCAAATATGGAGCGTTATTTTGCCTTGTGCTCATTGATTTTTCTGTGGGTGAGTAACTCCTACCACATTCCACCAATTGTGCCAGTATAGGGGGTGATTGAGGCCATACCACTTTGAATCTTTACACTACCTCATACTTTACATTTGATCATTCAGTGTCCTTAATCACCTCTCTATGGCAGAACATTATGGCAACATTTACATTGCTGAGCAAAATATTGTATAAAAATGGACTAGTATCCTTTTGTCTGAAAGTACTGGTACTGTATTCAACGATCAGAGGACATAGTAACAAGCACTGACTACACAGTCCACATTCCTCCAAGGAAAAGTAAAGGTCCACAGCCTGCTCTGACAGCATCGACAGACAGATGAAACTAGACACGGTATAGGCCGGATCGCAGCACAGTCATCCAGATCAAAACCCAGTCAGTCAGAGTTCTGTATTGTGCCATAAGTGCTGGAAGCAGCTAGAAGACAGTGGAGAAGGTAGACAAGGACGAGGGGAGAGTCTAGATCTCGTTGATTGTTCTTTCAGAGGGTCGGTAATCAGCTCCCTTGGGGGACGACATGTAGAAGGACTGGGTCTTGCGTTTTAAGCGCGCCCGCTTGGTGGCCAGGGAGAGGCTGTGCTTGCTGGAGGAGATGATGTCGTGGATGAACTTCTTGCAGTCCACACACACTTCCATGGTGCACCAGTCCTCCGTCAGCTCCGCTGGAAGCTCCACCTCGTCACGGGACTGGGACTTCTCCAGACTACCGTGCTTAGACAACCTGAGCGAGGGAGGGAGGAGAGGTTAACACTAAGTTGTGTAACAGAGTAGGTTCCGTCTCTGTCCCTCACTGGGCTCAGTCGGCTACAGTTGCTCTTAAAATAGAACATAACTTCATTTGAGAATAAGTCTTGCACATCTAAAACAGGCACATTTTTTAAAAAAACGTTATGATCTAGAGAAGTAGTAGAGGGGTGCCTACTTGGACATGGTCTTCTGAAGGCTGAGGCGGTGGTGGCTAGTAGAGGGTTTCTCAGGCTTGGGGGCTGCTGCTGCTCTGCTTGGTCCTGCTGCTGCTGAGGCTGCTGCTTTAACTGCTGCTTTTCCTTTTCCTGCTGAAACTGCTGCTGCTGCTGGGGCGGCTGATGGACCAGCTATACTGGCAGCTTTCCCCATGGCTGCTACCCGGTCCCTGGGTAGAGTGGTGGTAGAGCCCAGGGAATAGATGGGCAGGTTGGCATAGGGCTTGGAGGGTAGCCTCATCTGACAGAGAGACAGAAATAGAGCAGAGTATGAACACATTCATAAAGACAATATTATGGGATTACTTTCTATCAGTGGGCATCCATCAGTGTGAGAGAATAAATATGACATACTTTTTGACAGCACTGTGAACACACAGGCCTTTTGCAGAACTGGCAGGTGTAGGACCATGTGAACAAGGAAAACCTTTTGGTTCGGCAACAGAAGCAAAGCTGTAAAAAGAAGAAATTCAGAACAGGTGCATCAAAAGTTTAAGACAAAAGGAATCAAATCATTCAAAAAGCAGTGTGTGATCAAATTATGTGACCTCAAAGATTTTGAAAGGAACGTGTAAGATGATTTTTCTCAACAATAGGTACTGTGATGTTTAGTCCGAGATACTTTTATTTCAGCTGGGTGAAAATGAACAGCAGTAAACTGACCTTTCCCTTCTTCATAGCGTTGTACACGTCCTTGTACTGTTGGAACTTCTCCAACTCTGCTTTGACCAGCACCTGTCTGATATGCATCACCTCTTCCACCGTCAGGGACAAGCACTCTACCGGGAAACAAAACTCCTCCTGAAAACACACACACAGCACCGGCCAGGTTACTATGACAACCACACAAACCGCCCTTGTTACCATTCCGTCCACACACACACACACCAGAACCTCTCGGTGCACTCTGTCCGGGTTCTGACAAGTTTGGGCAAAAAAAGTATCCATTGTTCACCCGGCAAGCCGAGGGGACAAACAAAGCACAGAGGGCACGGAACGAGTAAACAACTGGAGTGATGACAGATAATGACAATATTCCAGAAAATTCCAGAAATCCTCTACTTGGTTCTGCTTCACATAAAGGTATAGACAACCTAAAAACACACAAGGCCCCTCTGCTGTGGTTGGTTTTCTGCTTCTATCTGGCTGTTTCTGACTTCAATAACTAAGCCTGCGGTGGGACTACGGAGATGCTATCTTCAACAGTACACCAGGTCTGCTGCTGCTGCTGCAATTACTGGTCATCCTGGTGTTGTTCCAATAATGTTTCTCAATAATGTGTCTCTATTCAACGTTTTTTGTTGTTGCACCCAGCTAATGTTTCTCACTCCCAGAAGAACCATGAATATACTGTAACTCTGTAATGCTGCTGTGGCTCCTGCTGCTGATCTTATGACTCACAGAGATACAGTGGGCTGCATTGTCTCTGGCCCAGAGGAAGGGAAGGAGGGGGAGAGCCTAGGGAGTATCAACAACAACAAAAAATAGGGAGTTTATACTTGCTACTGAACAACAGTATGTTATATACAGTATACACAACATGAAGGACTTAATTAATCTATCTAGAGCATTGTTTTACTTGGCAGTGGCTAGCTAGGCTACATGATGCTTGCAAGCACAACAACTATAACTATGGTTAAATGGAGCAAAGCTGAGTATGATTAAATGATTGGTGCTCCAGTGAGGGATGCATCTGCTGTTGACTGTCAAAATGCATAATGACAATCACACCTAAACTGAAGGGCTTTCTATGAAAACAGCAACAGTCCTGGGCGGGGCTGAGAGATGGATCTCTAGGAAAGCAGGAAGCATTAGAAGAGATGATGATGAACTACGGTGTGCCAGCATGGACATAAGGGGCGACTGGCAAACCTTGAAAGGCTTTCTTCCCCTGCACAGAGCAGACAGGGCAGACCACACCATGCCCAAGACAAACACCTCGACAGGGTAGGAGCTCCATAAGGGGTGGAGGGTGGAGGGAGGGGAGTGGAGGAGGAGGGGGTTCCAGGGGAACAGATGGTGGGCTATCCTTCCGACCTGAGAAGGACAGGGGTTATAGAGGTGTATGGAAGAGGGGGAGGACAGGGATTATAAAGGTGTATGAAAGAGGGGGAGGACAGGGATTATAGAGGTGTATGGAAGAGGGGGAGGACAGGGATTATAAAGGTGTATGGAAGAGGGGGAGGACAGGGATTATTAGGTGTATGGAAGAGGGGGAGGACAGGGATTATAGAGGTGTATAGAGGGGGAGGACAGGGATTATAATGGTGTATGGAAGAGGGGGAGGACAGGGATTATAAAGGTGTATGGAAGAAGGGGAGGTCAGGGGTGTGTGTGTGGTCATTTGCATGTGTGCATACATGGACCTGTGTGTCAAGATTTTTATTGTATGACTTAATTTGCCCTTGTTTTCTTACATGGGGTTATAGAGGGACAGTGCATTCGGAAAGTATTCAGACCCCTTGACTTTTTCCACGTTTTGTTACATTACAGCCTTATTCTAAAATTGATTAAATTGTTTTCCCCCCTCATCAATCTACACACAATACCCCATAATGACAAAGACAAAACAGGTTTCAGACCCTTTACTCAGTACTTTGTTGAAGCACCTTTGGCAGCGATTACAGACTCGAGTCTTCTTGGGTATGACGCTACAAGCTTGGCACACCTGTATTTGGGGAGTTTCTCCCATTCTTCTCTGCAGATCCTCTCAAACTCTGTCAGGTTGGATGGGGAGTGTCACTGCACCGCTATTTTCAGGTCTCTCCAGAGATGTTCGATCAGGTTCAAGTCCGGGCTCTGGCTGGGCCACTCAAGGACATTCAGAGACTTGTCCCGAAGCCACTCCTGTGTTGTCTTGGCTGTGTACTTCCTGTTGGAAGGTGAAACTTTGACCAAGTCTGAGGTCCTGAGTGCTCTGGAGCAGGTTTTCATCAAGGATCTCTCTGTACGTTCTCTTTTCATCATTCCCTCGATCCTGACTAGTCTACCAGTCCCTGCCGCTGAAAACATCCCCACATCATGATGCTGCCACCACCATATGTCACCGTAGGGATGATGCCAGGTTTCCTCCAGACATGACTCTTGGCATTCAGGCCAAAGAGTTCAATCTTGGTTTCATCAGACCAGAGAATCTTGTTTCTCATGGTCTGAGAGTCTTTAGGTGCCTTTTGGCAAACTCCAAGCGGCCTGTCATGTGCCTTTTACTGAGGAGTGGCTTCTGTCTGGCCACTCTACCATAAAGGCCTGATTGGTGGAATGCTGCAGAGATGGTTGTCCTTCTGGAAGGTTCTCCCATCTCCACAGAGGAACTCTGGAGCTCTGTCAGAGTGACCATTGGGTTCTTGGTCACCTCCCTGACCAAGGCCCTTCTCCCCCGATTGCTCAGTTTGGCTGGGCGGCCAGCTCTAGGAAGAGTCTTGCTGGTTCCAAACTTCTTCCATTTAAGAATGATGGAGGCCACTGAGTTCTTGGGGACCTTCAATGCTGCAGACATTTTTTGGTACCCTTCCCCAGATCTGTGCCTCGACACAATCCTATCTCGGAGCTCTATGGACAATTCCTTCGACCTCATGGCTTGGTTTTTGCTCTGACATGCACTGTCAACTGTGGGACCTTATATCACAGGTTTGTGCCTTTCCAAATCGTGTCCAATCAATTGAATTTACCACAGGTGGACTCTAATCAAGTTGTAGAAACATCTCAAGGATGATCAATGGAAACAGGAATGCACCTGAGCTTCAATTTCAAGTCTCATAGCAAGGGTCGAATACTTATGTAAAGTATTTCTTAAAACCTGTTTTCGCTTTGTCATTATGGGGTATTGTGTGTAGATTGATGAGAAAAAATGTAATTTAATCAATTTTAAAATAAGTCTGTAACGTAACAAAATGTGGAAAAAGTCAAGGGGTCTGAATACTTTCCCAATGCACTGTATATGGAAGAGGGGGAGGACAGGGGTTATATAGATGTATGGAAGAGGGGGAGGACAGGGGTTATAGAGATGTATGGTAGAGGGGGAGGACAGGGGTTATAGAGGTGTGTGTGGGAGAGAAGAGCTGGGGGGATTGGAGGTGGGGTGTTACGAGCATTTTACATCACCTAACAGAAATAAGATGGAGGCTGATGAACACAAGACAAACTGACACACTATTCAGCAACCAAAATCTCCAATGTGCTCAATTTTCTCAAGATTGATCAACTCTTCTCTTTCCCTTCTTCTCTTCTGTTACTCACCAGAGACTTGGAGCTCTGTCTGGATGGGGGTATGAACTGTCGTACATTGGTGGGCGTCTCCTTCTCAATGGAGTGTCTCCTCTGGGGGGCCTGCCGTCTCTCAGGCTGGGGGGTGGAGGAGATGGGCAGGAACATGGGTGGAGCTGGGGGTGGGGGGAGAGAGGACATGTATGATATACTTTATGTAGTACTGTAACCCTTACAGTGAGGGAAAAAAGTATTTGATCCCCTGCTGATTTTGTACGTTTGCCCACTGACAAAGAAATTATCAGTCTATAATTTTAATGGTAGGTTTATTTGAACAGTGAGAGACAGAATAAAAACAAAACAATCCAGAAAAACGCATGTCAAAAATGTTATAAATTGATTTGCATTTTAATGAGGGAAATAAGTATTTTACCCCCTCTCAATCAGAAAGATGTCTGGCTCCCAGGTGTCTTTTATACAGGTAACGAGCTGAGATTAGGAGCACACTCTTAAAGGGAGTGCTCCTAATCTCAGCTTGTTACCTGTATAAAAGACACCTGTCCACAGAAGCAATCAATCAATCAGATTCCAAACTCTCCACCATGGCCAAGACCAAAGAGCTCTCCAAGGATGTCAGGGACAAGATTGTAGACCTACACAAGGCTGGAATGGGCTACAAGACCATCGCCAAGCAGCTTGGTGAGAAGGTGACAACAGTTGGTGCGATTATTCGCAAATGGAAGAAACACAAAAGAACTGTCAATCTCCCTCGGCCTGGGGCTCCATGCAAGATCTCACCTCGTGTAGTTGCAATGATCATGAGAACGGTGAGGAATCAGCCCAGAACTACACGGGAGGATCTTGTCAATGATCTCAAGGCAGCTGGGACCATAGTCACCAAGAAAACAATTGGTAACACACTACGCCGTGAAGGACTGAAATCCTGCAGCGCCCGCAAGGTCCCCCTGCTCAAGAAAGCACATATACAGGCCCGTCTGAAGTTTGCCAATGAACATCTGAATGATTCAGAGGAGAACTGGGTGAAAGTGTTGTGGTCAGATGAGACCAAAATCGAGCTCTTGGCATCAACTCAACTCGCCGTGTTTGGAGGAGGAGGATGCTGCTATGACCCCAAAACACCATCCCCACCGTCAAACATGGAGGTGGAAAACAGTATGCTTTGGGGGTGTTTTTCTGCTAAGGGGACAGGACAATTCACCGCATCAAAGCGACGATGGACGGGGCCATGTACCGTCAAATCTTGGGTGAGAACCTCCTCCCTCAGCCAGGGCATTGAAAATAGGTTGTTGGATGGGTATTCCAGCATGACAATGACCCAAAACACACAGCCAAGGCAACAAAGGAGTGGCTCAAGAGAAAACACATTAAGGTCCTGGCGTGCCTAGCAGTCCCGACTAATCCATGAAAACTGTGGAGAGCTGAATCGTTGCAAACGTATCGAACCTAATGCTTGAGCTGCAAAGGAGTGGGCAAATCCCTCTGAGATGTGTGCAAACCTGGTGGCCAACTACAAGAAACGTCTGACCTCTGTGATTGCCAACAAGGGTTTTGCCACCAAGTACTAAGTCATGTTTTGCAGAGGGGTCAAATACTTATTTCCCTCAGTAAAATGCAATCAATTTATAACATTTTTGACATGCGTTTTTCTGGATTCTTTTGTTGTTATTCTGTCTCTCACTGTTCAAATAAACCTACCATTAAAATTATAGACTGATCATGTCTTTGTCAGTGGGCAAACGTACAAAATCAGCAGGGTGTCACGGTTTCGGCCGAGGCGGCTCTCCTCCCTTGTTCGGAGCAGGTTTCGCCGTCGTCGTCTCCGGAGTTCTAGCTGCCACCGCTCTATGTTTCTTGTTTGTTTGGTTTTGTCTGTTAGTCACACCTGTTTTGTGTTAGGTCTCATTTAGCACCCTATTTAGTTTCCTTGTGTTAGGTTAGTGTTTGTGTGTAATTGTTCATGTCGTGGTTGCGCTAACCCTGTCGGTACGCTATTTTCCTTCGTTGCCTCCTTGTGTGTTTAGGAGAGTTTACGCACCTGTGTGTGCGCTCGCATTTACGCCTGTGTGCGTCCTTTTGCCTCCGGGCTGTTTTGGATATATTTTTGTGCTTCAGTAAAGTCTTGTTGGACTTATCCTCTGCTGCCTGCGCCTGATTCTACACCACAACCTACACAGCACCGTGACACAGGGGATCAAATACTTTTTTCCCTCACTGTATATCACCAGTTAAGTTGACTGAGAACACTCTCTCTTTGACAGCATTACATAGAAGAGCTGTCAGGTGAACAGCTGAGAGCTGTGAAAGCATAGAATTACATATATAATTATAGGATCTCTATGATAACCCTAACCATAGCTTCATGTCCAGACCAAGGCTCAACCCTTACCCCAACCCTAACTCCAGCTTTCATGTCCACACCCCGGCTCAATCCTTACCCCAACCCTAACCCTAGACCTAACCCTACCCAAACCTCCAGTCAACCCTGAACCCAACCCTACCCTAACCCCAACCCTAGCTTCATGTCCACACCCTGGCTCAACCCTAACACTAACCCTAACCCCAGCCATAATCTTAACCGTAACCCTAGCTTCATGTCCACACCCTGGCTCAACCCTAACCCTAACTCTGGCCTTCTGGTCAACTGGTCTACAAGTCTACTCACTCTTCTTGCTCAGTACAGACTCTGGAGACGTGTCGTCCACCACCGATGTAGAGACACTGGAACTACTGGCTGACCTTCGACCCCCAATGGTGATGTCATCCTGTACGGGGAACAACAGAGAGCAGTGCTGTATACTGATGTCAACTACCAGAAGAAGACACACACACACAAATGCAAGTGCGAGCACACACACACACACACACAGACACACACACTTACGTCAGAGTCGGAGCTGTCCAGTTCTGACAGGGTGGGTGCTTTCAGCCTCTTCCTCTGACATAGGGCCTGGGCTCCACCCCCTGGTGCCCCTGGCCCCCCATTGGACAGACTGCTGAGGGTCATGGTGCTGGATGTCTTCCTGCGGCCGTCAGGACTGGACACATCTGGACGGAGACGTTGTCCCAAGAAGACTGATCAGACAGAGGACAACTCAAATACCCAGGGGTGATTTCAGCAGGATGCAACGTAGCTAACTATACTGAACACTGCAGATAGAAATGTTATGAATAGAGCTGGGAACAGGATTCTGTTCTATGTGATACATTTCTATCTGAGTGTTCGGTAATGTTGCACCGTCCTGAACAGACCCGAGGGGAACACACCAGCGGTATGGAGTGAGGAGGGAGTGTGAGTTGAGGAGAGACGGAGAAGCAGCCTGGTGTTACACATACACACAACATGGATTCTACTTTCACGACACTTTAAGACCTGGACTGAGCAGGATTCTCATGTAACACTAACCCTAGCTGACTCCCTCCCTCCTAGCCTCATTGACAACTTCTCCCCCCAAGAGAGAGAGAAATCAAGTAGGGAGGAAGGGATGGAGAAGACAGTGCTGGAAACAGCAGATAACCAGTAGCAGAGGCCGATCTGATCTGTGGATGCATTGAGGCCTTGCCAGGCTCTCTCTCGCTCTCTCTCCTCTCTTTCTTGCTCTCTCTTTCTCCCGCTCTCTCACTTTCTCTCCCTCTCTGTGAAAAGGACCACACAGTGAGCATGTGAATACCTCATCTGGAAAAAGGCTCAAATATGAGCTCATTACCTCAACGGGAGGCCAAGGCCCTCCTCCTTTACTGCTGTCCTGGAGCTCCAATCCTGCCTGCCTGGGACAAGACTGACTGGTCCTAGGAGCCAGGTTTAAACTAGAGCAGATCAAACATCCACCATTTGTGGCACTATGTTTAGTATCAGTCAAAAGTAAAACACTTTGTAAAGCACTGGTTTCTGTAAACTATATTTGTCGATATAGTATAATTCAATCTATTTTAATCAAGACATAAGCAGTAGTGTTAGGATACAGCCAAATAGGCAGACAAACGAAACACGGGCCGACATTATGTGTTGCAGCACACAAGTAGCTAGTCACATAAACAGAGCGAAACCACTCCACATACTTTACCTTGACGTGTAAGGATCAACTGTGGAGTGCTGTAGTATATGCCTCCACCTAAAAGGGAACACTTCCTTAAATATGATTGGCCAGACTGTACTAATGGTTTATTCCTATACCCGAACATAGCCTGTCATTTGACTACAGAACTCTATCTCTCTCAGTGAGTATTGGTATTGGAGAATCTGGCCACAAAGTAAGGGGATAAGTACCCAGCTGCAATGAAGTTCAGATAGCCAACCATCACATACACACGCACGTACGTACGCACGCACGCACACACACACATATAACACACACACACACACACATTGAAGCTACACAACAATAAATTGAACCGACTAGTAGCCATGGATGAGCAAAGGGTAAAAGAGCCTCCAGTGTGATGAAAGACGCTGGGATCAGCGGGAGAAATGTCAAGCACAGCCAATCAGACTTGTCAAAGTTGAGATACCCCGCCCACAACAGGAAGTGTTGACACAGAAAAGAGTAAGAGGGTGTAGATTATTAGAAATTATTTTCAGTGTCACCAATGTAAATTCATTGGCTATCTATCTTACTAGAGGATGTATTGGTGATGACATTTTTGGATAACCACTACAGTACAACCATATAAAACAGAAGGTATCCTCTTCTTATCTGTTTGAAAAACCATATACTGTAAGTTATTCAGAAGTGCTTAAGTGAAAGTGACCAATGCAGGTGATGGTGGAGATTAAGTGTGATGTTTTTGTGAGAATGTCCTTTTCTGTGTTGAATAGAGCTGGGAGCCGACAGGTGTGTGTGTGTGTGTGTGTGTGTGTGTGTGTGTGTTCTGCGTGTGTGTGTGTGTGTGCGCGTGTGTGTGCCGACAGCTCCTGTCTACGCTGCTCTCTGATCCCACCTCTGATTAAATTCTGCAGACTCACTCTCCAAGATGAACAACTGCATTGTGTGAGGAGGACAGTCAATGTAGTTATGCACGTCTTGGTTGTTTGTAATGAGAATTTCTGAGTAATGATGTTCTTTAGCTAAGGCAACTCTTTCCCTGATTTATTTTAGTATCGAAAAGAAAAAGGCCCAGAAGCAGAATTCTATTAATAGATTCTTTAGTGGGAGTTTGAAAGGCAGGAGCTCTGTTGCCTTTACTTGCTGTCGGCTACTGACTTTTATCAATCAATCTGTTTTTAACATACAGAGGTTTCAACCAAAGAGCAACATTACACTAGAGAAAAATGTAGGAAGATCTAATTAGTTTAGACTAATCCCAGAAAAAAAGGAATTTGAAGTGAGCATTATTCAAGCATTTAGACAAGGAAAATACTGTTTTACAATTCCTCCTGAGGGACTGAGAAGAACGAGCACCAGCTGTGTGGAGCTTTTGACATCAGCAAGTGTGCCTTCGAGAAATAGTTCATTATCAAAGATGTACTGTAGTGACAGGCAGCGAATAAAACCGTTGGCCTGTTTGAGTCACATCTACCTTGGTCTTTTTCACAACTGTCTGTGGTATGTAAGGCTACATCTAACTTAACATTATCCCTGGGCATAGTTTGAGTAGACCATTAAGCCCTTTCACATTCCATGTGGAGATTCAAAAACAAGTGTCATAAGAATTTAACTAAGGTGCAGAATGATTGAAAGATATGCTGAGGTTATCTATGAGTGAGTTGCTGATGTGAAGGTAGCCATCAACATCCCCTCTGCGCTTGACAGTTCTCATCCTGACCAGTGTCTGACATCATGACGTCACAACCAGAGCGCATACTGCTGCGGTGCAGAGCCAACCAAGACAACCATCAACACCACCACTGAAGCATGAAGAAGCATGAGATGAGAGTATTAATATGCATGTTCTAGCTTGGGCAGATGGACAACAACCACGATAGATAGAGACGTAAAGAAACAGCCAGGTAACTGGACAGATCTTTACCTGACAGGTCAAAACTTTGAGACATGCTAAGAGGCCGAATTACTGCAAGAGAAACAATGGTGGCGTTACAGAGTTATTAAGCTATCCATAGGTTAGTTAGGAGGAATACAGACAGAACACATCTATTAAGTAAGCAAGAAGAAAGACATCATCTGCCGACATGTCTGTCAGCTGTCCATAGTGCAGTACAGTACAGTATGTTAGGAAATGTAAAATGATGAAAGTAGTCAGTAGAAAGTGCATAGCCAATGGTGAGAAAACATTAACATAATAACTAAATAAAATACATTCTCTCTTCAGAGGTTTGGTTTGGTTATAGTCAATACAGGCACTTAGCATAACACCAGACAAGGTGTATGTTTAGGCTGTATTACTAGCAGAGCTGTAACACCAAACAGCACAGGCATCCAAGAAAACAGTAACTTGGCTGGGTGGAAGCATCGTTTAAACCAATGAAAGAAAGTATGATTCACCATTTTTTCATTCATGCCGATGCCCAGCACCCGTGAAAGTGCATAATCACAACATACTTCACCTTCTCACAATGAGTGTGAGTGTTGTGTGTGTGTGTGTGTGTGTGTGTGTGTGTGTGTGTGTGTTGTGTGAGTGGTGTGAGAGAGTAGAGAGAGAGAGAGAGAGAGGAGAGAGACGGAGCCGATAGCTAGCGAGAGATCCGGAAGAATAGCTCCCGCACAGCTCCGACTGAGTCTCTCGCCTTCTCCTCTCTCCTACTCGCTCTCTCTCTCTCGCTACCGCTCTCGCGCTCTTCGCCCGCTCTCTCTCTCTCTCTCTCTCTCTCTCTCTCTCTCTCGTCCGCTCTCCCCCCGAGAAAAAAGACAGCAGAGGAGGTGTTCTCACCAGGCCTGCTCCTGCGGATCACATCAGGAGAGACAGGTCTCAGTTTCCTCTCAGATTTGATCTCATCCAGGATCCTCTCGTGCAGGGTGGGAGGAACCTGGGGCTGGGGCTTCAGCTTCCTGGCTGCTGCCTACACACACAAACGCATGAACGCACACACACGTGCACACACACACACGTGCACACACACACGTGCAGATACATACATGCACTCACACTGAGTTATGGGCATCAGAGTTATGGATATCAGGCCTTTCGCCACTGCCTCCTAAACCTTAACGACACTGTCACTGTACTGTTAATAACACTGTCACTGTACTGTTAATATCACTGTCACTGTACTGTTAATAACACTGTCTCTGTACTGTTAATATCACTGTCACTGTACTGTTAATATCGCTGTCACTGTACTGTTAATAACACTGTCACTGTACTGTTAATAACACTGTCACTGTACTGTTAATAACACTGTCACTGTACTGTTAATAACACTGTCACTGTACCGTTAATAACACTGTCACTGTACCGTTAATAACACTGTCACTGTACCGTTAATATCACTGTCACTGTACTGTTAATAACACTGTCACTGTACTGTTAATATCACTGTCACTGTACTGTTAATATCACTGTCACTGTACTGCTAATATCACTGTCACTGTACTGTTAATATCACTGTCACTGTACTGTTAATAACACTGTCACTGTACTGTTAATATTACTGTCACTGTACTGTTAATAACACTGTCACTGTACTGTTAATATCACTGTCACTGTACTGTTAATATCACTGTCACTGTACTGCTAATATCACTGTCACTGTACTGTTAATAACACTGTCACTGTACTGTTAATAACACTGTCACTGTACTGTTAATAACACTGTCACTGTCCTGTTAATAACACTGTCACTGTACTGTTAATATCACTGTCACTGTACTGTTAATAACACTGTCACTGTCCTGTTAATATCACTGTCACTGTACTGTTAATATCACTGTCACTGTACTGTTAATATCACTGTCACTGTACCGTTAATATCACTGTCACTTTGTAACAGTAACTCTTTTGACTGTCAGTCCGCTCCTCTCATTACTGAGGCAGGCACTTCACTGAGGCTGGGGCAGTGAGCATTGATATACAGCTCCAGTAGTAGATGATCTGATTATCTATCTATCACCCCTCATTCCAATCAGTATAATCATACCCCAGAACCCAAAATCCTGAACTACCTGTATTTCTTTTGGGATATAAAGATGAAGTCTTTCTTTGACTAAAGATGGGTTCAGTGGCTTGAGGATTTAAATGGAAAGGGAAGACCCCTAGCATTAATTCCCAGGCTTCCTCACGTTCCAGTGATGAACAAGACTTGGAAGCCTGGCATGGCAAGACTAGAAGACACCAGAATGAGAGGAATGTGAGGCAGGTACCATAGAATGTACTATCGTATAGTATATAGTACATGTACTATACAGTACTGTACATTAACAGGATTAGAAGGAGAGAAAATGCCCCATGTTCTCCTCTCTAAACCCTATGACTGTACAGCCCATTTAGATAAGAGATATACTTTACATACATAGCTAATAGTTGTCTTCTTATTTCATTCTATGGTACTCTGTTCCAAAACAGAGTGCCCATAGAGATAGAACAGAGTTGTATCTCTATGGTTCAGCCCACCACCATTCCAACACCAAAGAGGTTGCTAGTCGATGTAAAGTATATCTGTTGTTTCTATAGGCTGTGCACTCACAGGGTTGAGAGGAGGTCTGGACCGGATGAAGTCTAGGATGACCTCATGGGCACTCTTCTTCAACCTTGGTGGGATGTCGTTGTTTACCTGGAGGTGCAAGGGACAGACACACAGACACAGACACAGACACAGACACAGACACAGACACACACACACACAGAGAGAGATTAAGAGACAGCATAACTACATATCTCTGCTTAATTACAGTAACTGCTTCAAACATGACAACAAACCATGGTTTTAAGACACCTGACAGTCTTACCATGACCTTGCGTAGTTTGTAGCGTTTGGAGCGGATGTCATCCATGAGCATCTCATAGGGCGTGAGCTGAAACTCGATGGCCAGAGGGTTGTACTGGCGCTCCTGGACCTTCTTCAGCTTCACCCCGTTACGCAGGTCTCCCATCACCTGCATCCAGAACTTAGCCTGGGGGATGCAGGGGGACAGGAATCATATAGCAACACAGTACTCATCCAATGACTTAACACTTATAGGGCCAATTTCCCAGACCCAGATGAAGCCTAGATACTCCTGGGCTACAAAATATGCTAGTCCAAGAGTAGGTTTAATATGGGTCTGGGAAACCTGTCCTAAGGGTGTCACATAAGGGTGTCAGAGAAGGGTGTTGCCAGATAAAAGGGGCTAGGCTGTGAGGCTATTAAGGAGCTGGTCACCTACCCAGTCTGCATTCTGGAGCTCATTTAGGTCTCTGCTGGGACCCTCAGACGGCTCGCCACCCATCTTCCGAAGATTCTACCATAGAGAGAGTAGAGAGAGAGAGAGAGAGAGAGAGGCTGAGAAAGCGGTAGAGAGACAGGAGATACGAGATAGAGGTAGGGAAAGAGAGAGAAGAGAGAGAGAGAGAGCGGTAGGAGAGAGAGAGCGAGAGAGAGAGAGAGAGATCTGGCGATAGAGAGAAGAAAGAGCGAGAGAATATATATATATATTATATAATATATATCTAATATATAAAAATACATATATACATATATAATACAAAGAGCCCTAATATAAATAGATCTCTAACAAATAAATATCGATACATATAGAAAGCTATATACATCTATAAACATAAGATTCTATAGAGCGAGGAAGAGAGAGAGAGAGAAAGACAGAGAGAGAGAGAGGTAGGGGGATCAGAGAGAGAAAGAGATGAGCACTCAGAGCTTAATGTGAGCTTAAAGGCCCAGTGCAGTCAAAAACGTTTCCTGTGTTCTATATATATTTCCACACTATGAGTTCGGAATAATACTGTGAAATTGTGAAAATGATGATAATGCCCTTTTAATGTAATGCCCTTTTTAATGCCTGAAATTTCTGTCTGTTTTTGTGTGATGGAGTTTTGGCCTGCCTGGTGACATCACCAGGTGGTAAATTAGTTAATAGACCAATAAGAAAGAGAGTTCCAACCCTCTCTGCCAATAACAGCTAGTTTTTAGTTTTCCCCTCCACACTCAGACCACACTCAGTCCTAGCCAAAAATCTTGCTCTTTGCTAAGAAGCTATTTTTGTTTCTTTGTGACCATTTTTATTGAAAACAATCACAGTAAGGTACTTCATTGTTACCCAGAAATGATTTGATGTTGAGATAAACATGGCATTGGACCTTTAACTAAGTAACTGACCTCAAAGCTACAGATTTCATCCTTTCATGTTGAAATTAGATGTTAATCAAGTTCCTTGACTACCGCAGCATTAGGACAGGCAGCTAGCCCCGCTATCAGTCATACCCACAAATCAATACCTATTCGATTATCAATTACAGTTAACGAGAGCCTTCACAGCCTGACAACCTGCCAAGTCCCTATCAATTAGCATCATGATGGTATGCTAACACATTCCCACCACACACATGCCCAGTCCATTTTCATCAGTGATTGAAAATCATCAGTGTAGCCATAAGGAACATAGCATGGTCCTGCCAATGTATGCATAGCAGAGATGATAGCTTTTAGCCATGGTCAAGATGACTGTATGAAATACAGTGTGGGAACTCCCTTAGCTAGCCCATGCTAACACCAATCCACTGCTTTTAAATGTGAGCAAATGCACTTCGAGAGAATTGGGATGCAACCAATGAAGCAGTGAGCAACCTGCATCCCTTCTCCTCCTGATTTAGGAGTTCATTAGAGGACAGCACTGATGGATCTGTTCTGCAGCAGACTGGAAAGCCTCCTCCTCCTCTCTCCTCCTCCTGTCCCCTCTCCCTGTTATGTGTGGTGAGAGAGTGGGTGTCACCCTGCATCCCACCGCTGTTTGATAGAGCAATCATGGGAGTCTCTCTGCTACAGCCCCTCACAGGAGATTTACTATAGGGCCTCTCCTCTCACTGGATATAAAGAGCCATAACTCACACATCTAAGGTGTCTACCTTCTCTACCATTAACAGTTCTCTACCATATTCCCTTTTCATGTTTATTTTATTTTTTAACCTTTATTTAACTAGGCAAGTCAGTTAAGAACAAATTCTTATTTACAATGACGGCCTACCCCGGTCAAACCCGGACGACACTGGGCCAATTGTGCGCCGCTCTATGGGACTCCCAATCACGGCCGGATTGTGATACAGCCTGGAATCAAACCAGGGTTTGTAGTGACGCCTCTAGCACTGAGATGCAGTGCCTTTGACCGCTGCGCCACTCGGGAGTCCATGTAATAACATAATCCAGAAACCTTTACAATGGTTTGTGAATAACAACATGATTGTTGACAAACATTTTAAAAAGGACATCATTTCTGAGCAGAGGAGCTCAGGGTGAGATGATGTTAGATTTAACACTCATTTGTATGACCAACACAACACCATCCCAAATCACATCAAAGCCAAACATTTCCATTTCAACAGTAGTTTGCTAACTGTGTACACAGTGTTATAATGACAGACTGCAGTAGTAGTAGTAGTAGTAGTAGTATCATGCTCATGTATTTCAAATAACATTAGCCTAGGTGTATGTGTGTTTGTTTATAGCAAACCCAAAAAAATTCACATAACTAATTAGGGCAATTACCAAATCCTTAATGAAGCAGTCATTAATTCCAGCCTTTAATTTTCCTTCCGTAATTTATAGTAGTTAACCCTGAGCAAATAGGAACAGAAGTGGCTTCGGTGATTCACCTACAACTATGCTTTTAATAGCGTCCTTCTGTCCTGTTATAGAGCTCTTTGTTATGAAAGAAAGGGTCTCTCTCTGCCTGCTGTCCTGTAGCTGCAGTTAGCTAGCTAGATCCCCTGTGGGACAACATGTCTCTGCCTCGCTGCCAGACAGAGGAGAACAAGTGGGGGAGGGGAATGATGCTGGGCCGAAAGCTCATCTTACTCCTCCTGGTATCACACAGACAGAGAGACACACACACACACACACACACACACACACACACACACACACACACACACACACACACACACACACATAAGCATAACCTTGTCCCACATTGAAGAATCAAGCATCTTGAACAGAGATTGCACTGTTCAGCAGATCCTTAGTCCCACCCCATCCCAACTGCTATAGCCCTAGGTCTCTGCCTCCACATACAGTAGACTAGACTACACCCTGGCCTATCCACATCTGGTTGCATACACCAGTTAGGCTAACTAAACTGGATCTACTGTCTGTAGCCCCCTGAACCACATAGCTTGACACCTTCCTCCCCTTCTTCATAGTTAAGCTTCTTACCCTCTCCTCATAATAAGACTCTCCACTCTCTTTTGTAACAGCAAATTATATAACTGTCCAATTCCTCCAGTCACCCAAGTCATAGACTGTTCTCTCTGCTACCGCATGGCAAGTCTAGGTCCAAAAGGCTCCTTAACAGCTTCTACTCCCAAACCATAAGACTGCTGAACAATTAATCAAATGACACCCCCCCCCCCCTTTGTTTTTACACTGCTGCTACTCGCTGTTTATTATCTATGCATAGTCACTTTACCCCTTCCTACATGTACAAATTACCTCAACTAACCTGTATTCCTGCACATTGACTTGGTACCCGTACCCCCTGTATATAGGTTTGTTATTGTTATTATTGTGTTACTTTTTATTTATTTATTTTTACTTTAGTTTATTTAGTAAATATTTTCTTAAAACTGCATTGTTGATTAAGGGTTTGTATGTAAGCATTTCACAGTAAGGTCTACTACACCTGTTGCATTCGGCGCATGTGACAAATAAATTTTGATTTGATTTTGATTTGATATAGCACATGTGACCCTGTGGCAGACAGCAGTGCATTGTGGGACTAATAGGGACATTAAACTAAGCCTTTAGATATGCAGACATGTTCACTACAACATTAGGGAGTTACCTATTTACAGATTTAGGATCTTAATTTGAGCCAGTGGGAGTTACCTATGTACAGATTTAGGATCTTAATTTGAGCCAGTTTGCTACAGCAGGAAAATAATCTTGCAGCAACAGGAAATGTGAATTATTATGTGGATTATAATGAATGGACATTTTTATAGGGGTTGATAAAAATGTAAAAAGTCTGACATTTCAAAGTGGAAATTACAAACTTCAGAAGTTCTCCTGCAACAAGGTGATCAAATTAAGATCCTACATCTGTACCACCACAGAACTAAGCCCTATAATACCGTACTATAGAACTGTACAGACAGAAGTGGACTCTGCTCCCCAGCCAGGTGAAAGACTAAGCAGAATATTTGACAACAAAACCTGCAGCTACTCCCAGGCAGCTTCCCCTGAGGTAGACAGATCACTCCCATCAATGCTCCTTACTGGCTTACTTTAACCTGTCATATGCCGGGGTGGGATAGCATGTCTACACACACACACACACACACACACACACACACACACACACACACACACACACACACACACACACACACACACACACACACACACACACACACACACACACACACACACACACACACACACACACACACACACACACACACACACACACACACACACACACACACACACACACACACACACACACACACACACACACACACACACTCACACACTCACACACACACACACACACACTCACACACTCACACACACGCACTGTTGTTCCGGTCTCTCAGTCCCAGGTCCGCTCCATTGTCTATCCCTATTACATTCTAGCCCACAGTAAACATCACTGTGATGACCTGTGGCAGACACGGTTAGAGGTCATGAAATATGAGATGCTAAATGCGTGTGGCTCGGTGCGAGGCACAGTGGCAGATAACAACACTGCTGCCTGAGTCTCATCCTGACTCCCTGCTGTGGATATGTTTTACAAACAACAGCTGTGTCTCTAGCACTACAGTACAACGTAAATCCAGGTACCCATGCCAACACACTGGTTATGTTGTGTAGTAAGTCGCTCTGGATAAGAGCGTCTGCTAAATGACGTAAATGTAAAAATGTAAATGTAGTGTGTGTTCTTTTTTTTATCGAATTGCTTGATTTTACCACAACACACACACACACACACAGAGTAACCTGCATTCCTTCTCCTCTGTAAAACACACACACCCGACTCAAGGCTGATATACAGTAGGATCCATTACAGGACATGTATGTAGTGTGCCATGTTGATCAGTTCTCTGAAGCGTGTCAAACATGATAATGGCATGTTTCTTAATCTCCTGAAGTAATGTCTCTCCAGTCATATGACCTCTGAATATATGTCCCAGGTCTACGTGTCTGTCTGATTTACAGTGCAAGGTTGTCTAGTGGTGAATGTCAATGACCATTCAGATTCACCCTTTAGTGGTCCTATGTGCAGCGGAGCCTGAGAATGAGATGTCAATCAGGCCCCAGAAACAGAGCTGAGCTGTTCAAATATCCACACTGGTTTGCATACCACATAGGATTAAGCAATGTATTGGGTATACATGCTAAGTATTATGCTAGTATGGACAATGGAACAGAACCAATATGTAAGCAAGCTGAGGGCCTATGCAGTCAAGTACTGTGTAGTGCGTTGTGAGCATTGGTAAATGGAGGTGGTTTTGTGAACCATGCTCACATGATGAATAACCTTCCCTGAGACCTGAAGACTTTACCTGCCCAAGCTACTTCCTAGCCTTTAGCTCAGTGGACTAACACAGTCTTGTTGCACACAGGAGACAGGGGGTTTGAACCCAGTTGGTCACGCATTGATGTGTAGCCTCACCTCTTTGGCACTCTTGATCTTCTCCAGGAAGGAGCGCAGCTCCCTGGTCTCAGCATAGAGAGCACGGCACACAGCCTGGTAGTGGCTGGGGGCGTCGCCAGGGCTGGGGAGGTGGGACACACACATCTACACACAGACAGACAGGGAGAGAGAAGTAGTACTGTAAGTAAAACATTGTAGATACTGTAAATATGGTCATTCAGCAGATGACAGAACATATCCTTGTGACAGCAGATTACAAAATACTGTATGTCCTTGTTTCTCTGAGATGAACAGAAGGTGCTCTTGGCATGATCTTGGCACCAGTAGTCCACTGCATTTCCCATCCCATATACAGTGAGGGAAAAATGTATTTGATCCCCTGCTGATTTTGTACGTTTGCCCACTGACAAAGACATGATCAGTCTATAATTTGAATGGTAGGTTTATTTGAACAGTGAGAGTCAGAATAACAACAAAAAAATCCAGAAAAACGCATGTCAAAAATGTTATAAATTAATTTGCATTTTAATGAGGGAAATAAGTATTTGACTCCTCTGCAAAACATGACTTAGTACTTGGTGGCAAAACCCTTGTTGGCAATCACAGAGGTCAGACGTTTCTTGTAGTTGGCCACCAGGTTTGCACACATCTCAGGAGGGATTTTGTCCCACTCCTCTTTGCAGATCTTCTCCAAGTCATTAAGGTTTTGAGGCTGACGTTTGGCAACTCGAACCTTCAGCTCCCTCCACAGATTTTCTATGGGATTAAGGTCTGGAGACTGGCTAGGCCACTCCAGGACCTTAATGTGCTTCTTCTTGAGCCACTCCTTTGTTGCCTTGGCCGTGTGTTTTGGGTCATTGTCATGCTGGAATACCCATCCACGACCCATTTTCAATGCCCTGGCTGAGGGAAGGAGGTTCTCACCCAAGATTTGACGGTACATGGCCCCGTCCATCGTCCCTTTGATGCGGTGAAGTTGTCCTGTCCCCTTAGCAGAAAAACACCCCCAAAACATAATGTTTCCACCTCCATGTTTGACGGTGGGGATGGTGTTCTTGGGGTCATAGGCAGCATTCCTCCTCCTCCAAACACGGCGAGTTGAGTTGATGCCAAAGAGCTCAATTATGGTCTCATCTGACCACAACACTTTCACCCAGTTCTCCTCTGAATCATTCAGATGTTCATTGGCAAACTTCAGACGGGCCTGTATATGTGCTTTCTTGAGCAGGGGGGCCTTGCGGGCGCTGCAGGATTTCAGTCCTTCACGGCGTAGTGTGTTACCAATTGTTTTCTTGGTGACTATGGTCCCAGCTGCCTTGAGATCATTGACAAGATCCTCCCGTGTAGTTCTGGGCTGATTCCTCACTGTTCTCATGATCATTGCAACTCCACGAGGTGAGATCTTGCATGGAGCCCCAGGCCGAGGTTATTTTGTGTTTCTTTTGTGTTTCTTCCATTTGTGAATAATCGCACCAACTGTTGTCACCTTCTCACCAAGCTGCTTGGCGATGGTCTTGTAGCCCATTCCAGCCTTGTGTAGGTCTACAATCTTGTCCCTGACATCCTTGGAGAGCTCTTTGGTCTTGGCCATGGTGGAGAGTTTGGAATCTGATTGATTGATTGCTTCTGTGGACAGGTGTCTTTTATACAGGTAACAAGCTGAGATTAGGAGCACTCCCTTTAAGAGTGTGCTCCTAATCTCAGCTCGTTACCTGTATAAAAGACACCTGGGAGCCAGAAATCTTTCTGATTGAGAGGGGGTCAAATACTTATTTCCCTCATTAAAATGCAAATCAATTTATAACATTTTTGACATGCGTTTTTCTGGATTTTTTTGTTGTTATTCTGTCTCTCACTGTTCAAATAAACCTACCATTAAAATTATAGACTCATCATTTCTTTGTCAGTGGGCAAACGTACAAAATCAGCAGGGGATCAAATACTTTTTTCCCTCACTGTAGCTCCTCAAATTCTAACAGAAAACGGTTGGCTGTCTCATCTGCAATCTTGCCCACCAAGTAAATTCCCTGAATTGACAACATTTCTGTCTGATAAATGGTGCTGCTGTGTAGAGAGGAGGAAGCCTGGAGCAGAAATTGAGAATTAGGTATTAGGGAGTCTTTCCCCAGTAGCATCATAATCTCAATATTCCCTGACCCATTTATCATGGGTCATGCTGATATAGGAGGAGATCTCTGATTGCAAATCACACAGGAACATACATCTGAAATCTTGTGAAACATCTAGAAGGCAGTAAGAGAGAGAGAGAGAGGCAGGCAGGAAGTCCCTCAGAGTAAGGCTCCGTAGTTAACATCAGACAGAGAGAGAGAGACGAGGGGTGGACAGGAGGGTAGAGAGGATGACAGTTATTAGAGGAGACATCTAGCCATTGGCCAGTAGGGCTGACGAGACAACAGCGACACTGTCACCCAGGCAGATCAGATGTCCACAGCCTCAGATAACCTTGCTAGCAGTCTCTATGGAGACCTGGTTCCATCCCCTGGGCCCTAGCTCTAGAATCATTACTTCACCACTGTCATGTCTGACCTCATCGGGCCGGGTCGGATGGGAGGCTGAAGACTATGGTTATCTAAACACCATTGGGGCATCTAAGGACTCACTGGGTGGATCTAGTATAGATGTCTGTTCCCTCATCACTACTGGACATGCTGGGTGGATTTAGTATAGATGATACTCTCATCACTACTGGAGGAAAGACTTATACAACAACTGCAGGCTCCAGTACCATAACCTTTCCTGATCACCACCATTTTGTAGTGACATTTTGGCTTTTAATCATCAACCACCACCCTCCCCCCAATCAACAGCTGCCTACCCTGAGGATGTCCCTGTAGACACGGACGTTACAGATGTTGATGGGGTCGTCTTCGGCCTCCTCCTCTTCCTCAGTGGCCTCGTAACCTTCATCAGGGCAGGCGTCTCTCTCGGCCTCGCCCATGTTGGTCATGAGGTCTATGAGCTGCTCCAGGGGTGGGCTCAGCTCCCGCTCCTCGCTCTCCTTCAGACCGTAGTCCAACGCCTTGTAGATCATGATGCCCAGAGACTCAATCACCTGAAGGACACAAGCAACAACACACACTGGGTATCATTATATTGCCATCCATATACGTTCATCATTGGCATCCAAGAATCATGCCAAAACGACAATGCCTTCATGTTTTGAATCAACGGATTTTGAATAATTTGCCTTGATTTGTGTTATTCAGCTGTTAATCTCCTGGAAAAAAACTATAAATATGGGTTTGTGTCTTAGTTCCCAGTTATGTAATATATATATAATCTCCTTTCATGCCCCTGCACAAGACTGTCCCATGCTTTCAGCTGTAGCATGTGCTACACAAACACATGACCCTTTCATTCAAGAGAACGGCCCAACCTTTAAAAGCAAGGCAGACCTTAACAGATTAGTCAGTACTAAGGTGACTGAGCCAGCATAGGATACTGGCCATTAGAATGACACAAAGACACATATAGATACCATACGCATTATATATTGAAGATGAAAACAACTAATATTCAGGAGCTTCAGAAGAATGATTTAAATATTATGCATACATTTATTAATCGAGAATATCTGTATTGTTTTATGCTTAAGTCCAAATCTAGTAGGTGTGTGAGAAAGATGTTAGCAGTCCCAGTGAATGCAGTGAAGCGGCTTCCCTTTGTTAATCAGGTGAATCTGGCCTCTGAATGGCAGATCATGGAGAATGAGGCCAGAGCTGGCCTAGCGTGCCAAGCCCGAGACAAAAGACTGACTGAGAAATCACACCGGATTACACTGCAAACCTGAATGCTGCTTATAAACAGTGGGAAAGGAGAGAGAGAGAAAGAGAAAGAGGGGGAGAGAGAAAGAGAGAGAGAGTGAAGGAGAGATAGAGAAAGTGAAGAGAAGGGGGGATGGAGGGAGGGGAGGAGAGAGTAAAAGGGATGAGGGAGAGGGAATAAAGATACAGTGGGGAAAAAAAGTATTTAGTCAGCCACCAATTGTGCAAGTTCTCCCACTTAAAAAGATGAGAGAGGCCTGTAATTTTCATCATAGGTACATGTCAACTATGACAGATAAAATGAGATTTTTTTTCTCCAGAAAATCACATTGTAGGATTTTTAATGAATTTATTTGCAAATTATGGTGGAAAATAAGTATTTGGTCAATAACAAAAGTTTCTCAATACTTTGTTATATACCCTTTGTTGGCAATGACACAGGTCAAACGTTTTCTGTAAGACTTCACAAGGTTTTCACACACTGTTGCTGGTATTTTGGCCCATTCCTCCATGCAGATCTCCTCTAGAGCAGTGATGTTTTGGGGCTGTCGCTGGGCAACACAGACTTTCAACTCCCTCCAAAGATTTTCTATGGGGTTGAGATCTGGAGGCTGGCTAGGCCACTCCAGGACCTTGAAATGCTTCTTACGAAGCCACTCCTTCGTTGCCCGGGCGGTGTGTTTGGGATCATTGTCATGCTGAAAGACCCAGCCACGTTTCATCTTCAATGCCCTTGCTGATGGAAGGAGGTTTTCACTCAAAATCTCACGATACATGGCCCCATTAATTATTTCCTTTACACGGATCAGTCGTCCTGGTCCCTTTGCAGAAAAACAGCCCCAAAGCATGATGTTTCCACCCCCATGCTTCACAGTAGGTATGGTGTTCTTTTGATGCAACTCAGCATTCTTTGTCCTCCAAACACGACGAGTTGAGTTTTTACCAAAAAGTTCTATTTTGGTTTCATCTGACCATATGACATTCTCCCAATCCTCTTCTGGATCATCCAAATGCACTCTAGCAAACTTCAGACGGGCCTGGACATGTACTGGCTTAAGCAGGGTGACACGTCTGGCACTGCAGGATTTGAGTCCCTGGCGGCGTAGTGTGTTACTGATGGCAGGCTTTGTTACTTTGGTCCCAGCTCTCTGCAGGTCATTCACTAGGTCCCCCCGTGTGGTTCTGGGATTTTTGCTCACCGTTCTTGTGATCATTTTGACCCCACGGGGTGAGATCTTGCGTGGAGCCCCAGATCGAGGGAGATTATCAGTGGTCTTGTATGTCTTCCATTTCCTAATAATTGCTCCCACAGTTGATTTCTTCAAACCAAGCTGCTTACCTGTTGCAGATTCAGTCTTCCCAGCCTGGTGCAGGTCTACAATTTTGTTTCTGGTGTCCTTTGACAGCTCTTTGGTCTTGGCCATAGTGGAGTTTGGAGTGTGACTGTTTGAGGTTGTGGACAGGTGTCTTTTATACTGATAACAAGTTCAAACAGGTGCCATTAATACAGGTAACGAGTGGAGGACAGAGGAGCCTCTTAAAGAAGAAGTTACAGGTCTGTGAGAGCCAGAAATCTTGCTTGTTTGTAGGTGACCAAATACTTATTTTCCACCATAATTTGAAAATAAATTCATTAAAAATCCTACAATGTGATTTTCTGGATTTTTTTCCCTCAATTTGTCTGTCATAGTTGACGTGTACCTATGATGAAAATTACAGGCCTCTCTCATCTTTTTAAGTTGGAGAACTTGCACAATTGGTGGCTGACTAAATACTTTCCCCCCCCCACTGTAGATAGAAATAGGGAGGGAGAGAGAAGGAAAGAAAATGAAGTGAGAGAAACGAAGAGAGAGAAAAAGAGGGCAAGAAAGTAAGCGAAAAGAGGGAGGGGTTCGGTGTGTCTTTGTAGATCACACTTAATGGGCAAGGTCACAGGACCCTGTTCAGATCAATAGTCATCCAGGAGGAGTCATGTGAGTGGATCTGTCCTGAACTCCTCTAGAACACAACACTACAGAACACTACCCTGGCTCAGTGGGAACCTGGGAACCTCTGCACCCTGATGAGGATAAGCCCTCTTTGTCTGGCTGCACCCCACACTGGCCTGCTCTTCCCTACCTCCCCTCTGATGTTACACCCCACCTCACTCTCCACTCTCTGCTGTTACACTCCCAGCCAGAGACACACAACAACACCATCTCTCCCCTGTGCTATGGGACCAGTCACTCTCAAATACAAAATACTAAAGTCTGCCTATAAATTCTTGTCTAAGCAGCTTTCATCCAGACTGCATTGTAGAACAAACCAAATTGAACCTAGCTGTGATAGGCCCAACTGACACTAGGCAAGCCAAGTTAAGGCATGTGGAATTTCAAGCCTCTATTGTTGAGGTGTTTGATATTCAGGTTCTGTTGTTATTGTTCCTTGCTAGTCAAAGGCCAACGTATGAACCATGCATTGCATTCAGCCTGAAGAGTGAAGACAGAACAAAGTAATCAGAACACTGAGAATAATCCCTCAGAAGAATGATGCACCTAATAAACATGTAGGGAAACTTCTAGAACATGAACTATAATGACTCACAGTTAAATCCTTCCAGTTTTCAGAAAAATACGTATGCATGGGAGGTAGCCTAAATTGTAGGTAGATGCATAAACATTGACTGTGCAGATTTGATTGATTCCAGCTCTACATAGACAAACCCCTGATCTGAGCAGCTTGTTAATTGATAGCTATAGCATTATTTAAGTAGGTAGGAGATAGGGTGGTTTTAACTGCAATAAGTGCTATTTATTCCCTCAGTCAAGAGGAGAGCTAACACAAACATGACTGTTCCAATGATACATCACACTCTCCTTTCTTCACAGACTTGTGACTAAACTAAGTGAAGGAATGGAAGGAGGAAGGAATGGGGAGGAGGGAGGAAGGAATGGGTGTCAAGAGAGTGGGGATTTTAACTGTGCAGTGAAGCGCAGCCATGAGCAGGTAAAACAACATCAAACAGACTACCTGTGTTCCTCACATGGCTGTCACAGAGGTGACGAGAGAAAGAGAGCAAAAGAGAGAGAGAGAGACAGAGCGAGAGAGAGAGAGAGACAGAGACAGAGAGACAGAGAGAGAGAGCGATAGAGAGAGAGAGAGAGACAGAGAGAGAGAGGGAGAGAGGGAGAGAGAGAGCGAGAGAGCTGATCACGGGGCAGGGAATGGTTCTGTCACACGAATGCATATTTTCTTTACACACAATCCAGCCTTTCCCTGTAAATACCATACCAGTACCACACCCTGCTGAGGTCAACATGAATATCTTAACGTACCACACCCTACCAAGGTTAGAGGTTTTAAATAGTCCAGATTGATAGAACCACTGTGTTAAGATGTCTCTGTGCAGCTTTCTGTCATTAAAGCCCCCATGCAGTCTTTGTAATTTAATTTCAAATCATCACTGTATGTCATTTATATCACTGTGTGTGCTTATTTGATAAAAATAACTCCAAATTATATATTTTTTTAATCATTTATTTCCCTGACCCTCTTTTGGCCCTTGAAATGCTCTTACACAAAAAGGGCATTATGATAATTTTCACAATTTCAGAGTGTTATTTCGATCTGTGTGGAAATATAATTTAAAAAACAGGAAATCACGTTTTTAACTGGACTGCCCCTTTAAGACCTTTTTTGACCATGGAGACTTTCTCCCTCAAGCCTCTGCCTAGACCTCTGCAATGGGCTCAAACTGTTTCCTTTACACAATCTCAAGGTGAATGAATACCAATGATTGTGACTAGAACTGAATAGATACTTTATTATACATTTTAAACAGAAATTGATCATTTAATTGATTTTAAGATGTGTTAATAAGCAATCTGCTAGGCCTATATGAAATAAGTACCTTTTCAGTAGCAATGTGACTGTGTGAGGCTAGCAGTTATGTCAACATGGCCACTCTTGTGCATCAACAACCACAAATACTAATCTTCCATCTTCCATAGTCATAAGACTGCTGGCTCAGCATCATTCAGCCTCATACAAAGACACTAATATGGTTTACATTCAGGGACAAATCCTATTCCATCTCTTACTTTTGATTCCTGAGGAGGGTTACAATGATTTCTGTGGGACAGTGGTATTTTTTATTTACATAACCCACTGCCATAATGTCTGGCTTCAGTTTACCCATGTGTGAAGAAACTAACATATTGTGTCAAGGTGTCAAGTTGTCTTCAGATTCAGAGTGTTTAATAGTCACAGGGTTGTAAAGGTTGCAGGTGTGATTGCAGGGTACAGTGAAAA